CTTTTCCTTAGGCTTGATGACACGATGTCAATCTTGGGTAAATCCTCCATGGAAATTCCCATACTGCCAAGGTTTGACGTTGGGTTGCTTGTAACGGGAGAATTATCCAAGGAAGTACGTTGTGCCGCTTGATTATGTAGAGTGTCCATTAGAGTGTTCATAGTCTCTATCAAAACGCCACTTCCCGATGGCGTAGCTGGAGCAGGAATTGCCGCCTGATCAGGTATTACACAAGTATCTGTGCCTTGTACATTCGAATCATCTTGGATCCGATCTTGCGATTGTCTAGCTGATCTATTTGATTCTAATAGTCTCTCCAAAGTTGGCTTGGTAAAACTCTTAGGTACCTCTATCCCGAGTGATTTGAGTTCATCCCGAAGTGTTTGGGTGTCTTTTTGAGCAATATTTGATTGTTTTCTCGTATACGGTTTCTTCCTGGTATTCATGGTTGTAGTAAGTATGTATATAGTAGTAAAGAGTATACAATTGTATGATTGTATTATAGTAATAGCTAAAACAAAAACGTAACGAGGTGCCTCGGAATTAGAGCTGTTCTAAGGCCGAGGACCAGAAAGAATAGAACGTTACATTGCTGTACACAGAGCTAACACAGTAAGTCAGCAGAGCCATAACTCACGGTGTTGGGCGGAGTCAACTGTCTTTCACAAACCACACTTATTCCATAAGATGCTAATAATTTGGAGGCTCTTGTTGCATTTTCTTATTATATAAGTAGTACTTTCCTATAATAATTACCATATTTTCAAAATCACTCCATTTTGGGCTACCAAATAATATTGTAAGCAGAGAAAATTTTTCGAGATCTTTTAATGTATTATCTATTAATGACTTCCAAAACTGTTTGGTATAATCACAATTAAAGAAGATGTGGTCACAAGTTTCTATGTTCACATGGCAAAACTCACACATTGGTGAAGGAGTTATTTTGTATTGAAAAAGTTCACTATTTGTATACAAAATATTGTTTAAGAGCTTATATTGAAATGCCTTATGTTTTGAATATGTCAGGGTTTTATGAAAGTGTTCATAGTAAAATGACCAATCTTCTTCTTTAATATGATATTTATCTGTTAAAGTGTGTTTTGCTGTTGGATATTCTGCAATAGCTTCCAGCAATATTTTATAAAATTCTCTAGATGTACATTTTAAAAAGTTTACTTCTGTATCGCTTTTTATTAACTGTTATATTATCTAGAGATACCTGGTCATTCATATTTCCATTCGCTACTCTTAACCAATCTGATGGTATTGCCTGAATGAGGCCAAACCATTTTAGCATATAATTATGTGAAAGTCCAGTTTGCATTTTGACCTGATTCCATGATTTAACCATACCATTAAGCATAACATCTTTGATTCTTAGAAAACCTTTATCATAAAATTCCTTCCAAAATATTGATTTATTTCTGATGACAATGTTCTCATTATTCCAAATTATTTCATCCAATGCATTTTTCTTTGGTCTCCTTATAAGCGTATATGCCTTTAAAATATTATGATAAAATCTTGGGCTAATTGCATTTAGCTTGTTTATGTCAAAATTGCAGTTTAGCAAAAGTAAAAGCCCGCCATATTTATGGAGATAATGATTTGGAATAATTGTCCATTGTGATTCCTTTTTAGTATCCTTTAAAAGCTTTTGGGCCCATCTTAATTGAGAGGTTTGAATTTTGGTTTTGAGGTCGCTCATATTGAGTCCTCCTTTTTTAATTGTTGAAATAAGAGCTTTTCTTTTAATCTTATCATTTCCGTTCCAAATAAATTTAAAAACAATTCCGTTTATTTCCTTTACATAACAATCATCTGTTTCAATAACTGAACCAATAAAGCTAAATTTTGACAGCCCAAAAGTTTTTACGATCTGTATTTTACCTAAAATTGTCAAATTTCTACTTTGCCATAGGCTCAATACCTGCTTAAGGTGATTAATTGTCGACCTAAAATTTTTCTCTGCTTTGAGCTTTCTATCATAATTAAAATACACTCCAAGAATTTTAATTCTTGAACTTGTTTCAAGTGTTCAATGTCCCAAATTTGATCTTTAAATCTTCCTATTGTAAAGAGCTCAGTTTTGTCTAAGTTTGTTTTAAGGCCACTACATTTTTCAAAGCTATCAAGTACTTTCATTGACTGCAGTATAGAGTTTTTATCCCGAACAAACAACGTCATATCATCTGCATATATGCTCAGTTTTATTTCTTTATTACCAATTTGAATTCCTTTTATTAATGCATCATCTCTTATATTTTGGGCTAGAAACTCTACTGCAATGATGAAGAGTACTGGTGATAATGGATCACCTTGTTTAATTCCCTTTTCTATTTTAAATTTTCCCCCACAGAACCCCAAATTCATAACTTGGGCAGTTATATTACAATACAATATTTTAACCCATGAAATAACATATTCTCCGAAATTTAGTTTTTCTAAAGCTTTTATTAAAAAATCGTGGCTTAGAGAATCAAATGCCTTGAGAAAGTCAACAGCTACAAAAGCGCCCCCTATATTCTCATCTTCTGTATAAAACATCATGTCATCTATTAATCTTATAATTTCAGCCATTTGTCTTTCTTTTATGAATGCTGCTTGATCTGATTTAATTCATTTGCCTAATACAGATTCAATGCGCTTGCACATAACTTTGGAAATTATTTTTGCATCCACATTTATTAATGAAATCGGACGTTGGTTTTTTAAAAACATGACATCTCTTCCTTTTTTTCGGAATGAGTTTCATAATGATTTCTCTCTGAGAAACTGACATTTCCTTTTTATTAAATGTGAAACCTATAGAATTCATAAAAGTTGTTTTTATTTTTTCCCAAAATGTAGAATAAAATTCAATAGTAAGACCATCACTTCCGGGGGACTTATTATTTTTAAAAGTTTGAAGAATTTTATAACATTCTTGCTCTGTGATTTGACATTCCATAGACAATTTTTCCTCCTCGGTTAGCTTAGGAATATTATTATTTTCTAAGAATACATCTGCATTTTTATTATATACATTTGCTTTTGATTTTGAATAAAGCTGTTTATAAAATTCCTTGATTTTATTTTGAATTATTTCAAAATCTTTAGATATTACTCCATTTGCATTTTTTAATTGTGTTATGTTACTTTTTGCAGCATTTTGTTTCTCTAGTTGAAGAAAATATTTTGAGCCTTTCTCCCCTTCAACAAAATCTTGAGATCTTGATCGAATTCTCTCACCTTGTGTTACATAGTCAAAATGAGTCTCAAGCTCTAATTGGCATTTGTAGTATGCATTTTTAATTTCTATGTCATTTGGATTTTTATCTAAATTGCTCTGTAGCGTATTAAGTTTGTTTTCTAGGTCACATTTGTTTTTCTTTCTAGCCTTTGCCCTCTTCTTTGAATAAGCAATGGTAAAGTGTCGTATTTTGTATTTAATAAAATCCCAGACAACTCTTTGATCTTCAATTTCTGTAACTTCATTTAACCATTTGGGAATATTTTGCCCAAGTTCATGTTTAAAATCAATGTCATTTGAAAGGCTATTATTATACCGCCAGTGGTTTGGGCCTGGTTTTTTATTTATATTATTAAAATAAATGACTATAGGAGAATGATCCGACTTAATACCTGTATCTATATCAATCTTCTCAACATTATGTTGGAGGTTATCTGAACTCAGCCACAAATCTAACCTACTCATTATTGTAAGATTTTTCTGACGCCATGTGTATCTTTTTCTGCTGGGGTTTCTAAGACGCCATAAATCGACCAAGTCTAAATTAAGCATGAATGTGTCAAAAAAATTGATAATCTGTTTATTAACTTTATGATTTCCACCACTTCTATCAAGATCTGCACTGAATATGATATTGAAATCGCCGCCTATTATTAAATGGGTGTCATCGTTTGTGAAATCTTCTAACGCGCGAATTCAGTTTCAGAAGCCGGCTTCTTGGTGACTCCAGAAGCTGGCTTCTGTTGTCCTTCAGAAGCCGGTTTTTATAAGCCGGCTTCTTGTTGACTGTAGAAGCCGGCTTCTGCAGTACGTAAGAAGCCAGTTTGTAAAAGCCGGCTTCTTGGTGACTCCAGAAGCCGGCGTCTGTAGTACGTAAGAAGCCAGTTTGTAAAAGCGGTTTTTGCCTTCGTACTTCTGCATGTATGGCAAGAGTTAAGCGCAAAGTTTAAGTGTCAAATTAAATACAAACATATTGTTACTGGATCTTTACCGGGGAACAATATCACCAAATTTAAAATTTCATTAATAACAATTCTTGGCATAACAATTTATAATAAATGATGCAATTTTTCTGAAGATCACGACTGTTTGGAAAGCTTTGATATAAGAACAGCCTTTGTTTACATTTTTATGAATCTATAATCCATGTCATAGAAAGGGAAATTTTGTTTTAGCATTGTGGATTGAAAATCTATCCGATCCTCATTGGAACAAAGCGACATAAACGCAACGTGTTTAGGTCTCTCAACATTGTAGTTGTGCGGGGGGTGGTTGATTTAAAAAAAGTGTCTTGTTGGTGAAATGGAGGGTTTATCTTAATTTTTGGCTATTTTGGGGGTTTGTTTTAAGTTTGTGCATACTTTTTGTTAAATCAACCAGAGTTTCCTTTGTGTTACTATAGTATTGAGAGGTCTAAGAAAATGTTACATATGCTGTTTTGTTCCAACAGGGTTCGAAAAGACATTTAATTTCATTCTCAAGAATTGATAGAAAGGAACAAAAAAACAGTTGCACTAAAAAACAAAAAATGTTAACAAAAACAATCATATAAAATATATATACTAAAATAATTTTTACATTAAAAAAATCCCTTGAGGATGAAAGGGTTATTTCTCAACTTCGTAACCAAGAAGCCTCTGAACGGAGGTCAGATCCTTAAAGCTGACTCACGTTCCAAATGGAGAATGGGAACTTTACGGCAATTAAGCGCCATTATTTTTGGCAGTGGCGAATGATAGCTACATAGATACGTTTAACATGTGTCTTCTTAATGCAATTATTGAATTTTTATTTTGATAAAAGTCACAAATACATATTCATAATTTCGAAAATTTTGAAAAAGTATTGATCTTTCATGTCTGATTTCTGCCTTCATTAACATCTTCGCAACAGCTGCATCTTCCTTAAATACAATAAAAAATACAGTCATTTTTAATATTTATTAAGTGGCATTTCAAGAATTCGTCATTTGTTGAAATATGTTTGGTTTTGGATATGTTATGTAATTTTCTTTATGACTGGTATATTCCCAGTTTTTTAATTTACTTGCTGTATTCTGTAACAATTTGTGGTCCTTTCCCTTTGGCACGTGTGCATACATATTTGTTCTACTGAAGAATATGGCAAAATACTTTGGATAAATACCAGCCAATCAGAAATCGACTTCAATGTTTTTACGTTACTTATTCGTACATTACTATGTATTACTGTACTTACTATGCAAAACCTCTTTGACACACGAAACCTCTCTGAGTAGCACAATCAAGAAGCGTCGGTACTTTTTGTAGGTTAAATAGGCGGTTTAGAGCAACACAGCTTGTAGATGGAGCATGTGGTGGGGGAGCTTGAGGCGAATCCCATCCTTCATTAGGACAAAAATCATTACCTGAAGTAGATATATTTTAGAGTGAGTAACAGAAACAAAAAAAGAAAATGGGCCTTCAACAAAAAATTGCATTTTTGTAAGCTGTATAAACAATCAATAAATAGTACCGTGCGTACTGGGCTCACATGGTGTTGCTCAAAAGTGAATGATGGCTAAAATGGCAGAAATTAAAAAAATGGATGCAATTTTTGCCAAATTTTTTGTAACAAAATTATTTCATACAACTACTCTTTACAGTGACATGACTTTTTACGATGCAAGACACCTGAAATTATTTGTAAAGCTAGAATATGGGCCACAAGTGAATTTCGCAAGACAAGAATGGTGACCATTTTGAAAATTGGAAAGCTTTTGAACCAGGAGTCATAGGGGAGTTTTCTGCATTGATGTTGAACAAAATAACTTAAAACGGGAATCCTGTGGACAGGGGTTTTAAGGTTAATGGTCCAACAGTGGATTTCGCGAGACATATGGACAAATCAATGTGAACTAAAATGGCTGAAAATAAAAAAACGGATAAAATTTTTTGCCGATTTTTTGTAAGAAAATTATTTCATACAACTACTCTTTACAGTGACATGACTTTTTACGATGCAAGACACCTGAAATTATTTGTAAAGCAAGAATATGGGCCACAAGTGAATTTCGCAAGACAAGAATGGTGACCATTTTGAAAATTGGAAAGCTTTTGAACCAGGAGTCATAGGGGAGTTTTCTGCATTGATGTTGAACAAAATAACTTAAAACGGGAATCCTGTGGACAGGGGTTTTAAGGTTAATGGTCCAACAGTGGATTTCGCGAGACATATGGACAAATCAATGTGAACTAAAATGGCTGAAAATAAAAAAACGGATAAAATTTTTTGCCGATTTTTTGTAAGAAAATTATTTCATTCACTTACTCTTAACAGTAACATGGCTTTTTACAATGCAGGACACCTGAAATTATTTGTAAAGCTAGGAATTGGGCCAAAAGTGAATTTCGCGAGACGAAAATGGCGACCATTTTAAAAATAGGCGAGCTTTTGAACCAGGAGTCATTAGGGAGTTTTCTGTATTGATGTTGAACAAATATTACTTAAAACGGGAATCCTATAGACACAGGTTTTAAAGCAAATGGTCCAAAAGTGAATTTTGCGTGACAAAAATGGCGGCCATTTTGAAAATAGGCGAGCTTTTGAACCAGGAGTCATAGGGGGGTTTTCTATATCGATGTTGAACAAAAATAACTAAAAACAGGAATCCTGTCGACAAGAGATTTTAAAACTGGCTTATTGTTGACAGACGGACTGACAGACAGACGGACAGACAGACGGACAAGTGAGTGATTGCAATAGCTCACAATGTGAGCTAAAAATCACTGAGTACCATACTTTGAAAGATGTCCAGTCGTTCCGCTAGAGTAACCTCGCTATTTGCATGATATCAGACTTTAAATCTTTTGATTTATTGGGCAATAGCAAGCAATGTTTATACACAGGCGGGCCACATCCCCGCCTCTTACACCATCATTCCCTTCTCTTTAATTAGTATATCGTTTCCAGGGAGTCTCCAATGAGATGTGTAAATGTATCGGATGGTATGGCATTTACACTCATTCAATTGATTCGTTTCTAAACCCCAACTACAATTATTCAATCTCAAAATTAGCAATCGTCCGTACAGTACGGGAGATCTCCATCGGTGCTATCTACTGTACTTTTGTCTCTGCGATCTTCTAAGCATGATTGGGTGTCAAAAACCTTTTAACCAAGGGGCTATCTACCGCAGTATTCGCTTTGGGAGTCAGGTCTTCGCGATCTACCAAGAACGGTCGGGAGTCAGATACCTCATTACCCATTCTATCATGGGAGCTATCTGCCTGGTCCACAGCATGGTGTCTCAAAAAATGTACCCAAAAGTATATCAACACCATAGACAAACCAATCAATATTTTCAGACATTTTTTGCATGGTCTTGTAGATGAAATATGAAAGCTTTTTCTCCTAAACACAGTTTTTAGTTCAGTTTTGCCTTTTTGATACTTTCACCCGTTGCCTTTACACCACTATTCTTTGTAACCTCATATTTCGATGATAGTCTGCATCCTTACCACTACATTGTTCATCACATTTGATATTTCTGGTGAAATGATTTGATTTCTGTTTTGATGCTGGTCTTAAGTTGTTCAAGGTCTCTTAGCTTGGGGTTAGCATAAAAATGGTCCTTTAAATAGCCTCAGAGAAAAAAGTATGGGTTGTCAAATATGGTGAATAGGGCGGCCCTCACAATATCTTATACTTAAAGGTCAGAGGTTCAAGAAACTGCATTGGTTGGGATTCTAGTGCAGCTTCTGTTGTGAGTATCAATTTGAGACCACTGTGTTTTCATTTGGATATCATTTGGTCTCAGGCTAGCCTGCCTAACTCTGGAAGGTAACTCCTGAATCATTTGCCGATAATTGACCTGATTATCTATGTTTGTTCTGCCATCATCATCCTCAAACATTTTTCTCTGTGGCTATTTGAAGGAGTGTTGTAATGCTCATTCCAAGCAAAAAGACCTAAAACAACCTAAGGGCAACATCCAAAGAGAAATCAAAAACATTCCACAGGAATTATTATCAAATGTTATGAACAATGCAGCAGTAAGGATACAGGCTGTCATCGAAATATGAGGTTACATCGATTATGTGGTGTAAAAGGTAAAGGGTTAAAGCATCAAAAAGACAAGACTGAAATAAAAATAGTGTATTCGGGAGAAAACGTCCATGTTTTGGCTACATGACCATGCAAAAATGTCTGAAAATATTGATTGGTTTATCTGTGCTCTTGATATACTTTTGGGTACATTTTTTGAGACACCCTATATATCCAGGTGTCACATCCCCGATAATTGCGTAATAATTTGTTACGTAAAACATGGTCTTCGCTTGAGAACGAACATGAGTTTGAATCCAATGATAGATGTTTAATTAGCATCATGTATCATGTGCCGCCCCATGCCAAAGTAGATTAAGGTAAAGTTGCTGAAATTGCTTTAATTGATCTTATCCACTGATATAAATAAATTGGTATTTAAATATTCTTGTTTTTTGTATTTATCAATGAATAAACATTTAACTGAGCAAAAAGATTTCATATCAGGAAAATGTCTTCTTTCTTTAATATTGAAGTCATGAAACTAATACGTTATCCGACACAACAATTACTGGGACACTTACCACATGTAAATCTGTATAATATCATTACCGCTGGATCATCTGTTTGTGTTCCACATGACCACAACAATCCGTTATTGGTCCCTGAAATGAACCAGCTAATTAATTTTAATTAAATTTAATTAAGTTATATTAGTTTAGTTTAGTTTTAGTTTAAAATAGTTTATTTTTGTGTCACTGACATTACAATATACATATAAAATACATAATAAAAACAACATTTTGTAACATCACCAGCCGGTGCCGACTTATGAGACACAGTATACATTATATCTGAGTGTCACCCATTACTACCCCCAATGGGCAGCTTGGGTCAACACTCATAAAGACAGAGACAAAAAATGTCCCTGGTAAAAATTTATACATGATTAATAACCAATGATATAAATTCAGTCTGATTAATCAGTTTGGCATAAATAAATAAGCAGTTCATGGAATGATATTGTCAATCATTATATTAAATACATATATTGCACTAAATGAGAGTAGCATGTTGCATATGGTCAAAAATTACAATAAATACAAATATCGCACTAAATGTGAATTGTATCATGCATATGGTCGAAGACTGTTATAACAATAAATTCATATATTGCACTTAATGTAAGTAGCATGTTGCACTATGGTCAAATAATACAATAAATATAAACATTGCACTAAATGTGAAATACACAATGCATCGGTTGAAGACAAATATTACAATAAATGCATGTATTGCACTAAATGTGAGATGCATATTGCATGATAAATACATATATTGCACTAAATGTAAGTAGTATATTGCATATGGTCAAATATTACAATTAATATGAATATTGCACTAAATGTGAAATACGTAATGCATATGTTTGAAGACAAATATTACAATAAATGCATATATTGCACTAAATGTGAGATGCATATTGAGTAATAAATACATATATTGCACTAAATGTGATTTGCATGAGCAGTGAATAAATAAAAAAGAACCCCATAGATAATATACACCTCTGCAGTAGTGAATTGAGACCATCTTCCCCAAGGTTGATAGCTCGAAGCACTAAAAAGAGGCATCATAAAACCAAGGAGTTTCTGACTAGATACATTTTAAATAAATATTTTATAAAGGAAACTTAGGTGACATGCATACTCATTTAGTGATTATAGCCTATCAATATTAAGAGATCTCTTATTGCACATATTATAAACTAAAGCTCCTAATGGTCTTTGGAGTGAAGTACAATTCATAATGGAGACAAAAAGAAGTGTAGAATTGGCTGATGTTACATCTAAATAAGGCAATTTTTGTTTAACATTTTCATAAAAATCACATCTTAGATCATCATAATGGCTACATTCTAATAAGAAATGCTTTTCATCTTCAATACAATTCATGTCACATAATAAGCATTTCCTTTCGTGTAATGGTATACCTGTGTAGCGCCCTGTTTCAATTGCTAAGGGTAAAGTACCAGTTCTGAATCTAGCGAGTGACCTACGGTGATGCTTTGGTAGGGCCAAATACCCTTCCTTGCAAACACCATATTTGTACAGTCTATATTGCCTCAATTTATTGCCATTAATTTCATTATTTCTATCATCCCATATGTTATGGATAAATTTATCAGAATTTCGAAGAGAGTTAGTAAACTGTTTTAAAATGTCCTTGGTATGACCAGTGAAATTTATATTACATGTATTTAACATTGAATTAACTTTAAAGTCCCAACTGCTTTTCCGTTTAATGGACCATTCATGTATTTTAAAATTCAGCCTATTCTGATTCATGGACTTCAGTTTAATGAACAATCTAGCACATTCCACCTTTTGTTTTAAATGTGGAGTGTCCCATCCGAGATCTCCTCTAACAGCCTCATTACTAGTGCGTTTGTTTACACCTAGAAAGAACTTGCCAGCTTTATTTTGAACATTGTTCAGGCATTGATGTTGGTTGAGGCCAAATATAGATGAGCCATAGTTTAGTATAGGCTGGACTAAAGAGTCATATAGCTTGTTGTAAACTGCGAACTCCATACCCCCAGTTTGCTTGTATTTGCTGATAATCACACTCAGGGCTCTATTTGCTGATTTTGCAATTTTTCTGGCAGAATGTGTTGAGTCCACATGCTCTTGGAGCCAGATCCCCAGATATTTATAAGTGTCTGTATAATCCAGATCAAAGTCCCCACATTTAAAAGCAAAGTCTGACCTAGGATGTGATTTTGGGCGATAATGCACTATTTTAGATTTTCGAGGGTTAATTAGAAGTCTCCATTTGCGGCACCATTCATGTAGAGTGTTTAACATCTGTTGTAAGTTATCAGCTGAGCTTGCAATAAGCGCTATGTCATCAGCATAAAGAAGGATGCCTATGTTCTCGTCCTCCATTTGTATTCCACATTGTAGACTCTTAATGTCGGACACTAGATCATTCACATACACTGAAAATAATGTCGGGGATAGCAGACAGCCTTCCCGGCAGCCATTGCTTACGTTTACTTTTGGAGATAGTAGACCATTTATGCGAATGTTACATGTCACATCTTCATATAGGGATTGAACTGCTTTAAAGATTTTGCCTTTCATGCCAATCTTATTGAGTTTATACCATAGGCAGTCTCGATTAACACTCGAGAATGCCTTAGTTGCGTCAATGTAGCAAATAAAAGTATCAAGCTTAGAACAGTTTCCTATTATTGATGATTGAGTATACACTGTGAACTTGTTCTTGACAACCACGTCCCTTGCGAAAGCCCCCTTGTTCATCATGAATAAGGTTATTGTCCTCAAGGAATTGAGTTAGGCGCTTGTTCAAAATATCAGTGTAGACCTTGCAAGGCACAGATATTAATGTAATGGCACGATAGTTCAGAGGATTACATGGGTCTCCATCTTTATATATTGGGTGTATAATACCCTCCATCCACTGACTTGGCACAGTGCCAGAGTTAAAACAGAGTACCATAATTCTGTGTAACATGGTTATACAAAGTGGATTTTTCAAAGCCTCGGCTGGTATAGAGTCAATTCCTACAGCTTTACGAACTTTGGCCCTACCGACTGCCTCTACAACCTCTTTAAATGAAATATCTTTATTTATGTCTAAATTATTGTCAGTAGCATTACCTTCTATATTGGCTACTTGTTGTTTTATATATTCTAAGTGTTCAGAGTCAAACATAGGATTATTCTGAGCGGATGAATATAATTTTTCATATGTGTCAGCCCAGTGGTTCAGAACTAGCTGTTTATCATACACCAATTCACCAGATTGATTTTTCATTGTCCACGGAACATCTTTGGTACGCTCGTTTGCTATTCCTATTTTCCCTATGTATTTCCAAAAGTCCTGTGAACTGGATGATTTGTACAGATCAAATAGATGGTCTTGTTCTTGCTTCTGATATCTGCGCTTAGCTTTCCTTAGACTTCTATCAAAACAACGCCTTTCAATACAATAAGTTGCTTTGAGACATTGTCTTTTCGCTGTATCTTTGCATTGTATCCATGTTTGCTCAGCTTTTTGAACCTTATCCCATAATGATTGAAGCTCAGCACTCCAATAAGGTTTTCTACATGATTTAGAACGTTTGTGGGTTGGATTGGTTTGCTGGGGTATAGGTTCACATAAACGGTCCATTTCTGTTGACACTGTTTTAACAAATGTGTCATAAAGAGTTTTTATTTGATTGACAGATACTTCCTCATTTGTTATCCTATCTATTGTTTCCATTATTTGCCGAGAAAGTTCTTCATTTGAAAGGAAATCACCTGTGATTCACTGTATTAAATACCAACTGCTGCCATATGGTTATTTTCGCATGCGCAAATCCTAGTAATCGATCACAGGTAATTCAAAATGGCCTCCATAATATGTGAACAACGATGTTGTTTGACTACATTTTCTTTAATTGAAAGTATAGGAAACTGTTTTGGAAATCAATAATAGTTTCTCTGTTTCACTTCTGCCTTTATGGCAGAAATGAATAAAACATATAGAAACTGAGATGTTAGTAAGTGTAACGCATATAACTTTAAGAATAAATAACGGAATAGTTTCGCGGACTAACTACATAACGGTATACCGTTTTAACGATATGAAATAGCTAGCCACAGAATACAGCACATCATCGGAAAGCTTACATAGTCATTTTCAATATTTTCATACCAGAATTAAATTAATCATTCATGGAAATGTAAAATTAAATGTAATGCATAGAACTCACGAGAAAGATGACGAAACACTTTGCGGAATGATAACATTACGTACTACGCCTTTATAATTTGAAATAGCAAGTGAAACAGAGAGACGTTTAAATTAGAGTTATTTAAAGTAACTGAATGCGTTCCATTTACATTTTTTACAAACGCATTTTTTATCCAAATTCAGCCCCGAAAAACCGGAGATTTCACAAAATATGAGCCGGGATTAAACCCTGACTTTTTTTAACACAATATGGTTTCCTATTTTAGAACGGTGAATGTAGTATTTCATGTATATTGTAGTAAGCAATCATTCAGAATATCTTGATCGTTTGTCATCGGGCTTGTTTTTAATTCCTTATAATATATCGCTGTTTCTCAAAGCTATTGATAGTATCAATTAGATAATGTCGTTCCAAAAGTATTAAACTTGCGTATATCCAATGAAAAGGTTGTGTGTGCCGTCTATTATACCGACATGGTTTTCGTCACATATTTTTATTTTGTTATTTTTCTGTTAAAAGGTGTGAGGACCAGTAAAAGTTTGTCTTTTGGGCTTGGGACTTGAACTGGAAGTCTAATTATTGATTTCCACTCCTTTTCAGTGGGATTAAATTTTCCACCGAAACATCGTTTTCCCTTGGGTCTTTGTGTTGATGTTTTTGATATATAGCATGATTTGAAAGTCATTCACTCCAGTATTTTTTAGATGTGTTTTCAGAAGAATTAGAAGAATAAAAATAATCTTAGACCTCTGTGATTTGCGATGGCTGAGACTAAAGTTAAAATAATTTTTAAATTAAGTCACTTAGGTCGTTTATTTTTAAAATGCCTTCAATTAGGATTATTAACAGTTTCATTATTAATTGTTAACCAGCAAATGGGTTGATTCATAGTTTTGGACTTGTCATAAGGTTCAGCGTTCTGAATATTACTCCAAGTTTTCATTATTGAGAAGTAAAAGATTTCAATTCTAAAAATGATGTAATGATCTGAGTTGTTGAACTCGTTCAATGGTGTTGTTGTTTGGAATAAGAATTGTTGATGCTAAATAGGATAGTTGCAAGGGCTTTTATTATGACATTTTCCCAGTAAGACTGAAGTTTCTCCAACTCCACATTTGGAGAGATGTTCGATTGCTTTATAAAATATAAATGTTTCTTTCACTCCACCCGCTATGGCTCAGTGGCAGAGTCAAGGTTACCAATATCGCTTGGCCCCGGGTTCGGTTCCCGGTTCAGACAAGTTTGTTTGTGCGTTATGTAATTCTGGGTGTTTGACTGAGTGGTTCACGACTTGTATAAAATGCTGTGGTTTGTACTTGTACTTGTACAAAAGAAAACAGGGCTCCTCTAAGGAGTGTTTCTGGCTCTGTCTTCGAGTGAAAAACACGTAAAATACGGAATATACCAATGAGGTATTGCTCGCCAAAAATGGCGTAAACGAAGAGAGATAGCAAATGTGACGGAGAAATTAACAATCTCCGCTAGGCCCCAATTTTCTATGAAATACCTTGTAAATGTGCTTTGAGGGCATCGTAGCATACATTGGTAAGCGACCATCGAAACAAATGGGCACCGTCCTGTTGACAACGTGCTTCAGCTGCCATCCAATCCAGTAGAGGCGCACTATATACTTTGACACAGCCGGTCTAAATAGAAAAATGTTTTGATAACCACTTATTATACTCCCTAATGTTACTTAATTAGGAACTGATTGGATACATTTTGAAATATTTTCCTTTATACGTATAATAATGCAATATTCTTAACATTTTAGCATTTCTGATCTAGGGTAATAATTGTCCCTATCGGAATATGAGTAATTTGTGATCACTTCACGAAGATTTAGATATTTCGCATACGATATGATAAGCCAAGGTATGTGTCTTATTAACAATACATGACGACATAGTCTTAGTTATATCTCACCACTTGCCCGCACGTGAGGCATTCCTTAGAAAGTAATGTGTACCCAGTCGGACATTTTTCTAAAATTGAGAAAATTACGTTAGAGGTAGTTTAGAGCTGCGCAGTTATTCATATTTATTTATTACCACCTTACCGGGCCTGTTCTAGGGGTATTAGTGCTAGTTTAGAAGGCATTAATTTAGGAAATATAGACCGAATATACCCCGAATATACCCCGGGCGAAATGTTGACTTTGTTAACAGTTTATAGAAGGCGTGAATAGAGTCATGTTCGAATTTACTATATCGACTTTCAGAGCAGTATTTGGCGTCATAGTGGCGGGAGATATTGTCGGTCAATAATGATAAATAAGTTTATCGGTCTCTTGAAATCTAATGAACATCGAGATATAAGTCCAATAAAGCAAATAAAAAACATAAATAAAACATCCATAAACATGCATAAACAATAATGACAATTTAATTTTAACAATCACTAAGTACTAAGTAGCATAAAATGATTTTACGTCAATTCTGTTTAACAACTCTGGTAATATTATGAACTCTTGTAAAGTAATCACCAATTGTTTCATTAATTGTATCGTCGTGCGCTAACAAGGAGTATAAAAATAGACTACTTGTATTAAAATGAGAAAAAACTATAATTGTTATCATTTATGCCTAAATCCGAGTAATCAAAGTATTACTTTTTTAATAGAAATCCAAGATGGCCACCAAAATGGGTGCCAAACAAAAAAAAGTGGCTCGAGACTGCAAAAAAGCTGACCAATCAGAATGCCTGATATATCAGTATGTCCCATAAGTGCATACTCTTTGATTCTCGAGAAACGTCTCCACGCTCGAATTTCACCTATCTATCACTAGTGGATCGCTTTAAAAGTGATACCATCGAGAAACGTGCACGTGTTTGGTTAGCTTCACGATGACATTATTCTTCAAGTAATCGACCGAGAAATAGAAAAGAAAAATATCGATAAGTGCCATTTCTAAAACGTCGAGTTTGAAAACCTAAAAGTCGATTCGGACTGCAAGAAACCCGACCAATCAGAACTTAGCATTTCTTATGTGAAACTTGGAATTCAAGAAATCGGCCTTACCCTCGATTTCCTCTGTTTTCTCGCAAGTTGATCACCACAAAAATGGCACCACATGGAAGCTATGGTTCCTATCTAAACCATTGTTTTATTTATTTATCTAAATCAGTCAATAGACAGAGGAGCCATAAACAGATAAACAGCCAGTTTAGACTGAGAATAGTGGATTCAGACTGCAAAAACTTTAATGCAAATTAGTTAGTTCACTCTGGGTTAGTAGGTCGCATATCTAGATTACAGGGTAAGTAGGTTAGTTCTGTCAAGGCCGCTCTATAAACTAGAGGTGTAACTCGCCAGAAAAATCCAACTCGAGTTCAACTTGCCAAATATTTCCATTTCGTCCAGTACATATTGTAAACCCAGATACACAAAATTACTGTAACCTCTAGCGGCAAGTTTATCTGGTTAAGTCACATCTGAAAGCTGTTTAAGACGTTGGGGCCATAAGAAAGTGTGGTATTCATTGCAGTTATCTCATATTTCAATCAAAAACGATCTTCTATAGACGTCGCCGCATACGGAAAGGACTAGAAATCGCTGAAACGAACCACAGATCCGGAGCCAGATCCAGCCTCTATTGGTAGTAGGCTCAAAGGATAAAATGCTACATCAAAAAATGACCACACAAAATTTGACCCTCGTACTGACCTTTCTTCCATCTTTCAGACATTGATTGATCAATATTTACCCCATAATCTCTTCTTTATGTATTAGTTTGAATGGTTGCATGATATCAATTATTGATGCTGTAAATCGAATTTTCCCGGGACATTTCTTTCAAATTTTCAGAGCTTAAAGATAAAAGTGTTTCGTTAATTTCCGGCAATGTCCGATGTTGTTCGTCTCTCAAATTACGTCACATCGCAAGAAACAGCAAATGGAAGTAATTATCGTGTAGCCTAACAAACCTTTGATATTGTTTCTACCAATATTTTTGAAAAAATGTTTACAGCGGATCCATATCAATGATTTTTCGAATTGTTCGATTGATATTTTTATCATTGTGGGGACTTCATTTGAAAGAAAACATACTGTTTTGATAAAAACCACTGTATTTATGCCCAGAAAGTACTCATGGAGAAAGATATGACCGTCTAAATGTGTATTTTTTTTATCACTGGTCATTGTGAAATGAACATGCCTGCTCAAGAACCTGTATTTGAAAGTATTTGTTTTATGTTCCGATGTTAATCTTACAATTAATTTTCTGTCCGACTTTTGATAACAAATATTTACACCTTTGTAAAGTGTTAAGTGTATAAATGTAAGAAGGTATAAAACACTGAAGATGCCAATAAGAAATCAATTGACACAATAAAAAAGTAGAAAAACAGCAACTCCACAGAGTAGCAAATCCCATCGAACAAAACATGTTTTACAAGTGGCGTCAATCTTGAAAATTTGTTCTTGAACATAGGTCCGTTGTCCCTAGGATAAGCACATAGAATTGGAATCAAATCCGTCAACTGTTATTGGAGTTATCAACGATTTTTTCTGAAAAATGGCAATCATTTTGAAATTAAGCTTCCACCTTGAACATTTCTTCTTGGGAGAGCTCTTTTGTCCCTGGGTATCAGCATATACAATTTGATCTAAATCCGTCGACTTGTATTTAGGTTATCAAAGATTACATTTGAACGAGAAATGGTTGCCATTTTGATAAATAGTGGCCATCTTGATAAGTTTCTTTGGAACAGAGCTCCCCTATCCCTTAGCATCAGCTTATCTTTAAACGAAACAATTCACTGGTATTTGATTCATCAAATATAATGTTTTAAATGAAAAATGGCGGCTTTTTTGAAATTCAGCTGTCATCTTACAAAATTCTCCTTTGTCCCTAGACTTCAGCATATTTTGAACTAAAACTATCTACTGCACTGGCATCTGAGTTATCAAAAAATATGATTTAACGAAAATGGCAGCCATTATGAAATTCAGCTGCCATCTTCAAAATTTATTTTTGAGCAGATGATGATGTGACCTATATCCGTACACTGGTATTTGAGTTATCAAGAATTATTTATGCGGTTATCAAACAATCTCTTCTTGAGCAAAGCCCCTTTGTCCCTGGGTATCAGAAAAAATTGAACCAAATCCATCAACTAGTAATTGAGTTATCAAAGATTACTCTCTTTACGAAATGGCGGCCATTTTAAATTGAGCTCAAAAACATGTTCTCGAGCAGATATCCTACGCTCATAAGGCATAAGCCTATAACATTTGAATCAGATCCGTCGACCAGGTATTTGTGAGTTATTGCCAGGACACACAGACGAACGAACAAACGAACGAACGGACGGATCCACAACGAGAAACATGATTAACTAAACGGCAATAAGAAGAGAAAACAGACTAAGTATCCAAAACAGATAATCACACTTCAGAGAGAATAGTAAATAATAATTTGCTAGCCGTGCCGCCATCTATTATTAGTCAGTGCAGAGACCACTGCGTGACACGCCGGGTGTTTAGGCGTTCCTAGTTTTGACACCTTTTACAAAAACGTAATGTAAGGACGTGCAAAGACCGTAATAAAAATTCTATGCACGCGTTGAGACTAAGGATTGAAATATATTGTGTATCTATTTTATTTTTTCAGGCACCGGACGGACGGACGGATAGACGGATTGACGTTCGGTTGGATAATATAGACATCAATTTATACGTACTTCGATAACCTCAGTTCAGTAAGCGGGCCATTTCTAAAAATATATATGTTTTGTTTTTTAAAATTCAATTTTCTCAAATAAATGCATTTTACCCTTTACAGGTGGTGGTTTCTTTGGTGTAGGTTTCGCCGGTGTTGGTTTCGGTGGTGCAGGTGTCTTCGGTGTTGGCGGCGTCTTGTCTATAATTATATTAAATGTATTATTTCACGTTGTTGTGATGAATGGATATCACTAATGTATTTACCACTGAACAGGGTTGAAAGATGATGGACATTTATCCTATTAATGTGCCTTTAATATTCAATCGATTGCTTCTGTACTGTGAGTTGATCATTCAAACTGATTTTAAAGGAATTCAATTAACAAATCTATATCTTGGATCACACGAGGAAAAAATGATGAAAAGTCGTGATATATTCTTTTGATTACCTGGGCAACAGGCCAAACGATTTTCAGTTTGAGTGACGGGCCCTACGCATCCCACACCTTGGCACTCTCGTTGTAATGTGCACTTGTAATTGGTCATTTCACATACGACCAGACGCTTGTCTATAGAAATGGACCCAAGTCGACTTTCTACTGAACGTTTCAGTGGATCTATAACAGTGCAGCCCGCCGGTGCATTGCACGTGACCTCCACCCAAGGTCCCCAAACTGGTGTAGCAGGTTTTCCTGTAAAAAGGGGGTCATTAACAAAAGCTTAACATTCCTTAAGAATTCCAAAGTCTCAATCAACATTGATTTACAACATCTACATTGTACTGCTAATTATTCCTATATTTTATGGTGCATATTCCTCTCAATTTTGGGATGCTACGGCCACCGTATGGTTGCCGTAGATCAATTGTTACCGGGTAATTATTCTCTCACTACGATGTCATTACATACATGGTTAAAACAATAGATTTTGAAAATTCTTAATTCCATGAAGTTTTTGTAAAGGTGGACCGAATAATACAATCTATTTTTAAATGATTATTATTTAGCATCTGTTGGAGGATGTCTCTTAGTGTGTAATACCAACGTTTGGTCAATAGAACACGCTAATTTTCTTACAGTCCCAATTTAGTATTAAAGGTGCGTTCCCTGAAAATACTCAATGGTACACATGTTGAGGCTGATGGATACCTTGCATATCGACACATATCTATTTTGCAGAAATTTGAAGCAGAGCATTGTTTTGTGTATTCAAAAACTATTTTGGATTGTGACAATCACAAACTGCATAATATTAATGTTGTTTTATGTTTGAATTACTGTGCTCAGGTATTTGAAAACTCATGAGAATGACAAGGAGCATTGTGAATGTTTGCAATCGTTTAATTACAAGTACAGTCATTTCTGGTGAGGGTCGTCGCTCTTGCATCTCTTGCATTTAGCTATTGTTTCAGTTTTAAAAAAGGTTCCCGAAGGACAAGAGATGAGGAAAAATATATCAAACTATCTTTCAGACGGGATGCTCTGCTTACTGATTTTTGCGATTTCCATCGTTGGCACTGTGCTTACAATACATTTGAAAAGAAGTAGGTTAACAATTACACATCGAACTTACTGTTTCGTTTTGCACGCACTTTTCCAATTATGTGCGATTTTTGTTGTAAGTATAACAGGTTACTGTCTTTACCCTTTCTAAGTAAAATGCCGATAGTTAAACGTACATCGTCACATTTGAAATAAGTAATATGAAAAACCGTTATCGAAACCTCATCCGATTCATTCATATTTGATTTACCAGTTATTTTCGCCAGTGTATCTCTGTCACAAAAATTAGTAAATGTAAGTTAATTATTAACAATTCAATGACTGTATGTAAAATTCATTATTTACCAATTGGATGTATTGGTCGGACAGGTAAACCTGGCTGGGGATGGCCAACACCAACCACAACACAACATACTTTGACAATTCTTTCTATAAGAGGATTTCCACCACATTGCGTAGTATGTGCAATGCCACCACCTGTTCGTTTCCCTCTGCAATGACACTGACGCGTTCTAATAAAACGTGCAGTCCCAGGTTGAAGGCAAGTATTGGTCCTTGGTGCACCATTAAACACACATTTTGTCTCCATAATCCAATTACCAAAAGCACCCCAAAAACATCCTGTAACATAGAATGATTATACCAAAACATATTTAACCGAAAAGAACTACATTCGGTATTCCGAGTGATTTTATCATTGGGTAAAAACGTAAACATTTTCATTTAATTTTTTGTGCATTTTATAAGACGCAGTCCGTAAATCTAAGCATATTATACAATAAATGATCACGTAGTGTATATATTGCAAAACTTTTTGTTTTATTTTTGCCTGGTATTATTCTTAGACCACACATTGTTCGTTTTACTGAGAACCACGTGTTATTTTCAACTTAAGCACAAAATAAAAAGTGTGATTTGGATTAAACTGATAGATAACAGGATAGTAGCCCATCTCGTTTTTCTCAAGTTACTCATTTTAACCATTTGAAAAGTTTTCCCTGTGTGTCTTAAATCACATGTCAAACGTTGTATTTAATTATAAGTATTTTTCCTCTTCTCACAAATGAATGTCATCTAGGCGAGCTAATAGGCCAAATATAGCGAAATCGAAGAAGGAAAAGACGATCCTACCAAAAATAAATAAATTCACTACCACAAATTTTCGTAGGTGTTATTTGTGCAGATACAGAGGAGAATATTATTAAATGGTGAATTATTGGTAAGTGGAAGATCTAAACTGCTCAGTTCATGAGCTATAAATTAGGACTTTATATGTAACTCTATATATTGTGCATTAGGAGAACGCTTTTTATACCGTCCTCATATTAATTGAGAAGCGCTAGGAAAACATACGTTCATACTCTCCTCTTAATTAACAAACCTCATTTACCAATTTGAGGAGGTACGACAACAACCGGAGGAACAGGTTGGATAACAACAGCACAACAAGGTCTGTTAGTTCTTTCTACAGGATTCCCAACACATTGCGTAGTATGTGCAATGCCGCCACCTGTTCGTTTCCCTCTGCAATGACACTGACGCGTTCTAACAAAACGTGCAGTCCCAGGTTGAAAGCAAGTATTGGTTCTTGGTAAACCATTGGGCACACAATTTGTCTCCTTAATCCAATTACCAAAAGCACCCCAAGAACATCCTGTAATGTAGATTACATCGAAATCACCATAAATACAACAACTGTGATTTTAACAACATCTTACACGTTACACTTGATGGAAAATTGAGATTTCGCTCCGTAAAAGCACAACTAATATTTATTCGTATAGCTAAGCGTTATAAGTTTAAGTAAATTGAAATTTGGCATTTTGCAAAAATATGTACTTTTACGAAAAGAAATGTATAATATAATATAATATAATATATTATAATTCATCGATCAATGTTAGTGTCACAGAGAATGAATTATTTTCGCCTCCTAATCCATTGTTTAGAAGGTGGATTGGATAGTAATATGACTTCATGCCAAATATCTCTATTATTATCGTCCGACAACTACTATCTAGTATGTCTGAATGAGATAAGTATTTACCCACAAATAACGATTTATGAGGGATGGCTCCTTATGCATGGATAGAGCTGCGTAACAAATGATGACATATTGCACACCCGTTGTAAGTTATAAACACAAGGGATTTATAAACACACTATAAGTGCGTTGCGAAATCTCTCTATTGTTGATTATTTAACAGACAATATCTAACAATAAGTTTTATCAATAAAACATATTATTATATTATTATTATTATATTATATTGAGAAAAATATATTGTTCAATGAAAAATGTCAATACGTTGGTGTCCAAAACCACATGCCATGTGTTTTCCTTAAGTAATGTTTCTCCTCTCACAAATGAATGTCATTTGTACATCTAACTGTATCACGGTGTTATAGCATGACGGTTACGCCACCTCTGAAAACGAGGTTAGACGGCTACGTTCACTGAATTATGGCCGCGATTGAAGAAAAACCTAAGGTTGGTGCATTGTTTTCTACTACTGTGTATCAATGAAAGGATGAACGATTCATGTAAGCGTCGCATTCCGTGATGCATTCAGTAACGTAGTCTTTGCAAATTGATCCCCGTGGATAACATGAAATAAGAGAAAAACTGTCGAGTTTGAAATTAAAAACAACACCAAAATTTAGTAATGTGTTTATTTTTGTTGTTAGGGCATGATCTACATTGCCTAAACACCTTGTGGTATATAGATGTAACTTACATACGATCATACAAAGCCAATTGGACATTGGAAACCACCTTATATGTTCTACTCAAGCCATAATAATGTATTTTGAATTTTTCGGTAACGTAAAAAATTGATGGACGGTTACGCGAACCTGATTCAAATAATAAACCCCGATTCATTGTTATTAATTTTGTCATCTTCATCAGTATTTTATCTTAAATCTTCGTTTGCCTTTTCATTGCTATCTTTTAAACTTTTATCGGTTTCATAAATAAAGCAAGCGACAGTTTTTTTCCTTGCCTTATAGAGGCTGAAACAAGAGCGTCTCTTGCGAGTCCTGAAAACAAATATAGGAAATTCAATATTCCATTTCTTACCCATCATAACAATAACATGGAAAGAGCTGTCAGATCTAGCAACCTTGACTCGACAGATGTACATGCACGTAACCGTCCGCTAAATATCTTATGTACAACTAATACAATACGTTACATACGTAGTCGTCTAACGACATTGCGTTTGAAACATTATTATTTACGACATACACCACGTTCCTGTTCTGGATTTGTCATTTTATGCCTTGTTTATACACAGTTTACGTAACAAACCTCATTTACCAATTCGAGCACAGCAGGGTCTGTTAGTTCTTTCTACAGGATTCCCAACACATTGCGTAGTATGTGCAATGCCGCCACCTGTTCGTTTCCCTCTGCAATGACACTGACGCGTTCTAACAAAACGTGCAGTCCCAGGTTGAAGGCAAGTATTGGTTCTTGGTAAACCATTGGGCATACAGGTTGTCTCCATATTCCAATTACCAAAAGCACCCCAAAAACATCCTGTAATGTAGATTACATCGAAATCACCATAAATACAACAATTGTGATTTAAACAACATTTTACACGTTACAATTGATGAAAAACTGGAAATAATATAGAATAGAAGTTGTAATATGCTAATAGGTAGTTTGCATTAAGAGTGAATATAGTAGAGTATTGTTTTTGATATTAGAGAGATTTTGTTAGATTAATTACCAATTCCGACTTTAGAGAGCATACTGCTCCATTATTCAAAAGGAAACACTTATTGACCATTTTTGATATATATTATTTAAACATTGCCATGTTTATATCTAAATGTTTAAATAAACCATCTGGTTTTCCTTTATATATTTTCAAAGATTATTTCGAAATTGCAGAATATAGCCATGACACAAGATCAAAATATCTTTTAGTCCAGCCTAAGTACCGTATTAAGGTTGGTTTGGATTCTCTAAAATCTATTGGTCCATCATGCTTCAACAAATTACCAAATAAAATTAAGAAATGTGTCAATATTAATTCATTTATGTGATAGATTCATATTAAGAAAAGAAGAAGTAAGACAGATGTGGGCAATAAAATATTACAAATTTTATTGAATTACGTAATGTTACAATAAAATAATTTTTGGTTGGGGCAAAAATGCCCGCACATATATGTACATATGTATAACAATACATGATAATGAGACAAGGGTGGTGGCTGGGGAAAATGGGGGGGAAAAGATTTTTACTATAATATAAATCTATATATTATATATATATATATATATATAATGACTATGAAAATCAGTTAAAAATCCATTTCATAAATGTATCGATATCTAGACTCTAGGCTGTAAGTTGAAATATCTGTGAATGAGACTAGGTAGTTTGTGAAAACAGAAACCCTAGAGCCTGGAAGATTCTGATTGGTTACTGATGTTAGAAGTTTAAAAGGTTAAATATTGCATCACCACATAAAAAAAGAAAACTTGAGGATAAACACAAACACAAAGCAACTCCGTTCACCATGACAGACGTGATGAACAATACAATATAAGCATCGTGGATAAAGTTCCCTAAGCTCGATACGTCTGTCTAATTTCAAGTGTTATGATAATCTATTTCGCGTGTCAAACGCGATTGAATTTGTCAAGTGAGAGTCTCAGAAATTTCTTAGGAAAAAATTCTGTTGAGCATATTATGACGTCACAGCTTATAATGCTAACAATGGACCTTGGGGGAGGGGGATTTCTAATTCATTTTGGCCTAGAGTCAGTGTAGGGTATATAATAAAACAAATAGTGACTGCCTAATTTCGAGCAATAGTGTAAATGATTTCCCCTTGGGAATATCCTCTATAATGTACTATTCCCTCATCCTGTGGCTTTGGAATAGTACATTTTAGAGGATATTCCCTCGGGGAAATAATTTACATTGTTAGTACCTCAGTTGAAATACTCGATTTTGATTGGTCAACGAGCGGTGAATAATTTTAACTGTACACCGCGCAATGCATTGCCGGTGAATAATATTCCCAGCATTCCACTAAAATGACGTCATTATCAGACGATAAAATGGCCGCCGCTAGCACTAGCCGTTTCAAAAATTTTGAAGATGAGGATACTATTGGTCTCTTAGAGAGTAAAGACAGTCAAAATACGAAGAAAAATCTAAAACTTTGTACAAAGCTTTTAGTGGACTTCGCCCATGAGAGTAATTTGACTCCATTTAGTGAACTTACTGCCGTGGCAGATGTGGATCCAACTTCAAGTCAACTTCAAGGGTCAGAAAAATCTAAGATATTCTTCGGACTAACAAAACAATTATAGACCTCTCCATTCGGTTTACTGTCAAAATTATATCCCTCGACTGTAAACCTCGACCTACGGTCTGGGTTTACAGTCTCGGGATATAATTTTGACAGTAAACCTCTGGAGAGGTCAATAATTGTATATTATTCCCCTCAAAGGCAGTCATTATTTGTATATTACCATATACCCAATATGTAACACTAATCCTGACTGGTCAATACCAAGTCACGTGTTCCGAAATAGATTTACTGTTTCCCTTCGAAAGTTATATTTCCTCAAATGTGACGTCAGCGAAATTATACATTTGAACTATTGCCCGCTGACGTCACGATTGCTTCTATTACCCTTGGAAACGTCTGCGCATCATCACTGCGCAGACGAAAAACAGAAACATGGAGAATGAGCAAAAACACAAATCATAAAAAATACTAATAATAATATATATTATTATATACCCAATATGTAACACTAATCCTGATTGGTCAATACCAAGTCACGTGTTCCGAAATAGATTTACTATTCCCTTCGAAAGTTATATTGACGATTGCAACTTCTATTACCCTTGGAAACGTCTGCGCATCATCATTGCCCAGACGAAAAACAGAAACATGGAGAATGAGCACAAACACAAATCATAAAAAATACTAATAATAATATGTATTATTATATACAAAATATGTAACACTAATCCTGATTGGTCAATACCAAGTCACGTGTTCTGAAATGGATTTACTATTTCCCTTCGAAAGTTATATTCCCTCAAATGTGACGTCAGCGGGAATAAACATTTGAACTATTGCCCGCTGACGTCATGATTGGAACTGCTAAATACTTGGAAACGTCTGCGCATCATCAATGCGCAGACGAAAATCAACTCCGTTCCCCATGACAGAAGTGAGTGAACGATACAAGATAAGCAACGTGGATAAAGTTCCCCAAGCTAAATACGTCTGTGTAATTTCAAGTGTTATGATAATCTATTTGCGTGTTAAACGCGATTGAATTTGTCAAGTGACAGTCTCAGAAATTTCTTTGGCAAAAATTTATGTTGAGCATATGATGACGTCACAGCTTATAATGCTAACAATGGACCCCAGGGAGGGCGCTTTCTAAGCCTTTTTGGCCTTCGCAGAGGAAACGGGACAAGAGTCAGTATCACGGAGCGGTAGCCAAACTGCTTGCCTACTATGCACGCATATATCTGCGTGCATAGTAGGCGCGCAGTTTGCCTACCGCTCCGTGCAGTATAAGGTTATAATAAAACAAATAGTGACTGCCTAATTTCGAGCAATAATGTAAATGATTTCCCCTTGGGAAGATCCTCTTTAATGTACTATTCACTCAGCACGCGGCTTCGGAAATAGTACATTTTAGAGGATATTCCCTCGGGGAAATAATTTACACTATTGCCCTCAATGGCAGTGACTATTTGTATACTGTTGAGTATTGACCGCTTCTAGGTACTGTTGACTGCGACTTTTGAAAAATAAGTTTCATGACGTCATAATGTTAACAGAAAAACATGGTGGATGGACATTTCGTAAACGTTTATGAAAGTGATATTTTGACTTTACTAGACAAGTATAGCAAAATACAAAAAACGTAAAATTAACATTACTTTACTAATGAGTACGCATTGCTGGCGTGGTTCGTAGAAAAGATTGCGAAATGAAGCCATGTCGATTGATGATTGTCGTCTATATTATTAGTTTTTCCGGACTAACAAAACAATTATAGACCTCTCCATTCGGTCAACCGTTAAAATAATATAACTCGACTGTAAACCTTGAAACTACTGTTGATCTCGACCTACGGTTTCTGTCAACAGTAGTTTCTCGGTTTACAGTCTCGGTCTATGGCGGATCCGGGGGGGGGCCCATGGGGCCCGGGCCCCCCCCCTAAGGTTGGCCCAAAAAAAAAAGAAGTTGGGCCCAAAAAATTTTTAGGCCAAAAAAGGCCTTAAGGCCCCAAAAAGTGGGCCTTTTGGTCATTATTAGGCCTTCTAAGGCCTTATTTTTTTAATTTAGGCCAAATTTTGAAGAAAATGGGCCTCAAATTTTCAAAATTTGGGCCCACTTTTTCGGTTTTAGGGGCCCAAAAATTTTTTCCGCGCAAGCCGACCTCTGGAGAGGTCAACAATTGTATATAGTTCAATGAAAAATGTCAACACATTGGTGTCTAAAACCCACATGCCATGTGTTGTCGTTGAGTAATGTTAAGTCATATGTACATGTAACTGTATACGGCATTACGAAAATATGCTTCCATACTCTCCCCTTAATAATTAACAAACCTCATTTACCAATTTGAGGAGGTTGGACAACAACCGGAGGAGCAGGTTGGACAACAACAGCACAACAAGGTCTTTCAGTGTGTTCAGCAGCATTCCCACGACATTGAGTAATATGCGTAGTGCCACCACCTGTTCGTTTCCCTCTGCAATGACACTGACGCCTTCTAATAAAACGTGCAGTCCCAGGTTGAAAACACGTATGGGTCATTGGTGAACCATTAAAGACACAGTTTGTCTCCTTGATCCAATTACCCCAAGCACCCCAAACACAACCTGTAATAAAGATCGAAATCATCTTAAATTGGAACTAACTCGTTCTATATTGCGTGCAGTACCCTAATGAGTGCACATGAGGGTACACATTTTGTCTCTATAATCCAATAACCCATGTGACTAAATGACAACCTTTAGTATAGGTAATATTGAAACAATTTGCTTCAAAAGGTTTGTGCATGGCATAAAGCAGGTGCTTTGCCAGTCATATTTGGTTAAAAATGATATTCGTATTTTTCCCCCATAATCCAAGTACTCCAAACTCTCAAATCCTGTACTTTTAGAAGTAATATACATGATTAATATCAACGGAAAATACTAGAAGTTGGCACAGATATTTAGACTGGTGTAAATGTTATAGTATGTACTTATTAAAAATCTGATTCAAAATTGGTTATAAAACATAACTAAGGAATTAGCTCCCTTTGTTTGGTGTTTAATTTATATCTGTTTTGGTAAGAAATGAAATTATATGCATCGTATTATAGTCAGCTGAATATATGTTAGTTTATGTTTCATTTGATTGAGTATATGCTAATTGAATGTACATTAATTGATTGGTGTTTAATAAATCTAGCTTATCAACTAATTTCCCTTTCATATTTTTCTAGAAACAGAAAAATGAAAATCAATTATGTTTCCGTTTCCTTGTTACATATCTTTAATTGGTAGCCGATCAGAACTTACTAGGCGTTGGAACTGGACACGCCTGATTGTGGCATTGTATTCCACCTCGTTCTTGAATATTACTTCCGAAGCAACCATCTCCTATGGCAGGCGCTCTTAAGTATTCTTTGGTCCTTGTTCGCGTTTCACTCCGTGTACCCACGTCACATGTCACTGAGCATCTCCCCGCTAGCCATGAACTCCAAACACTCCATCTACATACTGGTAAAGGCATGTCTGATATAGAGTTTTAATATCAATCATGGATAGTTAATGCATTCAAAGGTGCCCTGCCTTTCAGAATTTTAATACCATCAACTCCATACAGGGCATTAACATGACAAAATGTCACCACCTGGTTGTTTACTACATTATTAGTTCAATCTTAAGTCAGATTTGATTTTCTGAAAACTCTGAAGATGATTTTAAAAAAATGGTCAATTTAAAGTAAGTTGAAAAATACCTTTTTTGACCATGAGAATGTCATTGAAGGTGAAAGGAGTGGTATTGATATGGAGAACTGAATTCAACAATGTTTTTCTCTTAAACCAATCATTGAAAACATTCTGTAAAAAACACGGTATTCTATGTAATGTTGACAACAATTTAATGCGAAAATTATCTAGAAATATTTTATATAATTGTTTATGTTAACATTTTTTTGTTTTATTAGTGCAATTGTTTTTGCTCCTTTCTACCAATTCTTGAGAATGAAATTAAATGTCTTTCCGAACCTCGTTGGAACAAAATAGTATCTTATCTACAGCATGTTTTTAGATCTCTCAATATTATAGTTATACAAAGGAATTTTTGGTTAATTTTAAAAAAGTATTCAAAAAATTAAAACAAAATCCCCCCCAAATAGATGAAAATCAAGATAAACCTTTTATTTCATTAAATCAACCAAAATTTCCTTTGTATAATTACAATATTGAGAGACCTAAACATGTTATGTTTATGTCGTTTTGTTCCAACGAGGTCCAAAGATGTACATTTACTCTGGAAACATGATTTCAAGAACAAAACAAGTGTTTCATGTGTTTTATAAAACAATATAGATGAAAGTATATATATATTTTTTAAATTATATTGTTAGCATTCAAAAGATGACCATTAAATTGACGATGAATTTTTAGATTTTTTATGACTGGTTTAAGAGAAATGAGTGTTCAAATGTTCTCAATATCGATACCACTCCTTTCAAATCTAAAGTCAGATTTGAACTTTTGAGAGCTTATTGATGAATTTGAAAAACAACTGGTCGATTTGAAGCAGGTTGAAAAAGACCTTTTTGACCTTGGGAAAGTCATTGAAGGGGTCAAATCTATAGTCAGATTTAAACTTTTAAGAACTTGTAGATGAATTTGAAAAAATAGTCAATTTGAAGCAGGTTGAAAAAATACCATTTTGACATTGGGAAGGTCATTAAAGGTCAAATTTGTTTGACCTTGACAAAGCCATTGGAAGTCAAAATTATTGTCAGATTTGAACTTTTAAGAACTTGTTGATGATTCAGAAAAAATGGTCAATTTGAAGCAAGTTTTGAAAAAATACCTTTTTGACCCTGAAAAGGTCGTTTAAGGTCAAATCTTAAATGTAAAGTCAGATTTGATTTCGGGGAAATTGTTTTGATTAATCAGAGGGGTATTTTCAGATACGTTAGTAGCGTTAGTTGTACGTTAGTAGGTAAAGTAGCAGTTACTGTAATATCGTAAATGATCCGTGATTTTTACATAAACCGCAATGTAAAGTATCTCATCACAACTAAATATGCAACTAAAGGTGTCACATTTCGGTGCTTATCCATACATTTACTCCTATGCCACACTCAAATATATTTGAAATGGTAATCATAGGCATGCTTGCAACATTGGAAAATTGTTTCGTATTCTATGGTTTAGCGTAATTCCATTTAATATGTTAAATGTTTAATGATAAAATAAAATTTGATGAGTGATATTATTGTTTTTATACAGTTCGATTTTGATTTTTGTAGCAATTTTATTCTTTTCGTTATCCTGAGCAGTTTTTTGATATTAGAGAATGATTTTCGAATGTTTTAAGTATTTAGTCATAACATACCAGGCGTAGGAACTGGACACGCCGAATTACGGCACTGCACTCCATCTCGTTGTTCAATACTACTCCCGAAGCATCCACCTCCTATGGCAGGCCCTCTTACGATTTCTTTGGTCCTTGTTCGCGTTTCACTCCGTGTACCCACGTCACATGTCACTGAGCATCTCCCCGCTAGCCAAGAACTCCATACACTCCATCTACATACTGAAATTGAAATTGTTTCAGTTTCAAAAGATAGAAATCAAAGGGGCCTTTTCAGATATGTTTAGCAATCTAGTCCTATTGGTCCGTGTGTGCTTTTTACATTAAGCATTAAACTTCAACGATGTCACTTATAGGTGCTACACATAACATTTAGTTTTATGTCTTAGTCACATGAGATATCCATATGTATTTTGAATGACCACAACAAGCACTGGCGGAACGGGGGGGGGGGGCAGGGGCCAAAAAGTCCTTAAAGCCCCAAAAGGTGGGCCTTTTAAGGCCTTATTTTTTAATTTAGGCCAAATTTTGAAGAAAATGGGCTTCGAATTTTCAAATATTGGTACCACAAGCCCAGAATTTTTTATCAGAAATTGAATTTGCCCCCCCCCCTGTTTGTTCCCAGATCCGCCTCTGAAATGTGTCATTGTTTCTGATATTTTAATTCCAAATGTTTTTACAGAACAATAATGCATTTACATTTGTGTCTGAGATATTTGTATATCTGATTTTTGGCGGCTCCATGTTTTTGTAAAACCCATTACAGAAAAAGCATACCGGTAGGCGTTGGGCACGGCTGCATGTTACACGCCACATTTCTGCGCTCGATTCCATCTCCGAGACATTCTGGCTGACCATACTGTTCATATGTGTAAGTCTTTGACCTCCACCTCGTGTTAGACTGCATACCTTGGCCACACGTTACTGAGCAAGCTCCTTGTTCCCAGGATGACCAGCTACTCCATCTACATACTAAGTTGAAACACAAATAGTGCAATAGTTTCGAGGCTTTACTCTGCATGATTGTTTGCAAAAGAACAAAGATGCACACATCATTGCTTTATAAAAACTGAATTCTGGCAAATTATGTTTAATAATATGAGCTCATTTTTTGACGAAATATTCGGGTGTTTATATTTTGAGATAATGTACCTCGCGATTTACACACATCATTGCGGCAAGATATAGTTTTCTGTTGGATATTATTTCCAATGCATTCTACGACTCCCTCGCCAGACTCCGAATTGCCATACAGTTTTGATCTAGTTCGTGTCTCCGTCCGACTGCCTACTCCACATGTCGCCGAGCAACCGCCCTGGCGCCACCTGGTCCAGTCACTCCATATGCAAACTAGATGGTGTGTAATAGTAACTATTGTATCAACTATACAAAATATCAAATCAGAAATATCAAGCTATACAAGTGGATCCTTGAAATTAGAAATTCAAATCTCTATATTATTATGCAAATACTGTTCATAAATACACTCTCCTTCATAAGTTTGGCAACCTTAGCCCCCATTTGAACTACGTGTTAAATGCCTCTTTCTGTTTGAATTTTCATTTACATACCTGTGAAGAAAATACTTATAATATTGATGGGAATGTAACTTGACTTCATTTTCAATGCCTCCAAATTTTCCTAATAGTAATAACGTACTTCAATGAGGGTGTTAAGGTTGCCAAACGTGTGGAGGGGAGTGTGCTTGGCATCCTCTATCGTTCCCTGACTAATTGGAACGTAGAGCTTGATAAAAAACTAAAAATGAAAAGGCCTATAGAAGCATGCACAACGTTTCTAGTTGTATTCCATGAAGAGTGGTACCTTATATTGTAATACATACGAGGGGAGATTCAAAAGTAATGGACAAAATTTTATAGGCATACTAAATTTCACCCAATCAGTCTAATTTTTTCACAGTGAATAGATCAATCAATTCTCTACTTTGTGTCGAATTCTCATTTAAATGCATTTGAAATTGTTTCAGCTATGCGTAACCATGGTAACAAGGGTAAGCATGGGTGGAATTGGTTTTTTAATGATAATTGAATGTTTTTGTCATTTTTGCTTGATTTCGTTTTAATGACTCAATTACCACATATGATATGTCTAACAAGCATGGTAATGCAATTGTCAAGCAAGACTCACATGCCCATGTGTTTGCTGTTGAGTTCTAAATTCAGCAACCAATTGTGCTATGACATCACAATGATATTTCTAAGAATGATGAGTCACAGTGAGTCAGAAAGTAGATCAGACTCTTAGACTCACACACATCCAAGAAATGTCTACTTTACAACAAATCAAAGTTAAGCAAAGGATTGTTATTGAATATTTGGTAGCTACTGGAGAGACAAGGCAGGCAGTTGTCAAGAAAATAAAAGAGACACATGGAGACAAGGCCTTGTCAAGGCAATTAAGCCATTGAGCGATGGTACAAACACTTTAGTGAAGGGGATACGAGAGTCTTAGATCTAAAGCGATCTGGAAGGCCCAAGACTGGCCGCACTGATAACACTATTCACCATGTAGAGTCCATCCTAAATGCAGACAGGAGATTGACACTGAGAGAAATAAGTTCCATTACAGATGTGTCCTACTCTACAGTACAAAGGATTGTAAAATGCGACCTAAATATGAAAAGGGTGTGTGCCAAGTGGATTCCTAAGCTTCTTACCGAAGAACAAAAGAAACAACGTGTCGAAGTTGCGCAGGATTTTCTGAAGCAATACAACATTGAAGGAGAAGGATTCCTAAAGCGTATAATCACTACTGACGAATCATGGCTATACTTTAGAGATCCAGAAACTAAACTACAATATACACAGTATATCAAAAAGGGTGAGCGGCGCCCAACAAAGGCTAGGCAAAGCAGATCCTCTGACAAAGTGATGATTGTTCCCTTCTTCGATTATGATGGCGTGATCCTGACCCACTATGTTCCTCCTCATCAGACTATCACAGGGAAATACTTCACCAAGGTAAACATGATATTTTCATCCGTTTTAATCATTGTCAATTTAAAAGGAGAGAATGAAGTCATAATAGCTTTAAGCAAGATTAATAATTTGAAAATAGATAAATAAATAAATGAATGAATAAATAAATAATGATATTTCACTTTCAGGTTCTAAAATGCAATCTTGGACAGGCACTTCAAAAGAAAAGGAAAGACACAAGAGACAATCGTTTGTTACACATAGACAATGCCCCAGCACATAGGTCCAAGCTAGTTCAGGATACTCTTGCAGCATTCATGGACATGCCTCAACTTCCACATGCTCCATATAGCCCTGATACTGCTCCTTGTGATTTCTATCTTTTTCCCACCCTCAAGATGGCATTAAAGGGACAATCCTTTCAGACATTAGCTGAGCTGAAAATGGCTGTACATAAACAGCTGAACACCATGCATGGCTGCTGATGGATTTGGGCATGTGTTCTCTGCATGGGTGCGCCGACAGAAGAAAGTAATTGAACTTGGAGGAGAATACATTGAGAATTGAATATAATTCAAATGGATGATCATCAGGAATAATAAGGAATGATATGGATTATTATTGAACTTACTGCGATATGCTTTTCATATACATCTTGCATTGCAAAATATATTGCACCAGCAAACTTTTCATTGAAAATCCGTTTGTTATTATGATGAAAATAGCCTTAAAATGGATTCCGGGTGTATGCACTAGTGGTGTCAATTAACTGCTTGAGTATTAACCGGTTAACCGGATGTTTTTACCGGTTAAAGTCGGTTAACCGGCGGGAAATTTGAACTGATAATTTCAAATGAAATCTTCATCTTCGATCTTGAAAGTTGAAAAAAATTGGAAAAATGATATATCAGCGTTTATTTTTTACGTTCGTCAAGCTTTACTCTGTTCTATTCATACACTACCTGACTACCGGTACCTCTAAATTACCACACTGGTTTACCCTTGGAATCACCACGAACGCACCATAACAACGAGAATTGCAGCTGATTAGTGTTTATTTTGATTTTAATTTTCTCACTACCAAAGCGAGGCTTTGACCTTTGACATTTTGGCGACGTTGATAGACAACAATAATAACAAAACTGAAGAATTAAAAAATGCATATAATTTATTTATGAAATAGTTTTGCAATATGAGTTGATTACACATGGCTGACACTTGAAAAACCAACAGATTAACATGCAAAGTAAGCGCGGGAAAGCAATGTGGCAGGGATTAAAGGTGCTGATTGGATGTTTGTAAGGAGTGATCGGAACTATCACATGTATGAGTAGCTCACATGAAACTGACACTTGAAACCGCATACTATGCACCATGATCCAAGAGAAGTGCTCTATCTCAAAATGTATTTGCATTTAGTTAATAAAATTTTAATATCTAATGGATAATTGATTGATCTTTATTTGTACAAAGTTTCATTCAAATCTGGTAAAGGTAAGCGTGCCTATAAAATTTTGTCCATTACTTTTGAATCACCCCTCGTATTTTACCCTGTGTGAAAATAAGTTAAGAGCTTATTAGCGCTCTTATTTAATCCACTCGTATGCTCTTTTCTGTACTTAAATCGATTGCATGTCTGGAAACTAGATCCACCAGGAATTGAATGAACGAGTTCCTTAAAATGATTTATCTATTTGAATTACATGTCTTTGTTTCCACTACTGATTCGGTTTGTAACCTTAGTATAAAAACGTAACATACAGTAGATGGATAGACACTTAATACTTGTTTTACATAATCACATATACAGGGTGGGCCTCAAAAGCAATACCCAAGTTTAAAGATGAATATCATAATTATGATCATTTCATGTCTTATATATCATTTTAATATAAATTATTTGCCAACAATTTGACATCATCCCATTGAAAACCGTTGTTTTCATGTGGAGTTAGAGGCTAAAATTGACACCATGGGTGTCATGACCGACCAAACAATTATTCACTACAGATTTCCAATTTGTGGAAAATGGAGGGAAATTTGAACAGTGACACCTTCAAAAGAGGTACATTTAAACAAGGTTATTGCAAAATTCACAAGTAATACACGTACGTATATCATTTCGATTAACTATCAATTGTGTGTTACTCATATGTATAAATACATTATGATTTAGTCTAGCGTATTGAGAGCAATTGCGACTGCAATGTGAAGGGAAACCCGAGAGTTTTTTTCTTGTGTTTTGGTCGCTCATGACACCCCTTGTTTCAATTTTAGCCTCAAACTCTACAACGAAACGAAGGATTTTCAATCGGATGGTGTCATATTATATAAAATGGTCTACACGACCACGATGGAACAAATAAATCTTCCAAATTTGTTGAGTTTTCTTGCAGAAATCGCCTAATCCCCCCTCCATCATTTTTGTACGATCACCGGGCGTGAATAAAATGTACTTTCCTGGTGTCTTTTGGAAACTGTCCTCCCCAATGGGCGTAGCGCTATTTTTCTAAGTAGTACGCCACCACCACAGGAACAAAAGTTGAGTGGTTAAAAAAAGAGCATTCAGGGGGGGGGGGGGGGGGTGTGGGGGTTCTCCCCCAGGAAAATTTGGAAATTTGGTTGTATTAGGAGTGAATTTGCAACCATCTGGTACGCCTGTGCGTACCCAGCGTACCGGGCGCTACGCCCATGCGTGATGTTTACGTCATTTAAGGTAAACGTTTCAGTATAAATTTGGCTGAAAACTTATATCGAAAGCTGTCTAAGGTATTCACGTTAACAATAAACAATACGCGTTTAATGTTTGTGACTTATTTATTAAATAATGGTACGCACCTCGCCTAGCACAAGTTCCACTTCCACATATTTCGTTGTCATACTGCTGAGACATTCCCCGGCAGTTAGAGACACCGAAAGGCCCAAATTGTTTGGTTCGCGTTCGGTATTTAGCACGCGTACCTTGGCCGCACGTTACCGAACATCGTTTAACTTGCCATCTGTTCCATTCGCTCCAACGACAAACTTGAGAAAAAATCACAATATCATAATTTCGGGCCTTGCATTCAAACGGGACAACGTCTCCATATCTATAGTGTTGATGCGGACGGATCTCAACTATCAAACAGATCTTTGATTGTGCACGTTCTTTGATCGATGCAATAATATTTCTAGTTCATACTTGTTTTAAAATCTAAACTATTGTAAATAAACAATTAATTGTAAAAGCCGAACCATTTTTATTCCATCGCCAAGACTACGTGTTTGAGGAGACAAATTTTTAATCCAGTAAAGTGAGACCCACGCAATTATAGGATTTCGAATTTTTAGAAATTACGCATACGTAGGCCAAACGAATTTAAAATTTGGACACTAGACTTTCATAGACAAAGCACTCCAAAGACTTTATTTAGGCCTCAGGTGTCGTACCAGGGCAAATACAAGAAGGAGTACTCGGTGAATTTGTTTTCACACATTTTCCCTCCATCCTCCATTCATCCCAATCGCCCCAATAACACACTTGAATAATTGATATTTAGCAGTCATATGTCCCTATCATTGAATATATGCCTGAGGTCTGTCATTAATATAGCCCGAGCTTGCGAGGGCTATATTACGACAGACCGAAGGCATTACATACCTTAATAGAGATTATCCTATATGAGGTTCAGGATATTGGGATTATCCCGAGGCCAATATAATATATCTGCCCGAGGGCCGTAGGTCTCGAGGGCAGATATATTATATTGGCCAAGGGATAATCCCAATATCCTGAGCCGACTATAGGATGATCTGTTTATCCCATACCAATCACATTGTTCAATTGGCCACAGTTCAGAAACTTTGCAACCAACTGTGGAATTATTTTAAAATATTCATGTCCAGTTTTGTATTCTTATCCGAAGTCGGATTTTCCTGTTCAAATCTTTGATTATGAACGGGACATACTGCTCCTTCCCTTCTTTAAAGCATCAAACAGATCGCGATTGTCTGCGTTTTTCTCCATTGTCGTTTACACTATGCGAACGTTACAAACAAAGAACCAGGACCAATACGGGAACAGCGATTATGACGTAGCGGGCAGATGTACTATATCTGCCCGCTCGGAGCGGGACGTAAAGCTATATCTGCCCGCTGATGAAAATATAAGTTTTTACAAACCGGCTTTATGTACCTGTATTCTGTAACACATCCAAGTATGGGATAAAAGGTATTACATACCTTTACCTTACATATTACATGGCTACGCTATATCAATAGAGATTATCCTGTATGAGGTTCAGGATATTGGGATTATCCCGAGGCAAATATAATATATTTGCCCGAGGGACGCAGGTCCCGAGGGAAAATATGTTATATTGGCCAAGGGATAATCCCAATATCCTGAACCGACTATAGGATAATATGTTTATCCCATACCAATCTTGGTCATCTGGTTCACATTGTTCAATCGTGGAAATATTTTAGAATATTCATGTCCAGTTTTGTTTTCTTGGCCGTGGGTGGATTTTCCTGTTCTCTCAAATATTCCCATATTTATTTTCTCGAATTTTTGATTGATTAAGGATGCTCCTTGCTATCAACCAGATCCCGATTGTCTGTGTTTTCTCCATTGTCGTTTACAGTCATTACGCGAACGTTACAAATTATGAACAAATATGCGAGCGACGATTATGACGTAGCGGGCAGATATACTATATCTGCCCGCTCGGAGCGGGACGTAAAGCTATATCTGCCCGCTGATGAAAATATAAGTTTTTACAAACTGGCTTTATGTACCTGTAATACGTCCAAGTATGGGATAAATGACATTACACGTCTGTGTGCGAATAAACTTTGGAGGAAATGAAACATGACGTCATAAGATTGTCATGGTAAAAAGTTTGGCAGCTACAGGTATACTTAGCAGTTATGTCCCTATCATTGAATATATGCCTAAGGTCTGTCACCAATATAGCCCGAGCTTGCGAGGGTTATATTACGACAGACCGAAGGCATATATTCAATGATACGGACATAATTGTTGTATTACATAGTTTTATATCATGGCTACGTTATATCAATGACGCCACGTGTCTGTGTGCGAGTGAAAGTAGGAAGAAATGAAACATGACGTCCCGATGACGTCATAAGATTGTCATGGTAAAAGGTTTGGCGGCTATACTTAGCAGTTATGTCCCTATCATTGAATATATGCCTAAGGTCTGTCACCAATATAGCCCGAGCTTGCGAGGGTTATATTACGACAGACCGAAGGCATATATTTAATGATACGGACATAACTGTTGTATTACATACTTTTATATCATGGCTACGTTATATCAATGACGCCACGTGTCTGTGTGCGAGTGAAAGTAGGAAGAAATGAAACATGACGTCCCGATGACGTCATAAGATTGTCATGGTAAAAGGTTTGGCGGCTACACAGGAATATATAGCCGACCTTCAGCTCCATTGACTTCAATACAAATGCTTCGATGGGTATGTAATACAGGAATATATAGCCGACCTTCAGCTCTATTGACTTCCGTACAAATGCTTCGCTAAGTACATGTATGTAATACTAAATAATATAGACATGCTTGCAAGATTGCAAAATTGCTTCGTACAGTATATGATTCTAACAAAATTCGTAATAAAAGTTAATGATCAAAATTGAATAACAAGTGATGTTATAGAGACAGAGTTTGATTTAACTTTGTTGTAGTAGCATTATATTTTATACAATATGCGTAGTCAAAATCCGAAAGAATATGAAAGTCTATTCTTTATCGTAGGTAGCTTTCCAATAGCATCATTTCTAAATGTACTAAGTATTTGATCATAACATACCAGGCGGATCCGACTGACACGGTGGATTGCTGCATCGTATTCCATATCGTTGTTCAGTACTACTCCCGAAACATCCATCTCCTATGGCAGGCCCTCTTACGTATTCTTTGGTCCTTGTTCGCGTTTCACTCCGTGTACCCACGCCACATGTTGCTGAGCATCTCCCCGCTAGCCATGAACTCCAAACACTCCATCTACATACTGGTAAAGGCATGTCTGATATAGAGTTTAGAATCATTCAATGCCCTGCTTTTTATGTCCCCACCACATAGTGTGGGGCCATATTGTCGGCCTAGGCGCGTCCGCCTGACTGTCCGTCCGTCCGTACGTCCGTACGTCCGGCAGCTTTCACCAAAACCGCTACAGATATCACCTTCAAATTTTCAGGGATAACTTGTGGTGGATGAAAAAAAATTAACTCGATACCTACTTCCTTGTTCTAAGTATTTGGTCATAACATACCAGGTGGAGGCGTTGGACACGGTGAATAGCTGCATCGTATTCCATCTCGTTGTTCAATACTATTCCCGAAGCATCCATCTCCTATGGCCGGCCCTCTTACGTGTTCTTTGGTCCTTGTTCGCGTTTCACTCCGTGTACCCACGTCACATGTCACTGAGCATCTCCCCGCTAGCCATGAACTCCAAACACTCCATCTACATACTGGTAAAGGCATGTCTGATATAGAGTTTAGAATCATTCAATGCCCTGCTTTTTAGATTAATAATATAGAGCTAGCCCAATGTTGTTTAAGAATCCCTTTTATTACTTAGTTAAGTTTAGTTAAATATTTATTAGAGTCTCACGCTGTAAATATATCAAATACAATAAATACATAAAAATACATAAAAAATATTACATGTTTTGCACTAAAATTGAATAAAACACACAGCCCAGCCGGCACCGGCTTATGAGAGACTTTTTACATTTTATAACACTGAATAGTTTAATTACTATTGAAATGCATTCTAGCAATACTATCCCAACCTGGCAATTGAAATTTAAAGCATCTAAAAGTGCTCATTTAGTTTTTCGCTCAAACCGACAAAAAATATTCAAATGTCTCCGCTTTACTTTGACGGTGAAATGATCCCCCAAAAGCAATCACACAAGCACCTGGGTTTCATCTTAGATGAGAATTTGACTTTTAATGACCATATAAACTATCTGTCTAATAAAGTTCCAAAACTGTTAAATCCTTTGAAGCTCATATCAAACAAAATACAGTCGCACCATCTTGAAATAATGTATAATTCATATTTGGCGTCTCATTTTGAATATTGTAGCTCCATTTACGGATCGTCATCCTTGGCGGCCTTGTCAAAGCTTGATAAAATCCACTACCAAGCTGCTGTTATATGTGCTGGGGTACTGCATGGCTCTAACACCTCAAAAACTTTAAAATGTTTACAGTGGAAATCGCTTACTGACAAAAGACACGAAAAAAATCTAAGACTGATGTTCAAAATTGTAAGAAAGGAAGTGCCTTATTATGTCCATAGTCTTTTTGACCAACATCGCAACCAAGCAACTAGAATTTTAAGACACTCTTTACCCTTTTCCTGCCCAAGAAATATTTCAATGAGACTCTCCAAAGCACCAGTTTTAAAACTTATAAATGATTGGAACCAGCTAAGCCAGACTTTTCGTGAAATTCAAACCATTTCTAGATTCAAAAGCTCTATTAAACAGATATTTATCCCTATTTCAAACTTCATACCAACTACAAAACTAAAAAGTAGAACCAACGAAAAACTGCTAAATAGGCTTCGAGTTGATTTTGCCCTTAAAGACCATTTCTATACTCATAATTTTACTGGAATAATTGACAACAAATGCCTCTGTGGCTCTATTGAAGACACAAAGCATTTCATTCTAACCTGCCCTCGCCATACCCATGAACGTAATAAAATGATGACTGCACTTCGTGAACAAAATTTATTGTTTGATACTCAACTTATTTCTAGTAAGACAGAACAGGTCAAATACTTAATTTATGAAAATGAACTCACTATTGATTTTCAGAAAATCCTGATAGATATAGTGATGCAATTTGTACAGGCCTGTTATAAGTTTCCATCAAATTAATGTTATTCTCATTTGTATCTTGTGACAACCCCCCCCCCTCCCTCCCAACCTCTCACATTACCAATAAACCATCTATGATTACTGTAATTAATCATCTATTGTTATTTAAACTACCTAGAATGCCTATGGCGATTGGTAGTAGATATTTTGTGTATTTTTGATTATGAAGGAAATAAATAATATGTTAAAAAAAAATAAAATAAATACTATCCCAAATGAATTTACTTCAGCAGAGACTATTGTAGCGACTTGCTATCGAGGGTCTTATTACTAAAAGCTCCGGTCTATTGTATATGATATTTTGCGCAGTACATGCATGCCTCCTTCTGACATCCACACTTGTTTGGCGAAAGTATCACAAACTTCGCTTCCTTCGGATATACAAAAGCGTTTTTTTCCATGGCTGGCGTATGTTTAACAGTTTACAGTCCAACCTTTTATGGATTGTTAAATAGATTAATACTTACCTTTGGGAGGAGGGGTAGAACGAGGAGGCTTCTCACACCTACAGATTCTGTACGAATGTATCACGAAATTCTGTCCTCTTGGACATGCCTTCTCAAGCGTTTTTCCATCTCTTGCGTATGTGCATAAATACCTATTAAGGGGCAATGTCTTGTGGAATATGCCGTCGATGCAACACTGCGGAGGTGGATTCCCAGAGCCATAGCGAGGGTCTGATCGGTCGGGGCACAGCGACGTCTCTACATTAATAATGTAACTAAACGTGTATTCAAATTTATTGGAATATTTTACGAAACATGTCCATATTAGTAGCACAACGTCGACATTTATTTCATTGCCTTATGGTTCTAGTGTCTCATTTAATCAAATAGTATTATTGAGAAACCAAGATAATTGTTAATTTTTAGAGATTATAAAGCGATTGTGATAATGACCAATACATATAATTGGCATGATCATGCAAACTTGATTCTATATCATATCCATTATAAGTTAAAGCTTCGACATATGGGCAAATTTACGATAATTAATATTTTCAAAATCAGTTGTTCTACTAAAGCATGCTTCTTGTGTGTTGAAACCAGCGACATTTGATGTGTGCCATTTTAGAGTCATCACAGCTGGTTATCATAATCATGAGATGTATACTGAAAATATTGCTTATTATTTCTCAAAACAGCTTAAATGATGATTTTTGTCAAAAAAGTTTTGTCTTGTTTTTTTTATATACAAACCCCGATTACAGCACACACAGAGCATCGATTGCGTTAATATTTTTCAAACTACATAAAGGTATGTTTTGATATTTGATGTTAGATGTGTGTTACCCCTGCAATGAAATACTTTTTTCTATGCATATACAATTTTTCAAATATTTTGTATCCTCCAACACACTGGTTAAATTAACATTGCTGATGCATCATTTGTTTAAGATTTCGCTAAAAAGTGCGCTTAAGGGTTATTTTTAAATGACAGACAATGAAAACATCAGACAAAATATTATTATTTTTGTAATGGTTTTAGGTATTACCGTCCAGTATTTTGTATCCTCCAAACATTAAGATTTCATCAATGCACATAACCGATTCCAAACAATTTTTTCAGAAATGAAACTTATCTAATGTTGTACTGTTATATAAATTCTCAATTATATCTAACTTGTTAGTAACTTGAATATGTTGAGCATGTGTTGGAGGATACAAAACATATGGACATTATAAAACGTGTTATTTTTAATAGTATGACATATCAAACAACCGCTTTTGAAAGATGGTCGGAAACATCCTTTATTAACCAGTTAGAAATTATCGACGAAATTGATATATAATTTGTTATGTTGTCCGAATTTCCACAGCAAAGGATAGGTATCGATATGGCGAACCGAATTCAACAAAGTTTTTCTTTTTAACCAATTATTGAAAACATTCTGTAAAAACACGGTCCTTTATGTAATGCTGACTGATTGGCAACAAGTTAATGCAAAAATTATTTCTATATATTTTATATAACTGTTTTTGTTAACAATTTTTGTTCTTTTAGTGCAATTGTTTTTTGTTCCTTTCTACAAATTCTTGAGAATAAAATAAAATGACTTTCCGAACCTTGTTCGAACAAAATAGCATATACAACATTTTCTTAGACCTCTCAGTATATAGTTATACAAATGAAATTTTGGTTGATTTAACAAGAAGTATGCAAAAAGTTCTTGTTAGCTATTTTGACATATTGTTTTTAATTTTAAAATTCTCACATAATATGAAACCACTCTCTTACATATTCATGGAACTAGCAGAAGATACCTAAGTGCCTCACGTAAAGTTTTCAAAGTTTGGCTTATCTATTGCTGAGAAATTACTTGTCAAATCGCTATGAAGTTCTCATTATTGCGTTGCTCCGGTATGGGATATTATGACATGCTATCTTGAATTTCTTGGTACTCATATAACTTATACTCAATATTTTCATGTTTCTGTGCCTTGCTAACAATACTCCTGGGGTACTCTGTACACATTTTTAGTGAATTTGGTTCATAAGTTGCTGAGATAATACTTGTCAAAAGTGGCTCATTTTTTGGGACACCCGATATATCATTTAATAACAAATCATGGAATGTCAAATCTGAATCAGTTGTGATATTCCCTACCTTCCCTTTGTTTTTCTTTTTGGCATTTGGCCATACATGGCTCAATCTCGAACTTTACCCGATGCGTTTTTACTGTAAGTTTTATACAGTCAGTCCAGCACTGAGCAATCACTTCATGGCCCTGTGTACAAATGTATAATTTTGTTAACGGAAGTTTGAGCTGATAAAACATGGCAATTATCACTGTGAAAATAAATACGTATACATGATGTAAATATAAATTATAGAATATAACAATCTATTATTGAGTTTACTATCAATGGGTTGGAAACTCACTTTTAAAACACAGAATGGAATTAGTTCACGGATAAATATACGCATAAACCGTACTAATAAGGAAGAGTTACAGAAGACGATCTTGAAAACATATATTGTATATATGATTATATGGTGTATAATTCCAAAATTACAACTGATCATATGATAATCATGTAATATATTTTACGAACATGTAAGTTAAGTCTATCAATTCAACGAATATGAGTCTATCAATTCAACGAATATGAGTATACCTTTTTTATTCTGCAAATTCCTCTGCAATTTACAACTCTATGACTCTTGCAAATATTCACACATGGTCTGTAAACAGTCCCACTGCCGGCATAGCACCATTGGACAGCTGTAAGAAGAGGTTTGTCTGTGTATGATCAAGAAAGTACGTTAGTAGTTGTTAGTAGTTATAAATTATACTTTACAGTGTGTCCCAGATGTCATGAGAATTTTTTGAGGGAGATATGAGGCATGGGCAGTTTTTTGTCAAATTCGGAGAGTAATAACTGTCATTGATTTCAGCCTACGTACGTACGTTAAGTTCTAAACAGTTTCTCTGAAGATTTTTTTCTTTCCTTATTTGATATTCTGAAAAATGCTTTGATTTGATTTTTAAAAATGTTCATACATTCTTTCTTGTTTAATGTCTCAAACATTATTTCGAATATTTAAAGCATATCAAATGCAATATTAACATAATATATTATTAAAAATATCTTTTTTTGCAAATGTAAGAACTGTTTTATACATCCATTTATTTAAGATCGAGTAATCCTTTTTAAAAATGGGAATTAAAACTGTTAAATATAACGCTTTGTTCTATTGCTTTACATCCAAAATTAATCATGGAGACTGGTTTAATGTGCGCTTGTATGGTTTAAAGTCTTAAAACGCACCATCCGAAGTAATTCGGCAAAGCAATACTTTTTTAGCAGAGGCCCCTCATTTATTTATGGCCACCTATAGGTAGTTAATTAGCAACTAAACGATCTAAAAAATTAAATGAAGCTTACCTGAAGTGCTTTTTAGCAGAGGAAGTTGGTTTTGTTTAGACTACCAACGTTAAACTACAGATCCACAAAATATTAAATGAAACTTACCAAAAATGCTCACCAAGACTAGAGTGAGCAAAGTGTTGTGTCCGCAATGCATCTTGTCGGGTGAATCTGTGATGTTCGGCAGAGACCATACTTATAAAGCAGAACAGACGTGCGTCATAGGATGCCGGAACTCTAAATCATATTTATTGTTGAAACAATTAATTAAAATGAATATAACTGGGAGGATATATGCACGTTAACAGATTTTTTAACAAGACTACATTTAATGAGTGAAAAGGTGAATACCCTGTCGATGATCCTTGTTGGTCAGCCTTGGTTGGTCAGAAGGTACAGTACTTAGTACTACAATGGCAGCTACGTGAAACAATATTTAATTTTTAATTTTTTCAATTTTATTTATTATACCATCATCTAAATAAAGGGTATTAGGCAAAAGTACATCCAGTAAATAAGTATATAATACACTCTTTGAAACAACATTTAAAGTTATGTTTAAAACTAATCAATAGAGCAATAAAAATGCTTGGTGGTGTATATCAACTTTAGGAAACGATGAAACCTGGGGAATAAGAGTTTCATTAATTTAAGTTTCAACACTACATGTTGGTCATTTATAGGCCTGCATCACATAATGTTTGTAAAGATCTTATCAGTAGTTTTTTCTTAATTCCAAACACACAACCAGTGTCGTTATCACCCCCATAACTTATGAAAACACATGCATTAAGATGAATTACTCGACATTTTGTAATTTCCCGTTATTTGTTATTTTAGTTATTTCAGCTTTAAACGGATTTTATGAATTATATATCGCATCTACATATTTACATTTTAAACAATTTTTTGGCTATAACTCATCCAGGCTTTCAGATAGTCTCGCACACAATGTCTCTTTTTGAAAATATGGTGTATAACAATTGATAAAACTATATTTATGTTGTCTGGATATTCTGTATTTCGAAGGACGGAATTTATAAAGAATTATTTACCATATTGATGCTCAGGTAGTTGGTTAAATTTAATGTAATGTCATAAACGCAGCGATCATTTTTCAAAACTGGCTCCAATCTATGAGAACTAAAATTTTAAAATGCTTTCTTCTCCGGACCCGTGCTATGCATGAATGAGTTTATTTCTCGCTTATTTCTCAACCAATTTTCTCAATTCTTTTGACAAGAAACATGAATCAAGTATCATTTATCAAAGGATAGTGTGACCTTTATAATTTAATTTTACATGAAATCTTTCAAAAACGATTTTTGAAATTAAAAAAGGTTTGGATAAAGATAAAGGATTGATATCGATATGGAGAACTGAATTCAACAAAGTTTTTTTTCTTAAAAACCAATCATTGAAAACATTCTGTAAAAAACACGGTATTTTATGTAAGGTTGACTGATTGACAACAATTTAATGCGGAAACTATTTAGAAATACTTTATACGACTGTTTTTGTTTTTTTAGTGCAATTGTTTTTGCTCCTTTCTACCAATTCTTGAGAATGAAATAAAATGTCTTTCCGAACCTTGTTGGAACAAAATAGCATATACAACATGTTTTTAGACCTCTTAATATTATAGTTATACAAAAAGGAATTTTTGATCGATTTTAAAAAAATATTCAAAAATTAAAACAAAATCCCCAAAATAGATAAAAATCTAGATAAACCTTTTATTTCATTAACAAGATACTTTTTTAAAATCGACCAAAATTTCCTTTGTACAATTACAATATTGAGAGAACATGTTGTGTTTATGTCGTTTTGCTCCAATGAGGTTCGAAAAGATGTTTCATTTCACTCTGGAAACATGATACCAAGAACAAAACAATGTCGTTTTGCTCCAATGAGGTTCGAAAAGATGTTTCATTTCACTCTGGAAACATGTTACCAAGAACAAAACAAGTGTTTGTTGTGTTTTTTAAAACAATATAGCCGAAAGTATATATTATATATATATATATTTTTCAAATTATATTGTTACCATGCAAAAGATGACCATTAAATTGACGATGTGCTAATTTTTTAGATTTTTTATGACTGGTTTAAGTGAAACGTGTGTTCAAAAAGTTCTCCATATCGATACTACTCCTTTGAATAAATCAACAATGCAACTCAAGCCAACGTGGTATAAATATATACAGGACATTTCGATGGAATCAAATCCAAATCGATTTGGATTTGTACCAACGGACATAATGGAGAGATTTCGCAACTCACGTATAGCATGTTTATTATTCCCGTATAACGTATAACTTATGATCACGTCATCATTTATTGCGCAGCCCTATGCGTCCATACTAACTGCTAGTTTGTCAGCATGAACACAATCGTATATTAGTATGTGTAAAATCATATCAAATGTGCTTGCCCGTAGCCAGCTTTTACCAAGAGGGGGAGCTTTTTTCCAGGGGGGAGCTTTTTCACAATTTTGGTTAAAAATCATGCGAAAAATTCTCAGAATGGTGAAAAACTACATGCTTTTGAAAGAATTTCAGACCAGAGGGGGGGGGGAGCGGAAGCTCTCTCCCTGGCTACGGACCTGGTGTGTAACAATTGTACATCTCATGGGTTCAACATTGACATAATCATAGACAGGATTTTAGGTTACGACCATTGATGAAGGTCACCACTGATACTACAGTAAGCCAATATTCTCAACCTAGAACACAGTTACTGTCCTATATGAAAGTAATATGTAAGGTATAGTTTTATATATTCTCAATAGTTTAAACAATATGTTTGCCCAAAATTATTATCGCAAGTTCTTATTACAAAATGAAAACATTAATCAAAAATGATAATGAATAGCAAGTGGACTGCTTTACATAGTGAGTCTATCGAAATATAGATAACATGTTTGGGTATCCGGAATGTCGGCCTTAGTAAAAACACGTATAATATCATTCACTTGCAAGTATTTGTGCAATAAAATAAAAGACATTATTATATCATTGCTAGAAATTGTGTGATTTGATTGGTCGAGTCAGTACCATGTGATCAAAAATACCATAACGTATTTCACAGCTCCCTCAATTTTAGGATAATAAAAGACGTATTGCCCGGCGTATTGCCCGCCCGGGAATTCTGACAACTACACTGGACGAAAATAAAGTGTACCATTCAATGATACTTGTACGTAATTATGTTCACTTATGGATTAATGATATATTAATTGATTAAAATGAATGATCATAGGGAAAGTCTAGCAATGATATAATAAAACAAATATTTCATTCTATGTTCGGGCAATACCTGTTGCACTTTCAATGATTTTTGCATCATGTATTTCCCTCGCCCTACGGGCTGCGGGCAATACATACCGCAAAAATCATTGAAAGATGAACAGGTATTGCCCTCCATAGAATGAAATATTTGCTTAATACTTAGAGGTTATGTCACTATGACGTGAAATATGCCTGAGTTCTCCCAATATAGGCCGACCTTGGGAGGCTCTATATTTGGGCAAGAACGAAGGCATATTTCACGTCATAGTGACATAACTGATGTATTACATGCCTTTGTTCCCATGGTTACTTTGTATCAATGACGTGACGTCATGATATTATCATGGTTATTAAGGTATGAGTACCGTAATCCAACGCCAAATTCGAAAATTCATAACAATACTTTGCACATATGGCGTTCGTGACCAACTATAAAACGCTTACCCCCCATAGTGTTATATATCAAAATGTACCTGTTCATATAGGGTTTGATTGATCTACATCAAATTATAGGGAGTCAGGTTACTTTTTGAGATATCAGCGTCCGTTTATTGTGACTCGCGTTTGCTACCACTTCCTCAATTCTGATACGACGGGCAAACGCGTAGTAAACACCTTCACGTCGGAACTATTTTTGACCTACATCGCTATTTTCGTAATTCAAATGAAAGTTGAACTCCTCCTCTTTATTTTGATACCAAATAGTGGCATACTAGGTACCCTAGAAGCAAACTATGGCGTTATTTAGAACAATACCACGAGTTTTTAAATGGACTATATAGGGGTCATACCTTTTGGCGGATGGATATGGAACCTCATACCTTAATGTGTTATGACATCACACTGATTTTTGTCTCTGCAACTTTTTTTGGCAGAAAATATCATTTTTAGTTCAAAAATGCATAAAAACGTCGGAACTGGCTGAATATGTGAAAAATTTATCCATTTAGGCTAGAAAGGGTTAATTTGCCCTACCCCAAATACGTCTAAATATGCTAGTCTAACTTTGCCACTGTGACGTCACAAATCTAACCTGACTATCTCTGAGTTTATTGAAGAAGATGATACGTCTGACAAACAGCTTTCATACCCTATATGGCACACCTTCTACTAAGAGTTGCATCATTGACTAAATCTAAGACAAAGGCCCTGTGTCCCGAGGATTTTGACTGAAATTTGGCCATTTTCGCCCAAATCTAACTAAATTGCAGTTTCCCCCACACCTGTATTTTGAAATAAATATTGCTACAATGTAGCAATTTAAAAATCACACATGATTACTGTTTCTGTCGACCTGACACGTGTATCTAGCCTGTAAAAATGAAAAATCGCTACATTGTAGCAATTTCACTGAGATATGGGCCCTGAAAATCATGTAATTTTAGCAAAAAATGAAGAAATAACCTGCAATTTTGACGGAATTTCAGAGGGCTCTCTTTCATCCATGACCCTCCACGGGCCTCTTATGACCATTCTTATACTCACAGAATGGTTGAAAGTGATTTCAAATCATTGTTTGCCCTAGGCAGAACGAAAAAATCGATTCTGTTCTCAAATTCTGCTAGAATATTGGTCTCTGGCCAACTAGCAGACAATTTTAGGCCTCATATTAAGGTATGAGTACCGTAATCCAACGCCAAATTCGAAAATTCATAACAATACTTTGCACATATGGCGTTCGTGACCAACTATAAAACGCTTACCCCCCATAGTGTTATATATCAAAATGTACCTGTTCATATAGGGGTTTGATTGATCTACATCAAATTATAGGGAGTCAGGTTACTTTTTGAGATATCAGCGTCCGTTTATTGTGACTCGCGTTTGCTACCACTTCCTCAATTCTGATACGACGGGCAAACGCGTAGTAAACACCTTCACGTCGGAACTATTTTTGACCTACATCGCTATTTTCGTAATTCAAATGAAAGTTGAACTCCTCCTCTTTATTTTGATACCAAATAGTGGCATACTAGGTACCCTAGAAGCAAACTATGGCGTTATTTAGAACAATACCACGAGTTTTTAAATGGACTATATAGGGGTCATACCTTTTGGCGGATGGATATGGAACCTCATACCTTAATGTGTTATGACATCACACTGATTTTTGTCTCTGCAACTTTTTTTGGCAGAAAATATCATTTTTAGTTCAAAAATGCATAAAAACGTCGGAACTGGCTGAATATGTGAAAAATTTATCCATTTAGGCTAGAAAGGGTTAATTTGCCCTACCCCAAATACGTCTAAATATGCTAGTCTAACTTTGCCACTGTGACGTCACAAATCTAACCTGACTATCTCTGAGTTTATTGAAGAAGATGATACGTCTGACAAACAGCTTTCATACCCTATATGGCACACCTTCTACTAAGAGTTGCATCATTGACTAAATCTAAGACAAAGGCCCTGTGTCCCGAGGATTTTGACTGAAATTTGGCCATTTTCGCCCAAATCTAACTAAATTGCAGTTTCCCCCACACCTGTATTTTGAAATAAATATTGCTACAATGTAGCAATTTAAAAATCACACATGATTACTGTTTCTGTCGACCTGACACGTGTATCTAGCCTGTAAAAATGAAAAATCGCTACATTGTAGCAATTTCACTGAGATATGGGCCCTGAAAATCATGTAATTTTAGCAAAAAATGAAGAAATAACCTGCAATTTTGACGGAATTTCAGAGGGCTCTCTTTCATCCATGACCCTCCACGGGCCTCTTATGACCATTCTTATACTCACAGAATGGTTGAAAGTGATTTCAAATCATTGTTTGCCCTAGGCAGAACGAAAAAATCGATTCTGTTCTCAAATTCTGCTAGAATATTGGTCTCTGGCCAACTAGCAGACAATTTTAGGCCTCATATTAAGGTATGAGTACCGTAATCCAACGCCAAATTCGAAAATTCATAACAATACTTTGCACATATGGCGTTCGTGACCAACTATAAAACGCTTACCCCCCATAGTGTTATATATCAAAATGTACCTGTTCATATAGGGGTTTGATTGATCTACATCAAATTATAGGGAGTCAGGTTACTTTTTGAGATATCAGCGTCCGTTTATTGTGACTCGCGTTTGCTACCACTTCCTCAATTCTGATACGACGGGCAAACGCGTAGTAAACACCTTCACGTCGGAACTATTTTTGACCTACATCGCTATTTTCGTAATTCAAATGAAAGTTGAACTCCTCCTCTTTATTTTGATACCAAATAGTGGCATACTAGGTACCCTAGAAGCAAACTATGGCGTTATTTAGAACAATACCACGAGTTTTTAAATGGACTATATAGGGGTCATACCTTTTGGCGGATGGATATGGAACCTCATACCTTAAAGAAATCTAATATCAAAACGAGGTAAGCGGGCTATATCGGGGTAATCGGGCAATATCGGTGGATATAGCTCGCTAACTTTCCCATTGACTTCCATACAAATGCTTCGCTAGGTATGTAATACTGTAGGATACATAACTCTGAAAAACTATAAAGGTTAACGCCTGTTTCATAAATTAGACATCCAGATGTGACACATGAAAACATTACACCAGCCATAAAGCATCAGTCGTATTGTCCCATTCATGCCAAATCCCTTTAGTTATGAAAAATGTATCGCATTAACCTAATCGTCTGTCGTTCGTGTTTTGTTATGTATGATTCATTTGTTCAATCGAATTTCATTTGCTGGATGGTAACAAAGTATTGGTATACCTTAAAAGTATTTGTAAACCAATTGTTGTCTTTATCAGATTGCTTCAACTATTTCTTTTAATCATACTATGAAAAAATATTCGAAGGGGTATTGTCAAGGGAATGGTCATTTAAAAATGTACTGTTTATTTTAAGTTGGCATTGTGGGTATTGTCAACGGAATGGTCATTTAAAAATGTACTGTTTATTTTAAGTTGGCATTGTGGGTATTGTCAAGGGAATGGTCATTTAAAAATGTACTGTTTATTTTAAGTTGGCATTGTGGGTATTATCAAGCAAACGGTCATTAAAAATGTACTGTTTATTTTAAGTTGGCATTGTGGGTATTGTCAACGGAATGGTCATTTAAAAATGTACTGTTTATTTTAAGTTGGCATTGTGGGTATTGTCAACGGAATGGTCATTTAAAAATGTACTGTTTATTTTAAGTTGGCATTGTGGGTATTGTCAACGGAATGGTCATTTAAAAATGTACTGTTTATTTTAAGTTGGCATTGTGGGTATTGTCAAGGGAATGGTCATTTAAAAATGTACTGTTTATTTTAAGTTGGCATTGTGGGTATTGTCAACGGAATGGTCATTTAAAAATGTACTGTTTATTTTAAGTGGACATTGTGGGTATTATCAAGCAAACGGTCATTAAAAATGTACTGTTTATTTTAAGGGTAGTGTGGGTATTGTCAAGGGAATGGTCATTTAAAAATGTATTGTTTATTTTAAGTGTGTATTGTCAAGAAAATGGTCATTTAAAATGTACTGTTTATTTGTTGGCATTGTGAGTATTGTCAAGGGAATGGTTATTTAAACATGTACTGTTTATTTTAACTGGGCTGGGCTTTCAAACAGGGAGTAATGTCATCGACTATAAAATTTTCATTTTGCATTTTATTCCAGATTTGATTAGTTAGGCGCTTGTACTGTACGATGTACATGACTCATTCACAATAATTAAAACCTCCAATCCAATTTTCCCGATAAATCCTTTCAAGATAAAGATGATGAAAAGGATGCTTTTTAGTAATTCAAATATCTAAATACTTAGTCTTTGAAACATATCACTAGTAGTAATTTATATATTTCAATTTCAAAACATTTTACATAGACCGTAAGAAAGCAAAATATTTAAAGCTATTTTTTGTTTAGAGTAGTTATACATACATATGGTATCTCTCAATAACTAGTTTGTTATCTTATTTGGATTTCTTGACTATTGAACTATAAGTTCTCAGAACTCGTTAAACACACTTTTGTTTAAGCAACACTATGAATAAAATGCCTTATCTTGAAGAAGTAAATACATATAACAATACAATAATAAAACACACATCAACACACGAGGAGCTATTTGAAGAAGTATTTACTTAGTTTCATATCATATTTTTACTATTTTCGTTTCTCAGAACTCATTTAATATCATTAATATACTGTAAGGAGCCATGTGTATAGAATGTGTTTTTATTTAGAAATAAATCAAGATGGCGATCAAATGTACTTATTGGCTGATATTAATAGTTCTGTCATTTTGCAGTGAAGGTATGTGTTTCATATGAAACAGGTAAAACATAAATGCGCGTCATAGCATGGGAGTTAAGATTTCACAAGTGCTCAGTTCAAGAACATATTTCTTTTTTTTGTTAACTAACTTAGGAAATTTTAAAAACATTTTGTTCATTGTCTTACATATATATTGATGTAAATTTGATTAAAGCTGGCGCCCTTCAATGCTACCAATGCCTGGATGTGTCGAACTTTGGCAATTCAAGAAGCACAGGACATGTCGATCCATATTGTGAATCTATATCCAAATTTCACACCGCCACAAAAACATGCCAGCCCGGGGAGGTTTGCGGATATGTAAAGGGAAAATTGGACGTGACGCGTACGGAGAATTTGCTTGGTGGGTGTTCACATATATTTCATATTTCTCAATGGTAAAATTATCAGGATTATAGTAATTTTTGTCTAACATGTTATGTAGTTAGTCCTATAGTTTGCATACTTTAACAAATTGAAATCCAATTCACATATATAATAGTATATTTTGGAATTCTTAAATTCTAAAACAGTAAAGAGGTGCACATTTGATTGCAGCCTGTTGCCTTGACAAATATGATTCATGAAATTTCCCGAGTATCTCTATGAATTATAATTTGGAATTTTAGCCCCACTTTGAAATTGTTTTCGACGATCAAAACACGTTTGTCTTAATATTGTTATTATGTGTTGTGCAGTTACGAAAACTGAATCCCCTGTCACTCTCCACATCCGAGATTGTATAGCTGTAGCATTTGATACAAGTATGGGGTGCTACAGGAATCAATACTACACAGATGTTCTAAACGGATCTCTGTCAATTAGACACAGTCTTCAGAAAATGACATTTGATGGAGATGTATGTTTATGTAAAAAGAATAACTGTAAAGGCTGTGGCTCTCAGTCAGTTGAAATATTTGGTGTCTGGTAAGTCAAAAAGCGATACATTTACACATTGTTTGCAAATTATACATGACTGCATTTAGAATGTTAGGTAGCCAAGTTGATCATTCAGATACTATTCACATAGTGGTAGCCGCATAGTTATACTAGAGAGGAACATATATAAATTGCTCGATGTGGCTTGCCGTTCTGGAGGATCATTACATAATGTGGATTTTATATGAATTTATATCTTATATATCCATGAATTTGTATTGCAGTTTTCCAACCTGGGCATTGGGGGCTATTGGAGTAGTAGTTGGACTTCTTATCATTCTTTGTTGTTGTTGTTGTTAGCTATTGCTACTGCCGCCGTAAGAGAAGACAACCAGACCAAGAACCAATCGTGATACAGACGCCTGGTAAATAATATAGCCCTATAGCATTTACATGTGACTATGTTTTTCAAGAATTGTTGTTGTTCAACCATAACATTAGATTAGTCGACATGGGGTATTCGTGTGACCCGTTCGCTAACATCACTTTATTGCTCTGTTCCAGAAGCAGATGCGCCAGAAAGTAACAGCGTTTCAGATGAATTACCACAACAAGGATTTAAAAATCCAATGATTGTATGAAATCAGACGTGGGTTGCGGGTGGGATAAACGTATAACCTTGCTCAAATGGACTGCAATTGTAGAAATCATTTTAAAATCTTAAACTCCGAATCGATTATATTGTCCCTGAGATGTATGTGTACTGGTGTACCGCTTATGTATTTAAATATAATGTATTCTGTTTACAAAATATATACTACATACAAAAGTTACGTTCTCTAATTTGCGACCCGTATGTATAACGCAAGCCTGATTAGCAGGCGTTAATGTTATGACATAACAATTTTTAAAAATCAAATGCCACGTAGATTTTCGCAAACAATTTCAGACGGCTATATTTATGATTATGACCATTTTGTGACCACGATAATGCAAAGATGTATTTTAGAACCATTTAATATCTCAAGGAAAAGTACAATGTAATACAATCTCGATTAAGTCATGGTAATATGGAGGGTGCAGCCGACCCATCAACATATTTTTTCAATGACGTGAACATTTAGATTCAAGAAAATAGAAAATAATTGTCAAAAATGTTAATTGTTTTCTTAGTTTTACCCCTTGGTGATGAAAGAGTAAATCTTTCAACGTTACAAGAAAGCCTCCAAATGGAGGTCAGATCCTTTTGGCCTTCGTTTCCACATTTCAAATGGTATATTTGAATCATTGGACAAATAGCAAATATGGAAATCGTCATTATACGGAACCCTATTGATGTTCTTTTGAGAATGCAAGTATGGAAATTGCAAGACAATATTTTTTATCTTTATAAAAGCATTCAACAGCCACACTTGAGACTGATATTTTGTTCTCAGACAATCTAGCAACACAAACACAAGAGGAGAAAATACCCCAGAATTCCAAGATACGTCTGTATTTCTATACAAATGAAAATAGGTTAATCTATAGATGACGTATACAGTATAGGGTACGTTGCCCTCCCCAAACAAACAGTAAATAACAAATAAAGGTTTTGGCAACCGCAATAGAGCTGTGAGATTCTCAGAACTCATTAAATATTCAATCGAAAGGATGGGTATCGACATGGTGAACTTTTTCAAAGTTTGGTTGATTTGAAAAATGTTCTTGTAAATGAAATAAAAGGTTTATCTTAATTTTTTGTCTATTTTTTTAAAATACTTTTTGTTAAGTCTACCAACATTCCCTTTGTATACTTTTGAAAGGGCTTGAAAATGTTGTACATGCTGTTTTGTTCCAACCAGCTTCGGAAAAATATTTCATTTCATTCTTATGAATTGGTAAAAAGGAACAAAAACCATTGTACTAAAAAACAAAATTAAAATACAAAAATAATTTTCGCATTAAATTGTTGTCAATCAATCAAAATTACATAACGGACCGTGTTTTTTACAGAATGTTTTCAATATTTGTTTTAAGAGAAAAACATGATGAATTTAGTTCACCGAATCGATACCAATCCTTTGTGACTAGGAGTTAAGCGACGAATTTTTGTTTGCTTAAAACGATCAAAAATGGCGTCCAAACGCATTTATTGTCTGGTAGTGTTCTTCTGCTGCAGTACAGGTATTATTGGTTATATTTTTCTTTTATATTACTTTAATTATCTAGTTCATGTATGACATACAATTGATTTTGGTGTATAGTTGTTTATTTGGATTCTGTATTTCTATATTCGAATATGAACGGACTGGTGGAGTTAATAAACACGATCAAAAATATTTCGACAAATCATCTTAAAATTTAGTTTTATTTTTAACGGGTGAGACAAAGCAAAATGTCTACGATTTCAATTACTAATTGCTGACAATTATAGTTTGGGTATTTTCGTGGGGCAGTTTCTCCCCTGTATGGCCACGGTCATGAAAACCCCAGGAAGATCACTAATGCACAAACATTGCGATCATAACCCCGATGTAGAGCAATTCCCATGATAAAAACTACAATTACATGTGATTATTATTATGACTCATGATCATTCATTTGATGCAAGAAATAAAATACATGTACACGGTACGCCGAAAGTATACGGTAAGATAATTTAATTTCTCAAAAAGATTATCCCGGGGGGGGGGGCGTTTTGAAGTAAGGACGCAAAAGAGAATCGATCAGGTTGCTAATTTAAATTTTTTTTACATAGACACTGATTACCAAGAGAGATGGATTTGGCAATATTTTCAAGGTGCGATACTTAAACTGCGTTTCTAGTCGTGTGTAGTTGGAAAACACAGACTTCACCAACACTGGCGCACAGCGATTCTATGCACATTTATTCTAGAACATAAATACTTAACACAAATCTTAAACCGTAAATTTCGTAAATATATCACTGAGTTTCTGCAAGCAACGTAAAGATAGAAAGTTACATTTAGCCATTAATGTATTTCGAAACAATATTCACATTTTTTATAGTCCTCTATAGACATTTTACATAGACCTACTTTCTGTAATTTTGAACGATTGTAGTTGACGCTCTTACATGCTACCAATGCGTCGATGTGTCCACGTCTAGCAGTTTCATAAGCACAGTGGGACATACGGATCCTAACTGCGAAACTCCATCATTTAGCACTGCTACCACTACGTGTCAGACGGGGGAAGTATGCGGATACGTAAAGGGAAAGGTGGATGTATCATTGGATTTATTTGGTAAGTGTAAACGTTCACACATTTGCTAAAACTCTACCATTTGACTTCAAATCTGTAACTTAAGATGAACCAAAATTAAGGAGATTCTGACTTATCTGTAACTTGCATTATCATTAACTGTTATTAATTGTATACCTGTTATTACCATTGTATATTCTGTAAAAATTGTATAAATGTTTTAATTAAGTGAATAGAGTTTATTAATAAAAATCGTTAACTGTACAATGCAAATGCTCTTGATAAAACAATTTTTAATCAATTTCTCTTTTAATTTTTTGCAGTGACAACGATTGAAGCGACAATTAATCTACACACACGGGATTGTATGTCTGTGGTGTCAGGAACAAGCATGAAATGCTACAAAAACCAATATTACACTGATGTTATAAACAAAGCACTGTCCTTTATCGCTGATTTGGTTGATGTAGAGTTTGATGGTGATGTATGTTTCTGCAAAGCACGGAGTCTTTGTAAACCACCGGATTATACCCCTTCGCCAAGTTATGGTAGTCTCAGGTGAGCATAATATAGCACTACCAGTAACGAAGTTTCGATTTTTTCCTGATACAAGTGGTTATAATATGTTACTATAAATTGAATTTATTTTTTCTTCGTTTGGCTTACTTAATTTCCCTAATTATGTGATGACTGGCGTTGTAGTTGGGTGTGGTTGGCTATTGGTGGAGGAGCTGCCGGGTTTATCATCCTGATGATTTGTCTTTGCTGTTGCTGTTATTTCTGTTGCTGTAAGGAACGTCCAGCTCCACAGCCTGTCATCATACACTCTGGTGGTAAGTTGACAATCTGTTATCATACACCAAGGTAGTAAGTTCATAATCTTTTGTTGCCGATCAAAAAGTTTCTTACCGTTGGCTCTAGATTTTATAATATGAGAAGTTGGATGCTCAAACTTTTATATGAGACTGGGTAATAAGTTTGTTTTAAACGTTTTGATTTTCATATAAATTAGTCCATTGCTAGTGGCAACGAGTCAATACACATTTTAATAATTAAGTTAGGTGGAGCAGCGGTACTCACTGGCATGTAGCGGCCCTGATATCGATAAATTCTACACGCAATATAACCCGATTTTAGATGCTTGGTTAAAACTTTACACGAAAAAGCCTCGATATCCGGGCATTTACTCTTACACTGAACTGAAAATAGCATCGTCTAAACTTGTATGTCTTGGCTTCCGGGTAAGTTTATCAACATTTATACTCAATTGAAAGAGCAGTCGTGCATATATCGTGTACCAGTTTGATTGTTTTATATGTGTGTGTATTTATAATATGATAGTCTAGTAATACCGTGTCGTTAGAACAAGTGCTAGATATCGAACTGATGACCTGAAATTAGATTATTGGACTGATCGCGCATCTGATATTAGATGATTAATTTGCATTGAATCTGATATTAACTTGCAACCCAATACTACAGTAAATACCATGATTTTACATTAGAATGATAACACGGCCTCATATTCTAATTCATTATACGTCCATTGCAGGCCAAAAATGTTTCAATGGGGATATTGTAATGCACACGAGAATACATTCGATTCGTATATATTGACACCCCAGTTGTCCGAAACCCAGTTGTCCGAAACCCAGTTGTCCGAAACCCAATTCCCCGAAACCCAGTTGTCCGAAACCCATTACTCCGAAAAATGAAGTCATAATTTACCAGAGAAAGGGGGGGGGGGCGTAGCTTACTTAAGCTTACGTCAGTTTCATGCCATGTATTTGGCCAAATTAATGGCATGGACGCATTCTGATATTCATAGATCTCTCTCTCTCACTTTGAATTGCATCCATTGCATGGCGTTACCAGAATGGCAGGAACGGGAGATTTATTTTACATTGTGATTCTAAAAAAGGTTATTAAAACACAATATATATTACGGAACAGTTTATCTTATCTTCTTCAATCTCTTTTATATAGGCAAAATAAAATGAAACATTTTGAAACAGATAAAATAAGGTATAGAACTTTAAGAATAAAACAGTATACAAATTACGTTGTCAAAATATTTCGTCGCATTTAATTTCTTAGTCTCAGTCTCTTATCAAATCGTAAAAGAATAAAACATTCTAAACTTAATCACTTGGGATTTATGTTTCGGCATTCGTTTCAGGCATTTGTTTTTTATGTTCTTCTCCTGAAATGTATTTGTTTGACAATAATCAGAGAAAGTGCGTATACGTATAAATATGCCACGCAAACAAACGGGTGTGACTTCAATTTCTTGTCTGTCTGAGGACGTATTGGGAACGAGGTAGAATTAAAGAATTCTTATGAACAAATGTATTGGATAAGTTAATTTCTGATGGATCTGGATAAAATATATTTCAAAACTTTGTCAACACTAGATAACTTCATTTAGGCAGATATAGTATCTTGATATATTTGGCTATCATGCGTTTAAAATACGTTCCTAAAACTATGAAGACGTTGGGTGAGAAATATTGCTATTGTACGTTCGAAAAGTATTTGGTTGTATTTTGTAGTTCTCAAGTTACCCATGAACTTTCGTGGGCTAATTAACGTCTTGACTCAGCATATTTAGCCTAATTTTGCAATGATGTCAACGTGATTCAAATGGTATGCTGTCGTGATTCGCAGAGGTTGCGACAAGATTCGTTTTAAGAAATTGTATTTTTTGATAAGATCCCCTAATTTTCGGAGAACTTGGTTTCAGACAACTGGGTTTCGGAGAATTGAGTTTCGGACAACTGGGTTTCGGACAACTGGATTGACCCCTATGAGGGTTGATCATACATCAATTGAACATGGAGATTTTCCTGTACACTTTTCCCAAACATGTGGAATAGACTAGATGCGAGTAGAAATTATCTTGATTTATCCTATGCCAAGTAGGGTTTTAGGGAGATAAGTTGGTAAGATATATCCCGTATCCTGATTTTGAGGTTTCCATATCAAGAACCTCCATATCTCCCGTCATATCTCCCGCTTCGGTGCATATCTTCCCGCTTCGGGTCGTATCTTCCCGCTTCCAAAAAAGTGGAAATGCAATAAAATGACTTTGCATATGAATGATTTGTTTATTTTTTACACCTTGTGCTACTGAAAACTCTACTTGGTATAGGATAAAGCAGTTATGTACGGTCGGTTTGGATATTGGGTTCATCCCTCGTGAGATATGCACATCTACTTTCTGTCCCTACGGTCCCTCAGGTAGATATGCATATCTCCCTCTGGAAAAACCCCGCATCCAAAACCTCCCAGTACATAACCCGTATTTATCCCATGGTTACAAGGATATAGATCGAATATCACGTGAAGATATAATTGATACGTGGATGAAGATATCATATTTTAGCAAACAATTCCCAAATCATCGAATATCACTTTTGAAACCATCGAATATCACTTTTTGAAAGGTGATATTCGATGGTTTCAAATTGATATTCGATGGTTTCAAAAGTGATATTCGATGGTTTTGATTTTTTCAATTTTTTTTATTAATTCAGCAAAACGATTGTTTATGAATACCTAGCAAGAGCTCAAAAAGTTCAATCATCTATTTATCTCAAAAAGACCTCAAAAACTGAGCTTGAATTAGAAATATGTCTTCTAAAATCTTCCTCGCCTGGACCTGATGGGATTCTACCATCACTTATTAAGTCTGTAAGACAGTTTTTAATTGATCCACTCTTGTATATATTTAACTTATCTTTTAAATCTGGTATTTTCCCAGACGCCCTCAAATTGGCCAAAGTAACACCTGTATTTAAAAAAGGAGTCACTACAAATCCTTCGAACTATAGACCAATTTCAGTTTTATCGGTATTTTCTAAATTGTTAGAAAAGCTCATGCACGCCAAACTCACTGGTTTTTTAGAACGTTTTGAAATTATTTTTACTTATCAATTTGGATTTCAGAAATTCAACTCTACCTACATGGCCATTTTATATTTCATTGAACAAATTCGAAAATCAACTGATTTGGGGAAAACGAGCATTGGCATAACATTAGATTTTTCCAAGGCCTTTGACACTATTAATCATGACATTTTGATACAAAAACTTGAATATTATGGCATCAGAGGAATAGCTAAGTCCTGGTTTGAAAGTTATTTAAAAGACTGCAAACAATATGTCACCATTAACAATTATGAATCTAAACAATCATCTCTAAATTGTGGTGTTCCGCAGGGCTCGGTACTTGGACCACTATTATTTATTCTTTACATAAATGATCTGCCTTTTGTTGACCCTAATCTAAAATTTATTATGTTTGCTGATGACACCAATCTTCTTGATAGTGATTATGATTTAAATGAACGGTTATGACTAGAACTAATGCAAACTTGAATTCAATAGATGACTGGATAAAAGCAAACAAACTTTCACTTAATATTGGCAAAACCAATGCTATTCTATTTGGACCCCAAAAAAAATCAAACAAATCTGAATCTCAAAATACGCAATGAGAACATAAATTTCCGGGATAAAAATGACTTTCTTGGAATTATTATTGATAAAAACTTGAAATTTAAAGAGCACATAAAATCTATTGAAACAAAGATTTCTCGCGTCATTGGTTCTCTTTATCACATTAAACATCTACTTCAAATAGACAGTTTCAAAACAATTTACTACTCATTGATACACTCTCAATTAAATTATTGCAACATAATCTGGGGTAACACATTTAAATCATTTTATGATCGTCTACATAAACTGCAGAAACAATTCTTAAGGCTAGCTTTAAATAAGGATAGACCTTCTCACTCCGCTCCCTTATTTGAAGATCTTAACATATTAAATATTTTTGATGTCAACAGATATTGTACTGGTCAGTTCATGTACAAACTCTTTAATAAGCACCCCAGTCTTCCAAAAAATCTATTTCAAGACTTGTTTGATATCAACATTAATATTCATCATCATTACACAAGACAATTGCATTATTTTCATATCCCTAAATGCTCTAAACTTTCCCTTCGCCATCTAGGTCCTAATCTTTGGAATGCTCTACCACATGATATTAAAAAATGCTCCACTCTAAATATTTTCAAATCTTCATATAAAAAACTACTCATCTATCGATAATGTATAATACCAATATCATACTATACTGTTGATTTTATACTGATACCTGATTTTTGTAACATTTTTACATTGAACATCCTTAGATTAATTGTTAATACCATTTTTATATACCTACATGTAACATAATATAAGTGTTTTCTTTTATATGTAGTCTAGATGTCATTTTAATGATTTCTGTTAGACCGCAACATATACCCACTAGGGTGTCTAGCGGCTTGTTTTTATAGTGTATATTATATAAGAATTATGAAATAAATTGAATTGAATTGAATTGAATTATATATTTATTATATATTTTTATTTTTTGGGATCCTGTTTTTACGGCGTTCGCATTAAATACAAACCACTCTGTTACGTCACGTATATGACGTTCGTTGAATTATCGCAATCAAAATGTCAGACGAAATGGAATTTCCATTACAATTTATCTGACTATTCAATGTTCGCTGGATAATAATTCACAATGGGATAAACGGACAATCCTATAGTTTTTCAAAAATATCACTTATATCCACTCATGGATATCAGTATCTTCACTCATTCGCTGCGCTCACTCGCGAAGATATCAATATCCACTCATGGATATAAGTGATATTTCAGAGCCATAGGATATTCCTATATTATTCCATAGTTAGCATGATATCCATATGATAACATGTCAAAATAAAAACGGTATTTTTGAAATCAGTGGTAAAATATGATATTTTTGGCAAATTTTCACTTAACCATAGCATACGGTGTTTTAGCCATGACATGCGGCGCCGTATGCCATGGTTAATGGATTTTTGCTACTTCAGACTCAAAACGAGGCTAAGTGTCAATATCGCCGTATCGTTTGGAAAATTCGTTTTAGATCACTTAATTCCCGAAGATTCTGATGATGACTTTAACTATGGAATATAAAGAACATCCTATGATTTACTCGTGATATGATTTTAATCCACTCATGGATGTTGATACATGTATCTGCACTCTCTCGCTACGCTCACTCGTGCAGATATCATATCCATTCGTGGATAAAAATCATATCACTCATAAATCATAGGATATCCTCTATTTAAGATGTGATATTCGATAGTTTAAAAGTGATATTCGATGGTTTGTAAATTGTTTGATAAAATATGATATCTTGATCCACATATCAAATATATCATCATGTGATATTCGATCTATATCCTCCTTGCAACCATGGGATAAAGCTTTACGTCCCGCTCCAAGCGGGCAGATGTAGTATATCTGCCCGCTACGTCATTATCGCCGCTTGCATATTTGTTCATAATTTGTAACGTTCGCGGAATGACTGTAAACGGCAATGAAGAAAACACAGACAATCAGGGTCTGTTTGATAGTTAAAAAAGGGAAAGGGCATCCACTTTATCAATAAAAAATTCGAGAAAATAAATATGGGATTATTTGAGAGAACATGAAAATCCGCCCACGGCCAAGAAAACAAAACTGGACATGAATATTCTAAAATATTTCCACGATTTAACAATGTGAACCAGATTACCAAGATTGGTATGGGATAAACATATTATCATATAGTCAGGATATTGGGATTATCCCTTGGCCAATATATAGGGGTTATGCAATTGGAGGTTTTGGATACAGGGAATATCCCGAGGGATATACAATATATCTTCCCGAGGGACCGAAGGGACCAAGGGAAGACATATTATATATCCCTCGGGATATTCCCTGTATCCAAAACCTCCAAGTGCATAACTGTTGTATATAGTTTAGCATGATATGTACTTCTTTCTGTAACTGGAATACGATTCTAATATACAAGCAGCACATACGTATTCCCGGGGAACCATAAATATTTTGTGTAGTGTGTGGACATTTTTCTTTTCATTTCTCTAAAATCAGATTATTCTCATAAAATTCATACAAAGTTGGGCCTAAGCCTCTATTTTCGTATTCTGCATGTTAAGATATTTATAATGTAAAACCTAAGAGATAAATTCAATGTCTTCAGTTGAGAATAAGTATAAGGTAAATGTGTGAATTCTGCTTGTTGTTGCACTATTTTTATAATAAACAAGGTTCGATACGCAACACTGAATAGACTGCAGTCATAGCTTAGTTGTAAAGAAAACAAAAGAAGTTGGGACGTGGTCATGCTTGAATACGATTTTAAATATATCGCCGTTTACATTTGTTGAAATCGGCCTGTATTAATTTCAACAGGTGATCGGTGTACAAGGGCATATATTTGAGTTATTGGTTTAACGATAAGTATGACCTATGAGTGGGTAACGTTTTACAAATGCATGAAACAAATACTCCAATGGCCTAATCTCAATTTTCCTGCATAAACTATTACATTGAAATGATGGTCATTTGCTCTCTAACTTCCGCACCGCATACATAACTTCGTAACAATTCAATAAGCCAAGACAGGACCGCTATAATCGCTACATGCCAGTGGGTACTAAGGAGCAGTTTTGGAAATTTCTAACACTAAGTAGTGTCATATGTCAACAGACCATAGTAGTGATCATGCTTTGTAGTTTTTATGCTAATATTTATTCTCCTTCAGAATATTTAACCCCAGTTGCAATGCACTTCCTATATATGTCCATCCAATCCAAAACACATGTTTAAAGAGAGAATCAGATCTAGCGAGCAGCAGGCCAACAAAAAAAAAATTTCAATTTTAGAGTATTTCTGGCTCATGTCATTCCTTGTCATGTCTATTTTCTAAACATCCCCAGAGTGCACACTTTATTTCAGGAAAACTAAAGATGTTCACAATAATATATTATTTTTCTATAAGAATGGTTACCATTCTTATTATTGTAACCATTCTTATTATTTGGGAGAATTTAAACATTTTTCACCCATTTTTGAACTTTGAATCCATAATAACTTCACCAATTTACAACATATCGTGAATATTTTGGGAGATGAATGTATTTAAGATTGTAAGGAATAGATTGGTAGGTATATTATACATGTTGCTTGTGATTTTTTCAACCCTATATATCTGATTCTGCCTTTAAGGCTTTTGTATGAGAGGTTGTAAACGATGTCCGTAAATTTCCAGAACCACAACGCAGCAGATATTTTATATATAACGCTGCTCCACCTTACTTAGTCATTAAAAATATGTATTGACTCTGTGTCACTACCAATAACCAACTAACTATCCTGTCTCATGTTAAAGTTTGAGCATCCAACTCCTCTTATTCTAAAATCTAGAGCCAACGGTAAGAAACTTTTTGATCGGCCCTTGTACACTTATATACGATCGCTGTATCAAAGTCTGGAAACAACACATACAGTACATTGTTAAATCACCCTACAATCCATACAGTCCTGGGCTTAAATCCTTTGTGTCCCCAGCATTGATGCGACGTCCTTTCCTTTCAAACGTCTCAAGGGGTTTTCATCAAAAACTAATACTAAAAAGCAGCCTCAGATATAACTCTTTGGGCTATGCTTAAAGTACAGTGCGCATGCATTCATATACAGGGTGTCAAATAAAATTATGTTCTCCCCTTAATTTCAAGAGAATGAACTTGTGTGCATAAAAGTGCATCTAGTTGAGCTAGTCATCTGAAACGTCTTGTGGAGTTGCTCTGTGAAGGCGAGTTATGATGTGCTAAAGAACACTTCAGATATCATGTAAAAGTTATGCAACATTATGTGGATGTTAAAGCTAAGGAGGGGAGAACATATTTATTTGACACCCAGCAGTAGACCATTTTGCAAGGAGGATTGGAAGTCGTTATTCAAACTCGATACTCCGTTGCCCGGCGTAGACCAATTTGGTAACAACATTACTCATATCTTTAAGACTAGAACTGCTGAGGAAGCTTGAATACTACCAAAATATTCTTTCAACGAAATACTTGGTCCAAAGAGAACCTTATAGAAATATTTTTACAAAATTATTCCACTGAATTGTTCATTGTAAACACTACGTTTTCTAAACTATTTAAAATCAAGCAGTATAAAAACCGTATTTCAGCATCTGTGGCTCCAGTTGGTATGGTGACGTATGCAAACCCAGGATATGCTCACGGTGGGATTATTTTGAGTCACCATGGACCAACTCAGAACCCTGGACCCTTACCGTCCAACGTACCCGAAGAGACCCATGGGCCCAGAGAGACCAATAGACCCATACAGACCCATGGATCCATGCAGACTCAAAATATCAACCAGTAGATTATGCACCATTACAAATACTTGAAAAGTTAAGAACTGCCATCATGGAGAATCTCCAACGATCTAGAAAGATCAGAGAGATCAGAAGAGATCAGAAGAGATTAGCCAGATTGTGAGAATATTATTGGGAGCATGGGGTTTTATCAAAACATTATTAAAAGGAAGTAAAATATTTTAATTTTAATTTCAAATTACATTTAAGTTTAATAGATAGTGATAGATGTGAAACATCAGATATCTAAATTTTTCTATGACATTTTAAGAGCAAATAAGGCAGAAAAGTGGTACGTGAAAGATACATGGGAAAAGCAATTTTGTTATAAAAAAGATGAACTTATTGATGAAATTAATTGGGATAATTTTTGACACCAAAATAAATTGTAAAGAAACCAAAATTGCCAACTTTAACTATAAAATAATTAGTATAATACTACCCAGTAAACGTGAGCTTTTTATATTTGGTAAAACAGAAAATTATAGTTGTGATATTTGTGGAAATCCTGATTCAGTAAAACATTTATTTTTTAATTGTGTTTTGGCCAGGAGTGTGTGGAATTTTATACAAGATAAATCAAAATTAAGATTGAATGACTAACACCCCAGTCACATTTGTCGCACGGCGGCCGCAAGTCGACCGCAGATCAATATTAAATCGGTGAATTTCTGCGGCGAGCGTAGAAAAACTACGCTCGCCTTGCGGCCTCCGTAAGGCGTATGCAGATTTTTACAGGCCGCAGGGAAGGCGTAGAAATTTTAACTCAGAGTTATAATATTTGTTCATTTCTGAGGTCCCCGTGGAAATCAACTGGCTCAACGAGATTGAATCATTATTTGTCAATGATGAATTTCACGATCACTTTTCATTTGATATTACATCCTAGCACTATGAATAACATTTATAAATTGTCCCGATGTAAATAAAATGAAAAAAGTATTATTTATCAACAGAAATTTAAAATTCACCGTGCGGCTGCCGTGGGAAATGTGACTGCAAAAGTATGACGGCGAGCGTAGAAATGTTACTGGCCGCAGAAATGATAGACCGCAAGGTCGCCGTGGGAAATGTGACTGGAGTGTTATAGAAAAATTATTTTAGGTTATAATGGCAATGATGATTTCACTAAATTTCTTAACTTTTTATCAGTGCAGTTACATATACAATTTATAAGGTTTACCTAGGACAGATAAATGACAATGTTATCAGAAATTAAGATGTTATATTACACTCAAGAAGGAAATAGCTGTAAGAAAAAATGTATTTTACCCACAATTTTGGAAAATATGTGACACCATCTTATAGTTGTAACATTGAACATTGATAAACAGAAATAAAAATATATATATACAGTATAACATAAGTGACCAGATACTGATATGAACCCGAACTAGACATTGGTTAAACAGTTATCAGAAATTTTAGCTTGATATTTAGTGAACAAAACAAATGTGTTATTGTTGATCACTTAAAATAATAAAAAGATGCTTTTCTGGCCTTTTAAAAAAGTTGCAAAATTTGTTGGCACACCCTGTATTTTGAATATAGATCAAATAGCAAAGTGAATACACTTTCAAACAAGCCATATAACAAGGCGGCAAGAATACTTTTATGTATCATATATATAGTCCAACATAGTGTCGAGGGCTCATGGCATTTTTTACAATAATTCATTTCTCATGTTCTATCAACAATTGCGTTTTTTGTTGTTATCGGCTATATATCTATTAACACAAGTTACATACACGAGATCAATACGTACTATTTATTTATTTTGATTTTACTGCCATTGGCATCATCAATCATTGCAATTCCATATTGGCATATCATACATTGATCACCTGTGATCGTGTCAGTCCTTTTCATCTTGTTTTTAATCAAAAGATCAATTGTCATTACTATTGCCACCACCTACTGAAAACTAAGTAAAATTCGGATGATGACCACTATGAACCGCCACTTCGCTCAGGTCAATACTGTATAAGTGGTATTTAATCCGAGTGGTTAATTTTCCGAATGGTCAAATTTCATCATTTTCCTAATTTTAATTTTCCTAATGACAAAAAACCTCCCATTGGATAACATTATAAAGACAATATTTCCGACATTTAATTTTCCGAACATGGCAAAAATTAGGAAATAGGCAAATTAAATGATTAGGCAAAATTACCACTTATACAGTATAGTAAAATATAACGGCTTATTACGATTTTTACAAGTTTTAAGTCTTGCACAAGTGTGGTCAAATTATGAGAGTATAAATTCCCCAAGATTTTAAAAATGGGACATGTCTTACCAATTCAAAGGAGGAGATAAAAAAAGTCCAAAATTATCGACCAATTACTTTGTTAAGCTGCCTGTCAAAAGTAGCAAAAGGTGTTTTTAAGAAGCTGTTTGATCATATCGTTTAATTCAAAATGAACTATTTTACATCATGTAAAGTGGATTCCCCTCGTTATAGTACACAACTATTGAGTATTATTAATCATATTACTGAACATAAGTGTAGCTTTTGATACTCCCCCGTATAGTCTTTTGACTGATAGATTAAAATCTTATGGAGTTAGGCCAAACGTGCTGTCTTTTCTTTAATTCGTATCTTTACAACTGATAAATTAAGGATGTCATCAACGGAAAAGAATCTGACCTCTCTGAACTCCTCAGTGCTCAATTTTAGACCCTCCCTTATTTATGTTACACATGACCTCTTATATGACCCTGTTAATTCATTTATGTATTTCAAAGCCAGTAAAGATAAACATCTAATTTCAAATCAGCGCAAAACTTTTGGACAATCGCCTGATCTTAAACTAGGCTATAACTTTATTCCGCGTGTTGACCATTATAAGCATTTAGGTTTTACATCAGATAGACATTTGACTTTCGAAACTTCCATTAATGAAATTGGAAACAAGACTGACAATAAACTAAATACGCTTAAATCTCTTAGTCGAAAAGTGGAAAACATCTTAATCGTCTAGCCTGTCTTTGTTTGATTATTGTGAAACGGTTTATGGAAGTACAAATGCCACCAAACAATATAATACTTGACAGACTGTTGTACTATCTGAACGAAGAAAGATGCATGTTCTTATGTATAGAGTTTATAGAAACGTTTGCCTGATTATGTATCAGATATCTTTCTGCCATTCAAAAGAATCCATAATAGAATTAATCGACATAGATTTGACTTCGCTATTCCAATAAAGCGGCAAGCCAATTACAATAGAACATGTATTTTCACTGCAATGAATGAGTGGAATTCACTTTACGTATTTTAGATCTTGGTCTTAACAGAGACCATGAGATTATTTTTTAACAAAGTAAGATGTGACCCAGTTTCTAAATAAAACTAACTTTCACACAACTTTACAAATGTGAAGACGCCTGCTTGTTATGCCTTGGTCACATTTGCTTCGATTTTCACTACGGCGCCAAGCCGATTGCGTATGATATTCAAAACTGAATACAATTTTTTGAACAAAATACTGAATCGGCCGGGCGCCGGTCGATGAATCGGAGCAAATGTGACCCAGGCATAAACGTGGTTACATGAATGAGACTATCGTACATCTAGTTTTTGGTTGCATTAACTTATTCCGTAAACGGGGTAGCCTGACGTTCTGCAACAAATGTTTATAATGTTAGATTATGTAACCATTTTATTGTTTGAAATATGGAAAAGTTAAAAATAAACTTTATGTATACATGTACAGGGTGTCAAAAAACAACGGCATCCCCCTCTACAGCAAAAAAATCCTGAATGTTCCATGTATTGTGTCATACATCATTTGAGAGATAATTTAATTTTGGAGTTACTCCTCAAATTTCATTTAATAAAACTTAATATTAAAAAAGCTACATTGTTTCTAAGTTTGCTACTTTGGTACTTTATTTGCTGCTCTGTTACTGGTTAAAGGTCAAATCTTCAGAAAGTGGAATTTGAAAGAATTAGCTCAGATTTCAACTGCACTGAACATACATGTATGGGTTCAGTTCTGAAAAACAGGGCACTGGCGGATCTGGGGGGGGGGGGCCCAGGGGCCCGCCCCCCCCCCCCCCTTGGGTGGGCCCAGAAAAAAAAATTGTGCCCAAAAAAAATTTTGAGCCAAAAAAGGCTTTAAGGCCCCAAAAAGTAGGCCTTTTAGGTCTTAAATTGGCCTTCTAAGGCCTTGTTTTTTAATTTTAGGCCAAATTTTGAAGAAAATGGGCCTCAAAATTTCAAAATTTGGGCCCACTTTTGGGTTTTTGGGGCCCAAAATTTTTTTCTGCGCAAGCGCGGACTTTTTTTCTCAGACCACAAGTTTGGGCCCCCCCCTTGTTGGTTCCCAGATCCGCTCCTGCAGGGTATAGGAACTGACGGACGAAGAGCCTCTTGAAAAAAGATACAGTGAGGATGTATTTCTGAAGAAATTGAGGAAATTGCTTATAGGATTATGCAATGCTACACCTTTATCTGAATTTTCATTGAAATCATATCCGTCCAGATAAGCTGCTGTTTGAGCAGAGGGGTGCCGTTGTTTTCTGACACCCTGTATATTATTATAAAAGATTATAATATTTCACTAGAGATGTCTCCAGTTCAAATGTCTGAATATATACTTTTGAAAAATGTTATTGCAATTTATGTCGTTTTATAATTGTCTACTCTAGAATTGTACTATACAAGGTGGGCAAAAACCGTCTATATTTTGGATTCGATATAACTTTTTTGAAAATGCATGGATTTCAATAAAATTTTGGCAGGGTATGCAGTATTAAATTTTAGAAATGTTCCAAAATTTAGATGAATGAATCCCTAGGGGTTTTTGAATAGAAATTACAATAGTGTATGCATCATACACAAAATGTTTCTCTTGTTAGATGTATGAAAAGACTGGAAAGCGATGAACGAAGACATACAGAGTAAGAACTGGAATCAAATACTAAATATACATGATAACAACAATGACACTGACGTAAATGAAATTGTAAAGAATTGGTATAAAGAATTTAAAGGCATAATAAACAAGTTTATCCCAGAAAAGACAATAACTATAAGGCAAAATGATCTGCCATGGATTACAACAAAAATCAAACATTTCATTAGAAGGCGGAACAGAGCTTACAAGATGGCCAAAACACTAAAAACAGACACGCTATGGGACAAATACAAAAAGCTGAGAAATGGAACAATAGCCGAACTCAGAAATGCCAAAGAAGAATATGAACTAAGACTCTCACAGAAATTGGTCAATGGAAAAACTGGAACAAAGACCTGGCCATGGTGGACTGTGGTCAAACAGTTCTACAATGATTTTAGGGCATCAGATAATAATGAAACACCATTTCTTGTCAATGGTTATTCAATATCAAACAACAAAGAAAATGCTGAATAATCATTTTTTAGCCCAAAGCAGACTAGAAACTAATCAAGACCCACCAATTCTCCAAGCATCAACTGACAAAAGTATAGAAACGGTAAGATTGTCAAATCAGACAGTCGAAGACATACTTACAAATCTGAATCCAGGAAAATCACTAGGGCCTGACAATATAAGTCCACGTGTTCTAAAAATGACTGCAAAATCAATAGCCCCGATACTGGCACAAATATTCAATGCATCATTAAAACAGAATGTTTTCCCAGACATCTGGAAAGAAGCGAATGTTACACCAATATTCAAAAAAGACAGAAGAGAAATAGCAACAAATTACAGACCCATATCTCTACTGGACTGTGTAGCGAAAGTATTCGAAAGAGCAATGTATACTCATGTACATGTACATCACTACCTACACAAATGGAAATTGCTGTCAAAATTCCAATCTGCTTATTCCCCAGGAAACTCCACAACAACGCAATTACGAGAGATGTACAACTACATCACGGAGACGATGAAAAATAATGAAAACACAAGAGCCGTCTTCTGTGACATGTCAAAAGCTTTTGACCGAGTATGGCATAAAGGCCTAGCTAACAAGTTAGAACGGAAGGGAATCAAAGGAAACTTACTAAAATGGTTCAAAAGTTACCTATCCAACAGAAAACAAAGGGTCATTCCGAATGGCGAAACATCCAGCTGGGGGTATATCTCTGCACGCGTTCCACAGGGCTCAATCCTAGGACCACTGCTATTTTTGGTGTACATAGATGGTATCTTGGAAAACCTAACTGATAAATGCACTGGAAGGATATATGCAGATGATACTACATTTCTTGCAAGTGGAAAAGAAAATGACAACATAATTGAAACTCTCAACGAACAACTACGATCAACAAACGAGTGGGCCAATATATCGCAACTAACCTTCAACCCAGAAAAAACAGAAACAATGTTATTCACGAGAAAACACCAAAATAATGGACAATTTCAACTCACTTTCAATGGAAAAGTTATCAAAGAAGTGACCAACCATAATCATCTAGGTCTGACATTAGACAACAATGGAACATGGGGATCACACACAAGGAACATAACAAATAGAGCTGCCAAGATGATAGATGTCATGCGAGGACTTAAATATAAACTTGACCGAAAAACACTGGAAATTCTGTATAAAGCATTTATTAGGCTTATAATTGAATATGCCTCTCCAGTTTGGGACAACTGTCATAACTATGAAAAAGACCAACTAGAAGAACTACAACTAAAAGCTGCAAGAATCTGCACAGGGGCAAAAAGAGGAACAAGTCACGAGTTGATATACAAAGAAACAGGTTGGGCAAAACTCCAAGAGCGTCGAACAACACAAAAACTACTAATAATGCACAAACTCATAAACAAAAAAATAACAGACTCGTTGAGCAATGTAATTGAAGCAACCAAGAGAAGGTCTGATCATGATCTCCGACGAGCTAGCAACCTATTAATGCCTGTATGCAGAACTGAAGCGTATAGAAAATCATTTCTACCAGCCACAATAAAAGTGTGGAATGACATTGATGCATCAATAAAAAGCACAAAAGCTGAGGAGCACTTCAAAAAATTGATAACAAACAAGAAGAAGGTACCACATTACTATGGGAAAAGAGACACTCAAAAGATGCAGCGACTTAAACCAAGATCTACATTTCAACCATGTAAAGGACAACCCCAAATGTGAATGAGGAAACCCAACAGAAAGTGCCGAACACTATTTCAAAGAATGTACTTTATACCAAAGACATAAAACAATTCTACCAAGGACAACATTAACAGAACTCATCCATGGAAATGCAAGGAAGACAGATGAAGAAAACAAAGCCACATTCACTGCTGTTCACAATTACATAAGAGTTACAAAAAGATTCTCAATCAAGTAGTTTTCCTCCTTTCACTCTCTCATTTCTTACCAAGCCTCCCATCCTGCACAAACAAATAAAACTGTAATAATTATCTAGGACAACCAAAGGAGAGGACTTAGAATATGCGAAAGCCTCTTGTCCGATCCATTTCGTCAAATTGTATTAATATAATGTATGTAAAACATATAGACGAATAAAATATTTTTAATAATAATAATGTATGAAAAGTCAATCTGGAAATGTATACATGTATGAGGCATGATCATTATCATTGTAAAATTTGTTGCTTTGAAAATCATTCTGAAATCTGTCATTTTTCATAAAGACCCCTAGTGTCTGTTTATCTCCATTATTCAAAAAACTAAAGATTTATTTATCCCAGTTTTGGAAATTTGTAAAATTGATGTCTGCATATCCTGCGAAAAAAGTTGTATTGAAATAAAAAAAATATGTACATTTTTTGGCCCACCCTGTATATTGTATTTCAATGTTGTGATTGGGAGCGTGATTATCTTCATTTCTCTCCATTCAAGGTATTGTACTCAATATTCTATATCTCGTTGAGGTCCATCAAAGACTGCTTGAGCTCCGTTTCGACTTTCCCGAGAGATTTTTCCTCCAACGCTTCGCCCTCAGCATCACCCCCAGCTTCTGCGTCCCTATCTAGTGATAGATGTCGCTCTGGCGAACTAATTTTTCCCATTGGAATTCTCCAGAATTGGGGGCTTTTACTTGTAAAGGCGAGCAAGACCGAAGTCGTCAAAACAAACGGCATAGTCAACACGGGCAATCCCAACTAAAATAAATATATGATATATACAGGTTGGGCCCAAAACGTTAGTTGGTGATAACTTTAATAAAGATTTCGAAATGATGTAGATGCTGGGATCAGTTTGGGAATAACCCTGTTACCAGTATGCAGTTACCAGTTTTACCACCATTTGGCTAATTCTGGTCAGATTGACATGGTAGATATGATAGAAATCCCTAAACTTGGACATTCATTAGTTTGAGTGGATCACTTTTCAAATAACCTTTATGTGTCTGAGGAAAAGGAAAATATGTCCACTAAAAGAAAAAACTTTTCCAATACAAGACATTTCAATTTTATTTTTGTATCTTTAATATTAAACATGAGGTCTAACAAAAAGTGTCTTCCTCATTTGGAAAAAGATCTCGTTTTTCCATACGACATTTTAATTTTTTTATTAATTGCTCCTATGTAAAACGAGGAATGTGTGGTCTAATAATACTTCCAGTCGAAATAAAAATGTCCAAATTGTTCGTGTTACACTACGCGGTACTTTAGAAGGCTTTGGCAAAGTTGCTCGCTCTCTTTAATTCTAACTTTACCTGCATAAAACATCTGGACATCGTAGCGTGCACCAACGTTGTTAGGACAGCTAGAATAAATGACACATCGTTAACACTACTGCCCAATCTCATAGAATAATTGACATATCAGGAAAATCTATATTTGTTCATGTCCATAACAAAATGTGATAATAAAATGACAACATCCCGGGAATCAATATATTTTATACACCTTTAGCCATTAATAATTTGGAATTTTTCCAATTCAGAAAAGTATTTGTCGTTCTTACCCCCTAGCCAGGCAAGTATGTGAGAATGAGGGGTGAGTCGAAAGAAAAATCCGCCGACTGCCTCGCTTGTTAAAACCGCACTATATCCCCATAAACCGCTATATACCTGGGTATATGGTGCTGACATACCAATAGCTATAAAATACAAAACAACAGTTTCAGCAAAATTCTACAACACTTGAACATTATGCAAATATTACATTCTACAATAAAGATATAGAAACTACTTATTGAGAGGGATTGAATATGGGTTTTATATCATGATTATGATAAAGATAAGAATTTCCGAGGGTACGGAGCGAGTGTGTATGTTAATGCATATTATATTACTTCATACAATCTTATAATAGTTTCAATATTTTTCTGGTGGGCGAACAATTAAATAAAGAGCAAATCAAAAAGAGACATAAAGCGTAAAGAACAATGTTATAATAGAGATTTTACATTTTGGCATGCCATCTCCTGATACCTTGGTGAACTAAGTCATGTGATCATTTATATCCAATCAGAATGCATTTCTGCCACATAGTGATAGCATAGTGATCCAAAGCTAAACCAAGGTGTAGGAAGGGTTTATATTATCATATAGAAGGGGTGCACTTTTCTAATTGGCCATGGTTGACACGCATGTTTGCAAACTTAGTACTTGCATCAAGAGCTCTGACTGGCATCCTAACAAAATAAATTCATACTACACTGATGCCTGGGTCACATTTGCTCCATTTGTTCAATATTGTATTCAATTTTGAACAAAATACTCAATCGGCATGGCGCCGTAGTGAAAATCGGAGCAATCTGCATTACTTGTACACGGTGTATACCAATAGCCCATTTTCAGCATAGCAATTTCTTAGAAGGGTTTCCAAAATGCTCCATCATGGAATACCTTGACCCTCTCTTCTTACATGATAGACACAGACATGTTTCTAGATGCGATGTGTACCAGAATGAAAGCTCTGGCTTCTTCCTAACTTAGCGGGAGGGTGCAAAGTACTTTCTTGATCATTAAAAATAAATGCCATTGTCACAGGAACTCTGCATTTTATGTAAATCCATTGAATATTTATCTGCATGCTCGAAGTTAATTAAGTTAAGAAGACCAGATTCTTTATAACACTTGATCCAAATCTATTTGATATTCAAAATCTAAGTAAACCTCTCTTTTTGAGGAACCATTACTCAGATTGGATTAATCAATATTCTCATACTCTCTCTAGTTTGTATGAATGAATGACCCTAAACATCATGTGAAAGACTTATCAGAAAATGTGCCCAATATATTCTAAATCATACATGTCATAGGAGCTTTGAAATTTTGAAAAGTTGTCTGAAACAAAAATTGTGATCATAAAAAGAGAATGGATTTCTTTCTAAAGCAGTTTTCTCATTTTTTCTATTTTTAGGAATGAATTCAAATTTTCAAAAGCTTCTATAATTTCAAATAATATAGTTTAGTTTAGTTTATTATTTATTAAAGTGTCACAGGCCTATTATGTTACATAATTATACGTTCAATTATTCAAAAGCCCCAAGCCAACAATGGCTTATGAGACACTGTCCATCTCAGAAATATTGCTAATAAAATTATTGATTTTGAATGAAAAAATATTAAAGACCGACAATCAGTCAATAACTAGAATGTCGAACAATCCACTCATGTTAAGAAGGCTTATTTATGATACATGTAGGCAATGAGAGTCCAAGTATTACTTATAATGTCCGTGACATTTTACCACAAGTATATCAACTCAGCCGGCTATTGTTTGTTGAATCTCACTCACATAATGTTCTTTAAATTCCAATTAAGCGTGTGGGCATTGACCTAAATTAGGTTACGAGATTATATCATAAGTCCACTGCAATGTTTGCTTCATAATGTCCAAAGCTTGAATGTAGGATGGCCCATGAAACCAAATAAATTCATGTAATCCTGGAGCCCCTGGCCTCAATGTTATTGCTCTGGTGTGGCCAGAATTTACTGAATCTCTGCATATTCCTCAAAGTATATTCCAATTCTAGCTGTTTCCTGGTCTTTTGCTGTTCCACATATACGTTGTTGTATTCCTTAGAGTATTTTAATTTCGCTTTTGACTTCAATAAACGTGCTTTGTCCTCGGGAGATTTCAACGTAACCAGTACAATACCAGCACTATCATGCCTTTTTGGTAGTCTTTTGACATCAGTGGGGCACACATCTATCGGGTTATCATCACATACAATTTCGGACAGTACATTGTTTACCATGGTAGAATCCAATATTTCTGAAGATTCCGGCAGATTCTTTATGACAATTACAAGTTCATTTACTGAACTTTCATTCGTAGTATAACAAGGTTTCTCAAATCCATCAATACGGTATTTCAATTTCTTGATTTCAGCAGATACTGCATTAACATGTTGTAATATTTCAGCTTTTTGTTGTTCCAATTTAGTCTCAAAATAACTCACCAACTCAGCTCGTTGAAGATCAATCTGTTTGAGGACTCCAATATTCTGATCCATGATTCTGTTCATTTGTTGTTGTAATGTTTGGATCGTAGCACCCAATGCCATTATTGATGCTGAATATATTTGGCACACTTTCTCAAAAATGCAATAGATTCTGTCTGGTGACCTTTCTAAAAGTCCAACTTTTAACTATTTTTGAGTCACATTTTCTGAGTCACACTCCTCTGTGTATACTTTCTCCAGTATGTATGAATCGAAACTAGGTTAATTTCCCATGTGCCTAAACCAATATTTTATTGTTTTCTTTACTTTCTGTGTATGTGTGTATGGACTACTATTTATATTTTTCCAGTGTATATATGAAACAATAAATTTTAACTGTGTGTGTATGTACTTTCTCCAGTGTGTATGAGCAAATATTATGTACTTTCACTAGTTATTTAACCAATACTCTGTACGTTCATACACACTGGAGAAAGTACATAGTATTTGTTCATACAAAATGTGTGTTCATAAACAATGGAATACATGATATTTGTTCATACATACTGGAGAAAGTATATACACAGGCGTGTTTGTTCATATACGTCGTACATGTCCATACTGGAGAAAGAGCGTAATGTCTCTTCATACACATTATAGATATTGTAGTACATTAAATTCGTTCATACTCATTGGTTTGGGTACATTTTATTCGTTCTGACACATTGATTAATTAACAAAATATTGAAAAGACGGAAGAGAATGAACAACGTTTTGGTTCATGCACAATGGAGAAAGTACAAATCATTTGCTTATGCATATTGGACACAAAATATGTGTTCATACATGCAGGAGAAAGTACAAAAATGTGTTCATTGAAAGTGGAGAACCCAGATTATATACTTTCTCCAGTTTGTATGAACAAATTAATCAATGTGTTTCATGCAACACATTTTAATTTGTAATTTAAGGTGCTATGTAAGTTAACAGAAATGACAAAACAAAAAATGTCAAAACCATGCTGGATTCTGAAATTTTTTTGAACCAAGATAACAGAGTTCTGTTCGGACCTCCAGTCAGTTTAACTAGTTCAACATACTAGTATTTACATGACCGGGAACACAAGGAAAATGGTCAGAATGACCATAAACTTGATGAAATAACCTTTTCAGCCCTCTGAAAATGTGACTGAAAAATAGCTAAAAGTAGGTGCTCAGGAAAGGTCAATGAACAGAATCTCTTGATTTTTTCAGAAAAGTGTCTAATATATTTCTCTAAATGATACAATCTTTGAAATTTTAAAAAATTGTCTGAAACAATAATTGCTGTAGTTAAAAGGAAAATAGATCGATTTTAAATTCAGTTCTTTTTTTCATTTTTTTCTTTTTCTGAGAATGATATAAATTTTTTTCAAATTGTATCATTTAGAGTAATATATTGGGCACATTTTATAAAAAAGTCAAAAGATTCTCTTCAGTGACCTTTCCTGAGCACCTACTCTTAGCTATTTTTCAGTCACATTTTCAGAGGGCTGAAAAGGTTATTTCATCATGTTTATGGTCATTCTGACCATTTTCCTTGTTTTCCCAGTCATGTAAATGGTATGTGGAACTGATTAAACTGACTGGAGGTCCAAACAGAACTCTGTTATCTTGATTCAAAAAATTTTTAAAATCAAGCATGGTTTTGACATTTTTTGTTTTGTCATTTCCTGTTAACTTCCATAGCACCTTAATTTGTATTTCCAAGTAAGATTTTTTAGAATTGTGCCTGTTTGTGAAATTTAGTCAATAAACTTACCATAAATGTCTGCAATAATAGAAAAATCAATGGTGATTTTTTGGGCATTTTGGTAAAGCCTTTGGTTTGTAATGGGAAGATTTTACTCACTTCGAGAGCCATGTTAGATTTTGAAACTTATGGCTCTCAAACGGAGAAGTGAACAGCTGATCAATAGTGACCTTTGAAATTGAATTAAGTCGATCCGCGGCTTACTTTTGGTCTCTAACTGTGTCTTACATCAGTATCATCAATCCGTGTAAGTATTGGAGCGCTGGAGTACTTCTTTTTCGATCGAGACTTGTAAATTGTTCATCGAGTTAAAGTTTTACAGACCTATTTCCAATATGGCGGTTTGCTAGGTGCGAGATACACAACGAACGAAATGAATTTTGAGAATTAGTTAGGTTCGGACAACCTCCGGAGATTTACGAAAATGTCCGAGCAGAAACCGCCATATTGGAATTTGGCAGTAAAACGATTCACTCGACTAACAATTACAAGTCTTGATCGAAAAAGAAGTACTCCAGCGCTCCAATACTTACACGGATTGATGATACTGATGTAAGACACAGTTAGAGACCGAAAGTAAGCCGCGGATCGACTTAATTCGATTTCAAAGGTCACGATCATTGAGCTGTCCAAATGCTCCGTGGGAAAGCTATTATATCAAAATCCAAATAGCTTTCGCAGGAAGTAAGGAAGATTGTCTTTACCACTAGAACTGTTCTGCATGGGGTCTTTTGCACCATTGATAAATTATATACTATACTAATACATTACTATATAGATTTGCAATGTCTAGGTTTTATTCAAGTAACTGACTCCACTGAGTGTGTATTCAAATGTTGTGCTTATAAAATGTATCGACTCCTATACTACCTTTTGAATGAAAATAAACTCTTCCAAAAGTGATAGGGCCTTAGTGCACCCATGCCATGGTAAGGACCTTAGGTTGGCATGCCAAAATGTAAAATCTCTAATAGCGTGATCAAGAACAAGGGCGGTGCACTCCCCTCCATCAGTTCGATAACCGCGTTATTTCAAAAATTAAACATAATAAAATTGAAAGATCCGGTTGCTTTACATGGGGATGGAGCGTATGTAATAAGGATCCGACCTACCTGTAAAAGCACTAATGAAGGCTCCGATGAGAGCGTGTAGGGCTAGTATTGGAGAGGCCAAACATATGGCCACGAATATCAAACATCCAGTCAGAAGTCCTCCGTAGGCATACACCTGGCCAACGCTTATGGGGATTGACAGAAAAACCTACAAAATTCAAGAGAACGTACAATTAGTCCTACATCGCATATTGAGTTGAATATTATTCCTTTTTGATCCCAAGATGTGACAGTGTCATTATGTTCACCTCTTTATATTTGTCTTTTTTTTTGGGGGGGGGGGGCTTTGGACACTTCTTTGCTATTTTTATGACTTGTATGTATTGTTAAACCTTTTTCAATTAACTCTTCAGAAAATTGTCAACATTGTCAACAAAGGTCAAATCGAGTTCAACGTAAAAATGTTATATTTCCCAAGTTGAAATATTAGGGGTAGGGAGAATGAAAATATATTATCTAAATTTTGGAGAGACAATAAATCAAAGATATTCATTAAGAAGTATTTAATAAAACGTTTTTTCTCATATTCGTGAGGAGAACGGGATTCGCGAATATTTGTCGGTTAGCTGTACTTTATCTTTAAAAATTCGTAAAAAAGTCAAAAAGCGTCTCATATCTGTGGCTCAAGGTACAAAAATATCTGAGGCACAAAAAAACTTGCAAAATAATTTGACCCTCCTCACCCCTAAAGACATTAGGGCTAATCTATACAAGGCTCTTTAACAAAATATGGGGACAAATAATGGAAATCAAAACTCTACATAAAGGATCCCATTTCAAAGTCAGTTTATGTCCAGAATTGCTTTTGCCATGCATAGTCTTGTAGCAGAGTCCTCTCAATTTTCATGCAACTCTCAACCTAAGATTTTTATACCTAACTAATACAAAATACAAAAACCTCTATGTCCAACATACGAATTGCGGTAGGCGTAGATAAATACAAGTTTTTCTCATCTTTCGTTTAACCGACTTTAAACAGTCCATTAGATTAACCACTCCGCAACTTAGTACCACATGAAGATACCTCCCCCATCAATTACCATATTAAGTCGTAATTTATAAGCTGATAAATACCTTTCCCCAGTCAGGAGCTGTTTCATTTGATACGGAATCTGGAGCTACTTTCATAGGAAAATGTGAGGAACCACTGTCGAGACCCCCTAAGAATACGAACGTCACGAGGCAGAACGGTAACGTCAATGCTGGTAGATTCCAAACGCTGTATATGTTACCGACTCCATTTGCAACGTAGACGCTGAAATGGATTGAATGTAATTGATTTCAGAGGATTTCCCATGGCGGGGGAGGCTTTTGCGTAAACCATTTCTGGAAAAGAGGGGGGGAGGCAACGCAACGAAACGCAACGCAACGAAATAAACATCTAACACCAAATGTGGCACAAAAGATATAGATATCTGATTTGCCTTATGTTTCATTCTGTGCGATTGCAAGAAACATCTCATACCAATATTTCACGAGCCATTCTGGAACACTTAATGCCATCATAGTTTTTGATTAAACTGGTTAACGTATTTAATGATTGAAACAGTTAAAAACACTTTAAATAGCCTGTCAACACAAGAAGATATTAAGATATTATTGGAAAGGGAATGATTCAAGCTGGGAGCAAACGTGTCGAAATGCAGCCTACATGTAAGTAGAAACCCAAAGCGTGATCTACCTTTAAAAAGTTTAAAGGATCCGTACCCATTAGTGTACCTATAAGGACTTAGAAATTTTTCGAAAAGGGTAAATTGGAATTCCAGTATTATTCTTATATAATATGAATCTTTAAGAAGTATATTTTCAACAAATCACAAAAATAATATTTAGAAAATGGTAAAAAGTTGTTTTTAGAGTGATTCTTAACACATGTCATTCTGACTCTTAAAATGAGTAATTTTCACATATTTTCACAAAACCTTGAATAAAATCTTGATTTTTGAAGATACACTTAAATTGACTTGTCAGTATAAAACTACATTGTGTCTGAGCATGATAAAACCTTCACGAAGCAGATCAACCATGCATAGATACTTTGTAATCCTATTGTTTTGAAAGGCACCCTATTGTGTTCTTGTTTTTTTAAGAATGGATGACCTTCTACAGTCACTGATAGATTGAGGTGCTTCCGCAGGTCAGACCCCCTCTGATTTCACCTTTATTGTTTAGTATTGACATTATTGCATAGTTCAAACATGAAATGAGAGAGGGTCCTGGCTGCGGAAGATATACAATGTAAAAGTATAGCAAAAAATTTAGTTTCAAAAAGTAGGCCATATTGGATCTGCCAGACACCAAGGCAACAAACTATCAGACAAGTATCAAATGGGTCAATTTATTTTTGATTTATCAGTCATGCATGCCTCTGAAGAGGATACGTTGCAGAGGGACTGAGTTGATATCCACTTAGTCATTAAAGGGACACTGTTTTTAAGGTAGTTCTCATGCTAATGAACACTAAAATGTTTTAAACAAAGAATCAAATGGGTCAATCTTCTTTTGATTCATCAGTCATGTCTATCTCTTGAGATGATATGTTGAAGAGACACTGAATTAATATCCATTTAGCCATTAAAGGGACACTCCTTGTAAGGTAGTTCTCACCCAAAGAAACAAATCTTTGATCGATCATTCATGCATGCCGCTGAAGATGATATATTGCAGAGGGACCCGAGTCATTATCCATTCAGCCGTTTATAGGGACATTGCTTGTAAGATAGGTCTCATCCTAATGAACACTAAACTCTTTTTAACAAAGAATCAAAGGGTCAATATACTTTTAATTCATCAGCCATCCCTGCCCCTGAATGTAATATATTGCTGAGGGACTGAATCAATATCCATTTACCCATTTAAAGAGACACTGCTTGTAAGGTAGTTCTCAACTAATGGGTCAATCTATTTTTGATTCTTCATTCAATTGCCTACCCTTAAGATGATATATTGCTGAGGGACTAAATCAATATCCATGTAGCTGTTTAAAGGGACACTGCTTGCAAGGTAGTTCTCACCAAAAGAAACAAAAGGGTCAATTTATTTTTGAAGCTTGTCCCAAAAGATGATATATTGCTGAAAGACGGAATCAATATTCATTTAGCCATTAAAGGGACACTGCTTGTAAGATAGTTCTCATCCTAAGTCAAACTAAAATATTTTACTTCGTAATAATTATATGTTATACAATGGATAGATTAAAATACCTCCACTTGTTTGATAGCAAAACAATGGGTTTCAAACTCTCCTACATGCACCTTTTCAATTTTGATAAGCAACCATTTGACTTTATACCCTATTAGCTTCAATTGAATTATTCTTTGAAAATGCCAAATAAATACATCATATATTGGAAAGTCACAACTAAATTTTTAATATTTGAGTTGAATACCTGGGTTTTGTGTTTTCAATATGTTGCCCTTTGTGTCCCACCTTTGATGATGATGTGTAATATGAATATAATATTGAATATCCTAGGTTAAACGTACTGCATACCAACTGAAGTGATACTTTTGCTGAGATTCACGATTAAGATTCATAGATATATTACATTTTAGGGGTTGTTTTATGATTTGTGTTTTCAATATTATATGTTGCCCTTTGTGTCCTACCTTAATGATATTTTGATATATCCATTGATTGAATGGTCAACATACTTAAAATAGTCATGAGTGAAGACTAACATACCCCTAACATGATATTTAGGATGATTTGAATAGTCAAACTTAAATGCACTGAATGACCTTAGTTTTAATCCCTATGAACTAATTTTGTTTTGGATGTGTTCATAATTTATAAAAGTAACTATTTCCATGTTATATTCAATGAAACCTTTGGGGGCACCTTTAGGTACATGGGGTAACGGATCCTTTTGCAACTTGAGCTCTGAATAACTGATATTTAATGATCCAGCCATATGTTTTAAAGTGAATGGAGATATATTAAATGATAGGCAACACATTACCAGCCTTCTGATTAGAGCCATTTTATTCCTATCTCTTGACGTTAATTTATTGATAATGTATGTCACTGCCTCATTATCGATGTAGAATGACAACCTATTTTTAATATCTGAAAGATTTCTCCAAAAACCCATTGCTGAAACTATGGGGTAAAGTTCAAGAAGAGGAATGCGAACGTTTTTCCATCGAGAATCCCAGACACCTTTGAAAATTGTTTTGATGCATTGCCTCATAATCGAAACCTGAACTATAAATGAAAAGTTTTAAAGTGTTACAAGAGGGCCAATTAGCTGACTTTATAATAGCCCTCCTACTGAGGTATAGTTTCCTTTTTTTAAAATCTTGCTTGCTTCATTATTCAAAACGGATGTAATAATGTCTGTTGGACAATCACCTTTTTAGGTCAATCACTCATCTCAAGAAAGCCCTACTGGGCTAATAGCTGAGCATGCGCAATTGAAGAGGCCAAAGATGTCTTGTAATTCCTTTAATTTATCGATAATGGAATGCCTGATTCATTACATATTGCCTAAAAGGTACTCTTCACTGGCGGATCTAGAAGCTAACAAGGGGGAGGGGCCTAAATTTTTCAATATTTCAGGGTAGCCATACTTTTGATAGCGGTAAACCAGGTTTGATTTTCAATTCAAACATGACCGTGCTCTATTCGAATTTCTCAACCAATCAGAATGCAGCATAGCCAATATAGAACGTTCTCTAATTCTCCATAGATGCCAAGGAGGATTGGAAGCCAGGGTTCCAACTCGATATTCTTTAATCTCCACGCATGCGTCATTTGCTATTCGTGTCTGTGTAATTTGTACGACTGCATGGAGAATGACCCGATACTCTCCAACAAAGCTATCGCTAGGTGATTGTTTTGCAGAATATCGGTGTTGCATTCTGGGAGCCAATCCTCCTTGATAGATGCACGACCATGGATATAGTCCTGAGTAAGGACATTAGCGGTTACCGTTAGTGATTTGGTTTTCTGAATAAAAAGTCATTTTCTCCTTCCCTACCCCATTGGAGCGCCATCTGGCGTTTGGGAAGTGAATCGGGACTAAATATTTATAGGGTAGGTCCTAATTTATCTGAAAACATGTCAGAGTTCAGTGGGAAATCTCATTTTAAGCTGGCGGCGGAGTGATTTTGACCTTGGTGATTTTACCAGAATTCTCTGAGAAATCTGACGATAGAGGGGGTTAGTGTCTTCAAGTTTATTTATTTCAAAAATTCGGTGGACAACCCATGGTGAGATTGTTATAGCAGGCTAGGCGAGTCTCTCCCGAACACTGTGGTATGTTGCACTAGGCTTGGATACTAATCGTTAATAAGATACAGGGTAAAACAGTGGCGTAGGAACAATATACGCCAAAACGCCAATGCGTACTGTTGAAAAGCTAGAATGAAATAGCTTGATAATTTCCTTATGTTCTTTAGTCATATTTCCTCATTGTTAATAAATTGTTTGTGATCTCGAGCACACTAAAGAAATGTTTTTGGAAACCATGTAATATGTTCGATTATTTCAATAGTACTCTTTGCAAGGTTTTTGTTCCTCTGTTACTTTTTTCTAGCTTCGGCCACGATAAATGGCACTTTTTGGCGTAAGAGGGTTATGATAGTTGGAAGTTTAAGCCAGTAAAAATGAAAGTACATTTCAACTTCAGTTCTAGGAAAGCAATTACCCTAATTTCTATTTTATTTGAAATATAATAGATTATTATTTTAGGAAATAAATGTTATGTTGTATCATTGATCACGGACATGTTTCTATTGATCATACTAGTTTCTTTAATCTGTATTGTTGAGATTTAAAAGATCGGCTTTCCATGGTGATTTTATATCATGAAAAACATTCGAACATTTTAAGCACAATTAGAAAGGTATTACCATAAAAATTACGTTTTACGAGCATAAAAGAGGCGTTTTGATTCGTTAAGATTTGACACAATTTTTTCATATTTTTGGCGTAGTGTTGAATTTACACCTTCCTACGCCCCTGTAAAATGTTATAATGGCCACCTATGGGAAACTCTACTGTGGTCTTCAACCCATGCTCTATTCAATCTGCAATTTGCATTGTTTTGAGTGACGTCACATCTCATCTGCACATCTGGGGCTCTGTCCGGGGATAGTTGTTCTTTTTACTCCCTCCGTAACTAGATATTTATTTTTATTTTATCAACACCCCATGTTTGCATACACCGTATAAAATCTGGGGAGTAAAATAGAACAGCCCAAACAAATTCTAAAATTTTTCCGGCCGACTTCAGAATCTTGACAGCATGCTATTCTTCCTTCATGCCCGTTCCACAGACACGGCTTTTACTAATTTTTATGTTTGAATCGGAATAAATAATGATAGGCCATTCAATATGGTGAAATTCAGCACTCGTTGGACAGAATGTTAGTACAAATGCACTCACCTTCGGTTCGTGCTTTGTACAACATTCTGTCCAACTCGTGCTGAATTTCACCATATTGAACGGCCTATCATTATTTATTCCTTAATTGAAAAATGAAAGTTAACTATTGAATCTTTTTCCATGGACGTTTACGTTTTTATATTCAATGTAAATGAGTTGTTGCATTTCAAACCATTTATTTAACCACCACTCATTTATACATATCGAGGAAATTGCGAAAATTATGGAAACTGAATTTTCAAAGTAAATATTTTAAGATTCGAAGTGATGAAAGGTTGATTATAACGGAGATAGTTAATGGTATGCTGTTAAAATTCCAAAACATTATTAAGGAATAAAGAAAAAATACAACGGGAAAGTTATTTCAGAATCTCTTCAAAATAACCCTAAACATATTATTATTGAACACTGCATCATTGTTCCAATGAATCTATACTTAATCATCAATCTAAGCAACTACCAATGCCCGGGTATTAATGATTCGACAATTCTATCATTGAACATGCTGAACACAATTTAAATTGTAAAACATAAGCTCTTGACATATTTGACGTTTCTTATCTCTTGTTTTTATCATAAACATTCAGCATTAGCAAATAACTTAAACTAAAGCCATGAGAAAAAATTGCAAAACATTCCCTGTATCTATCTATCTACGTATATATTATCACACATGAACATTCCATACCTATCTTATGGTTTTAAAGATATTTTAACAATAAGTGTAAATGAATACCTACCTACATGTACATGTACGTCCATTTACTACAGAAACGTAGTTACAATCATTTTAATAAATCAAAAATATTCAATATATTTGTACCCCATAGCTCACCTTGCAGAACCCAAAATTATGAGGGGTAGAATAAGCAATGGATACCACTCTCGATCAACAGACACTCCAAGGAGCAATCCAATTAACAGACCATGGAAAGTACACACACCGGACTCAATCTGGCCGTACTCTTGTTTGACGGCAAACGCTGTGACAATAGCCGAGATAAGGCATATCGTTCCACATAATGCGACCCAGGGATTTCCGAGGAACAGAGCAATGAGTATTATAAGTCCGCTGAATGGATTGTTCAAAAAGACTGGTTGTCCAACCGAACGAAATATCCAATTAGGAATAGACAAGGTCCAATGTTTCGTCTTCAAAAGTTCATGAATTCCTTCAGCATCAGCGCAGACATATTTCACCAGGAAGGTATAAATTCGCCTTCCCATTTTATTCGAACCTTCGCTTTTCATTCTTGACTGCGCAATGATGCTAACTTAATTTGAAAACTCTTCAAGACGTATTTTATGTATATAATAAAACCTCATCGGGATAGCCGCGCCCCTTTGTCTTTATCCTTCCAACGGCAGATAAGAGGGGCTATGGCATACCAGAATGATAAAACCTGTATATCCAAGCGCCTTTCGTATCTTAACACCTGGCTGTGTGAACACTTTCTCGAGTCCGTTTTTTATTTCCATTTTGTTCCATGTCGAAAAGTGTGAACACATTCCAAGAGGGGTCCACGATCAAAAGGGTGTTGCGATTAACAGTCTGCGAACAGAATCAACCGGACCAACTCAAAATAAGGTTCTCACTAGTGGAAATGACAAACATGAAGTCAGTCCACTTAAGGTCATTAAAGTCATATATGAATTATTTACATGTCTTATATGGGCGCAGTTTAGTTCCATAACGTCTGACTAGTTCAGAGACAATTTTACAGTTAAGCGCTTCAGTTAGCAAAAAGAAGCACATTATTACTTGGTCAACAATGACATCAGAGAAAATGACAATATATATAAAATTGTAATTCTGATGACGACAAGCTCTGGTTTCTTTGAAGAGCTCAGAGGTTTCCTTTAAACGTATCTAGTGCCGACGCAATAGACGGTTACTAGTATCTTTGACAAAGCCAAACGAAGTGTAGTCTAACACAAACACTTCTTATGAATATAGGCTATCACATGTTTCAAAAAAGATCACGTTTTATATATAGTTTTATCAGCATCGGTACTAATAAATGTTAGTCTAAATATTATTTTAATGGTAACTCGCTCAAATAGCATTTTTATTGTATTGATGAGTGCACAAAGTGGACTCAGAAATTGGTAACATGAGCTACCTTCACATGTCGTTAGAAAAGCAGGATTGTTGGTTGTTCCGTTGAACCTAGCGATGTTTTGATTTTCTTCATCATAGCACTTTTGACAAAATGAGGGAAATGCTGTATAGATATACTACGGTAAAGATGATGATTGCTTCGATTGCTCGGGTTGTCGGCGACAAAAATGATTTTCAAAGATTTCATATCCCGTGATACAGTTAGCATAATCAATTAGAAGGTTTAAATAAGTCGCGATAAATTTTACAATTCTCTGATTGGCAAATCCACATGTTCTAGCAATCCGATTCGGCTTGGCCTGGTTTTTATTACCCAACTTACAACTTACAATGACTTATATTCTTTAAGATAAAATATCATGTTTTATTATATCATTGCTAGAATTTGTGTCCTTTGATTGGCTGATTTAGTACCATGTGATCAAAAATACTAAAGCGTATTTCACAGCTCCCTTAATTTTTGAATTATAAAGACTATTGCCCGGCGTATTGCCCGCCCAGGAATTCTGAATCGTCCCGTTTCGTCCAGTACAGTTTTGACGTTTTTCAAAAACTTTTAGTCTTGGCAATAGTTCTCCTTACTGGTATCAAATTGTACTCCCAAATCTCTCCAAAATCTTCTTCAAAGTGTTTTTCAAACTTAGTCATTGTTTTTTTCAAATCTTTATCTTAAAACCGCATATAATACTGCATATAAAACAACAACTATGGATATCTGCAATTGCCTGGCAAGCTGAAACTGATTTGGTTGGTTAATAGAGAAATTGTCACTGGTGGAGGTCAGGGAGGTCAGCAGTGACCAATCAGATCACTTGTTTACTAATGAACTTGCCAAGCAATTGCAGATTTTCAGAAATTCTCTCTTTTAGACAGCATTATTCACTCTATATCATCTGACTGAGTTTCAATCTTAGGTAAGAGCTACAAACTATCAATTTTCTATCAACTGCCCATTGCTTTTTGAAAATAATACACTAAATATTGTTGAAATCTCCATCTTAACAAGTGGTCTAAGTCAGACTTGTTCACATGTCTCTTCTATATACGGCTTACTATTACTTTACCCTTAGCCTATGTGTATTAAAATGGCAAACGGAAAAAGATTTAAACTGTCTGAAGTTCCGATGAAAAGAACGACATCTTGAGGGATGTGCATTCTAAAAACACCATTAAATCAACGGAAAAGTCTTGGAACATTTTCAAGTGTTATGTGGACGAAAAAGATATATCGAAATAGACGTTTTAAAAATCTATCGATAAAATCGTACTGGATAAAATTTTAGAGGATTTTTTTTCTTGAATAAATTGCGAACGAAGGATGGGGAATATTACAAGAGTGCCAGTCTGCAAAGTATTCGTCATGGACTCAATAGGCACATACAAAGTCTACGCAATGATATAAATACCATCAACGACTCTGAATTCACCAGATCAAAGACAGCTTATGTTGCTATGAGAAAGCATTTGAAATCATTGGGAAAAGGAGACACAGGTTAAAACAAATATTATTTATTTCTTTGAAATGCATTTATTGATCGTAGCGAATGTCTAGCAATGATATAATAAAACAAATATTTCATTCTTTCGGGCAATACCTGTTGCACTTTCAATGATTTTTGCAGCATGTATTTCCCTCGCCCTTCGGGCAATACATGCTGCAAAAATCATTGAAAGATGAACAGGTATTGCCCGAACATAGAATGAAATATTTGCTTAATATTATTTGACAAAACAATTTATCTAGTTTTGTTATCTCATTGTAAACCAGCAGAGACAAGTTTGGTGTCTGTAGTTCTAGTACACAAATTAAAGATACTCATAAGATTAGTTATTTTGTGTTCCAGAACAGAGTGACTTTAAATACACGTCGTTAATGAGACTTCTCCGTGGAATTTTTTCTTTATTCCTTTTTGTTTTGAATTTTTTACACCATAACATTAACGGAGGAAAATAAAGAAACATAAACATAAACATAATGGGAAAAATGACATAATTTGGATTATTTTCAAACGTAGCGGCGCGATTTTCTTGAAATTGACAGATATAATAAATATTGGTAACACGAAATGTTTGAAGAAAAATGAAGAAAATTCACCGTCCTGGTTACGCAAAATATAGAAAAACGTGAAATAATCATGAAAACCTGTAAAAATAGATTGAAGGGAGTGATATTCATTTTAATGTGCCTTTCACTACTTCAGGGTAACCATAGTTTTGGTAATGGTTTACTCATTTTAAAAGCATATCTTCCAGCATGTGTATCAAGCGGAAGTAATACAATAAGTGAGTTATCATTAATTGAAATGGTATTATTATATTCCTTAGCAATGATGACAAAAAGGTAAAATCAATCATATCACACACTAGTTCTTACCATCAAATCGATCTGTTATAATGCATATTAAACAATAGCAGTAGATCTTCAAATCCAAGAATTGAGCTAAATTGTAAGATAATAGATAAATTGTATAATCCCTTTCTCTGAATCATACTAAATTACAATATTTCGGTATGCTTATTTTAGCTGCTGTAGTTTAGGTCACTTTATGAGATATTCAGTAACATGCTGTCACTAGAGACAAAAGTTGACACTTAATAATCACTCGAAATAAACGATATGAATTCTTCATATTTTCTTCTTTTGTAATACATCCATTCTTGAAAATTAGCATTCAAAGCTTTTTAATGCAATCATGAATTTAGTGATCTGACCCTTAAAAAACTTTTCAGGGGGAATAGTTTGCCCACCTGTAGCCCTTAGGTGTATCATCTTTTTCTAGCCATATTTTCCTAGGCCTGCTGGAATACCTATTTCAGTGTGCAAGTTTAGCATTGTTTTCCCATTGATCATTTGAGTTCTCATGTCAATAAATGGAAATAAAAATGACAGAGTAGTTTATTTTATTGTAAAAATCAAAAATAAAACAAGGTTTGGTCAGAAAGGGAACAGGTGAAATCCTTGGGATATATGAATTAATTAATTATAAGTAAGAAACATATTCATGTTTCTACAATTTAGGGTAACCCTGTGTATTATTCTACTGTGCATGGTTATACCCGTGCAAAATATTACAAAATGTTATTTACTTATTATCATAATTCAATGTGACAATATCAGTCTTATCTTCAAATTTGTATATAATAGTTTGCCTGTAAGGTTGGGCAAGCCGTCTATTACGTTGATAGTATAAGATGTTGATTTTGCAAAGCTCTTATGGGCTAATTCTACAATATGTACAGTAACATATATGTAAGGGTGCCAGTATGTAGTCCAGTATATAGTAAACAAAGGAGTATTTTGGTCAACTCAATACATCTGATAAACACTACATGAAGTGTTTTCTAAGTATGCAATGATTATATACAGGCTGCGAAGTTCAAAAGCTTCCAAATTGTGTGGAATAGAGCATGCAATGTTTTTCGGTTTCAAGCAGGTTTTAGTACATTCTGACCAATTGTATTTTCAGACTTATTCATTTTCTGATTATGTAATACTGACCTACTTATCTGCTTAACATGTCTTTAATGATAATTCATTGCTTATCTGACAGTGGGCTTGTCAGTGTCGTCCAATCACAAAGGCTTAATCCGCAAGTGGTTTAAGTCTAGCCTTGGGTATATCTCATTAAGTAATCTCATTGCTATTATCGCATTGAGCAAACAAAAATGTAAATACAGTTCTTGAACACAATAGTGAACTTTTTAATAAAGGTCATGAACACCTTTGGATTCGGTAACAGCCATCATCTTGCCAAAATGTGCACCATTATGTTAAAATAAACGGGATTGTGTTTCGTCACTTCTCAGATTGACAGAGATCGATAAAAACAAAGTCATCCTATCATTCTAGTGAATCATTGTGATACCAATGATGGTACATGTACAAATCAGAACTTATTATACTGTAAGCTTGTTCAGCGGTACCATAACTATTAACTAAACTTTGTGCTATGTGGTCACGTCGTAACTAAACTGAACTAAAGCCTCAGTCACATTTGATGAACGGCAACCGTGCGCTGAGGTGGTGGTTTTCCGAAATCGAGAGAAATATGCAGCATTATAAAATATAGGGATAGGCATATTTTCTTTATCGATTTTGTGAAGCTACGGCCGCCGTAGAGCAAATGTGACCGAGGCTTTAATGGTGACCAGTGACGATTTTATTCCGGGCCATTTTCCATAAGAACTTTGTGGATATCATTTGTGAAAGATGCACATATGCATGTGTTCACCTCATAAGAATGAATTGAAGTAATTAATTATGACAATGCAGATAATACAATAATTATCTTACCTTGCAGAACCCAAAATTATGAGGGGTAGAATAAGCAATGGATACCACTCTCGATCAACAGACACTCCAAGGAGCAATCCAATTAACAGCCCATGGAAAGTGCACACACCGGACTCAATCTGGCCGTACTCTTGTTTGACGGCAAACGCTGTGACAATAGCCGAGATAAGGCAGATCGTTCCACATAATGCGACCCAGGGATCTCCGAGGAACAGAGCAATGAGTATTAAAAGTCCACTGATTGGGTTGTTCACAAAGACTGGTTGTCCAACCGCACGAAATATCCAATTAGGAATAGACAAGGTCCAATGTTTCGTCTTCAAAAGTTCATGAATTCCTTCAGCATCAGCGCAGACATATTTCACCAGGAAGGTACACATTTGCCCGTGAGGTTTATTCCTGGACCGTTTTTTCAACAGGAGTGACATGATGCTAGTCAGTGGCCAGATAGAACACCTTTTAATGAATAAAATAAATGAATTGAGACATCAAAATGTCCATATCCAAGTTAACTTATTTTCACAACTGCAAGTGCTCGTTATTACAATGTATAAGCTGTTAAGGCAAATGTATGAATTGTCAAATAAACCTATCAATTGATATCGGTTTGGTTTAAGAGGTGAGCAATTTACTTCTAAGGTCAGGCCGAACTTTTCTTTTTAAGACACCATTCATGGTTAAGTCATTCACCGAAGGCCCGATTTACGATTCATTTATGTCATTACAATTCCATTCATCGGGACAATTGTAGAGAGTCATGTCGTGGCACATAGTGTTGCAATGCCTCGTTTGCTTATGCCATGTTCACCATTTTTGTAAAAAACATATTCCTTGAAAAACGACACCTGTAACTGTCAGACCATCATATGTTCGCGCGTTGTACACCATCTATTAGTTAAATGACTTTTTAGATAAGTCACGAAATTCTAAACGTTACAAAATCGTGGAATTTTCCGGAACTCTTCGACATTCTGTTCAGGCTCTAATATGACCTTTATTAAGGTTAATACTCTGTTTTGAAGCTGGATATTTTTAGTATCTACAGACTTTCTTTTGACTTATTACATTACCTTTCAAAACTCTTTAAAAGCCGATGGCCTTACTCATTTTGACATAACATGATAGTTATTTTTATACTTATATATTTGACATAATTCAGTACAATATTATCTTCAATGCTCTATTTACAAATAAAATGTTTCTTATTCAATATGGGAGTAGTTTGAACAGTGGTGACACCTATGTTACAAATGAAACAACACTAACTTACAGTTCAAATTCACTCCCAAAAATGTTAACCCATCTCTATTCATTTTTACAATTTCAGGCTTTATTGGATGTCCACTAGAAACGTAAGAATACAATATACCACTAGTGAAATAGAAAGTTTAAGTTACCAAACTTTTGTTCCACAAAAAGCCGTCATCATTGCTTCCAATGTAGCGTTCATTTCTTTCGTTTGCTTGTCTCTGAAGTATACCCAACTTGATTTGTAAACTTGTTCATTTAAGAAATATGCTTTAAATACAGGAAAACTGTACTAGCTTGATTTCATAACATACTTCAGATACCCAAAAAGAATTATGAACAATTGAAGTTATCACCATAAACGAGTATTTCCTCAACCCCTACTTTAGATTGAACATATAATCAATCAGATGGTCTAGACGTGATTTGCGTATTGTAAAAACAAAAACAATTTCCTGAAATTGACAGGAAACAAACACACTGTCCAAAAAGAGTAAAATCAATCATTTCACAAAGCTTTTTCCATTTAATGACAGTTTTCAGTGTTCATTTGAATGTCAGGTACAACCTCCATGTTCTTTTATGTTTCCTATGTAACACAAATCTTAAAGCATGTTAACACATAGGCCGAGCGATAAAAAAATATCAGAAAACAGGGATATTTTCAAACAATGTCTCCATAAAGTGACAGAACCGGAGGCGACTCCACCATAATTTGTATATGTTTAAAACTAGCAGCCATTTTATAAATATATGCTAGTTTGAGTCTATTTATTTGTGAATGTTTCAGAATGCGGTGTAGTTGGGATTGCCCATGAGATTTGGAACTCCTCCCATGCCTCCAAAGTTGCCTCCACCATTGAAGTTACCTGCAAGTATAAAGGACACAACACATTATCTACAATTCCAAAAAGAAATTTCCTTGATATTTCCACATCTTTTTTTCTTCTCACAACATCAACTAAGTACATTCATCTTATGGATCATTTTATAAACAAAGTTGAACTGATATGACTCATAGAATTGGATGATGTCTCCAGTTTGGAGTACAAAACCATCACTTACAGAAAATTCCCCAACATTTCTTATTTTTGATAAATTGGCTCAGATTAGCGTATATTATGAATTTCTCTAATCATAGTGATCATAGAGGGCAAGGTTGTCATCATAGCCAATAAAATAAATAATAAAATAACACAACTGTGCAAAATTAGTATGTACTGCTAGATTGGTAAAAGAAAGTAAGTTGATTAGCATTCCCAGAGAAAAGCGTCTTATTTCTACACATTTGGGGAAAGAGCACTTGTTAGAGCCTTGATATATGCCATATTCCATCCAGCCCTTTTGAGATCTTCTGTCCCTATAGGGAAGTCTTCAGACTTCAGAAGCAAAACTCTGCGGGATCTGGGGTTTGCTTACCTTGGTTGCCAAAATTGGAGTTCATTCCGCCACCACTTCCAAAACCACCACCACCACCTAATCCTAAAATATCAGTGAATATTACAAGATGCTGCTTTTTGAGAAATCTAGATTAAAGATAACAACATTGTATATTTAATGCTGTAAAATACTAAAATTGTAAATTGTAGAGAATAGTGTGAGTGTGAGTGTGATACAAATGAGTAACTTCAACATACCTTGGGTGTTTCCAAAGTTTGGGTTCATGCCCCCACCACCACCCCCTCCTCGGCCTGAGCTAGGCTGGGACTTCAGGAACAGTTCAATGTATCGGTGTTCTGAAATAACAGTATACAATTTGTTTAATGTCATTATTAAGGCATTTATGATGCATTTTGAAATGGTTGCACTTGCAATAAAAAAAATAGTAACTCAGATTAACATATATTTTAATATAATTATCTTCAATCAATATTTCATAAAGGACTTGAGATGATCAAAATGTAGCATTAGTATTCTCTTATAAAAAATTCCTTCCATTTCATAAGTAACCTTACTTTGCAACACTTAACACTTTACTAAAACTGAGCTGTGATTCTCAAAGTACATACCCATCATAGCTTTATCTTTTTTCATGGCATCTTTAGCATCTTCATGAGTGGCGAAATCAACATCACATTCTCCCGAGGCTCTTCCAGTGCCATCATCCAAATATTTCAGACAAACATTAACTGGTTGCATTGGTGAGAAAAACTGCAAGAGAAATAGACACTTATCGTACTGTCATTCTATAAACTAGTACTCGCAAAATTTCACTTGTGCTTGCTGATGAGTATACCCACTCAAAAAACAACGAAATATGGAGAAGAGATATAATAAATGCAAATCGTAAGAAAATTGTCAAGTATCATTTTAGGGTTAATAGTGTTAATCTTTCCTATACAATGATGCATTTTCGACACAAGCTATTCTGAATACAATAAAATGTCAAGGATATTTCGTAAAATCTCTCATTCTGTGAACTGCAAGAAATAAAAAAAAATGTTCTCACAATACGTGAGTGCAATCTTACATCTATAATGTCTTGTTCAATGGCTGCAAATGGTAGACCTCTCATGTGGATGCAATGTCCAGTTGTGCTGATGTACTCTTGCATATCTCCCCCATCATTACGTCCAAAGCCACCACGTCCTCCACGACCCATACCTAAAAACAAATTTTTCAATTTTGTTTTGTTCATTTTAATAAAAAAAAACACATTCAATTTTGTTACATTTATTTCAAATAGTCAAATGATTATAACCAAGCAATTTGTATACTCTAAGCTAGTTGCACATTGAATAGATTATGGTAGGAAATATCCAAAGTCAAATGATTCATATTCTCATCTAATGTGTGCAGCGAAATAAAAATTTCTCCAGTCTAAATACTTGTTATTTTTAAGCACACAATTTTCAGGTTAGAATAGGGTTCAATGATTAAGAAACTGTACTTATATACCCATCCACATTAAAATGATAATTTGTCATATAAAACTGAAGATGGCATTAATGAACATGCAAAATGTGACCACCTGCCATTTGTTACAGACACCGACCGCCGAACACCAAAAACCATGCACAAAATTTTAATAAAAATTCACTATTGGCAGTTTACTTAAACAAAAAAAAACTATTGGCTCAGATTAGCGTATATTATGAGTTTCTCTAATCACAGTTATCATAGAGGGCAAGGTTGTCATCATAGCCAATAGTTTATCAAGGGACAGTTTTTAAAAGTGAATTGAGTCGATACATATTAATAAACGAGAATAGACCCCTTATTTTAAAGATGCCACCTACCTCTTCCTCGTCTCATGCCACCTCCAAATCCTCCCTGACCACCATCGCCATACTCGTCATAGTCATCATAGAAACCTACATTCAAGAAATAAATGTCTTATAACCTTCAAAGAAGCTAGAGTTAGAGGCTTTACTCAACATGTACATGTCATGTATATAGAGGACAATGGACTCTAAACAAAACTGGTCACAAATTGAAGGAGAAATTTTAATCAAATCAAACTTGGATTTAGCTTCTTTCATATAATCCACCTATATTTCATGTAATTCCATCATTAATATTTTGATGAATGAGACAACCATTTAATTTTTCTTTTTAACATACCTTTGAGGTTGCGTCCACCGCCACGACCCATTCTCATATTTCCACCCATTCCCATGCCACCACCGCCGCCTCCAAATCGATCTCCGCGATCATATGGTCCGGGCCGTCCCATGCCCATTCCACCACCGAATCCTCCACGGCCACCCATTCCACCAAAGCCACCTTGTCTTGGAAGGCCCATGGCTGCCCTGGCTTCATTCAGACTGCTTTTGAAGATCTCAATGTACCTACAAAGTGAAAGTAAGACACTGATGTAAAATAGCACAAGTAAATAAATGACAAGAAGAAATGAGTTTTTCTTAATGCCATGGTTTTTTAAAAAAATAAGTGAACATTCTTGAACTGAAACGTATTATCCGTTCAGTCCAATATAATTTTTAGTTTCAGGTTTTAGATTTATTTTCAGTTCCAGGTTATGAAAATGAATGAATCACAAGGAATATGTCTAATCAATGGAAAATATGATATTCATTGTTATCAAGCTTGAGATTATAGTAATGATAGTACATGTACTTTATCACAAATTATGAAGAATATGAACAACCCAGTTATGCATTTAGTATAAGTTAGAAAACATGAATTTAGATGAATCAATGTATCCCATACCTATTCAGGTTCAGGTGAAAATAGAATGATATATACAGTATAATATCACGGGGTTCCAACAATCTCTTGAAAGCCCATGGTAATATTCATGGAGTGAATGGATTATTTTGTGTTTGACCTTAGGTATGGGATACGATGGCTATGTATGGTTGGTTTGAATAATGGGTTCATCCCTCTAGAAATAAGTGTCTCCCTCGGTCCCTGTGGTCCATTGGGAGTTACACATATTTCATTTTGGATAAACACTGTATTTAAAACCTCCCAGTACAAAACCGTTTTGTTAAGCATACCTGTAATAAATCTTGCATAAATTATATACTCAATAACCACTTACCCCCCATCTCCCATTCCCTCGTTGTTATACTTTGGCTTACAAATTATACAAGTACAAAAGTATGTAACAGTTTATGTAGAACAGTTTATGTATTATTTATCTTATCAACACATTACTGTTTACCACTACCCTCAAGTAAAAAAAAACTACAAGGTATCAGGAATGTCTCGCCAAACATAAAATTCAACAAATGAGCAAAACTTTCTTAGCATACTGTAGTCTCAACTGAAAAATATCCTAGTGATTACAAACTTGTACATTCTCCGATTCACATTTGAACTTTACTATGATGATTTCATTAAAATGTAACAAATACTTGTTGTGTAGAAATGTAGTGCTGACTTAATAATGGTAAACAGTTCAAAATTGTATCACTTACCCCCCTTTTACACCCCTCCCTCAGAGCTGAGACTGGCAAACAACAAAAAACGAGGTAAAACTCTAGGGCATGTTTGCAAAGTATGAGAATGAATTCGCAATATATTGAGAAGACATGAGAGAACTCATATTACTTGAAATAGTACCAAACATTTATACCCATAGTATTCACCAGTTTCAGCAAAAAGGCCATGGTATAAAATTAACTTTGGATGCACACGTCACATATAATGAGTATATTAACTGAAGATTAAAATATCTCCATCATGGGCTTCAAAGTGGTTTTGAATACTAACCTCAGATTCATTATTTTTTCTTTGCATTTCGCCCAGTTTCTCCAAAATCATTAATAATATTTCAGAGATGAAGATAAGAACGGTTAATATATTTTGATGTTATGCATTAGGAATGATGTCCTCAGTAAAAAATTAGAGTGTAAGTTTTGTTTTTCATTATCATCAACTTTAGATGTTATCATCATTGGACACTCCAGAGGGATGCATAACTGTGAATAACTGTGAACCTTTTATGATAAAAAAATATGAATATATATTACTATTATAAATTATGAATACAATACCCACCAAATGACCTTATGTATATGGGTGGCTTGGGACCCTACCCTAAGGCACTCCTGGCCTTCCTCCTCGATATGGGGCCCTACCTCTCACCACCAGGGCCCTACCTCTAGTCACATATGCCCTACCTCTTGCCACCAGGGCCCTACCTCTTGCCACAAGGGCCCTACCTCTAGTTACATATGCCCTTCCTCTTGCCACCGGGGCCCAGACAACCCCACTACAAGTTACCATGGTAATTGGTAACCATAGGGCCGCCCAATAGTGAGGAAAGATCTGGAGTTTCAGTTTTGTAAAATTGTAATTGTTAAGACCCTAAGGGGCCCAGCCTCCCACCTGTGCCCAATTTGCTCCTTGTGTTTGCTGAGCGACTGCTCGGCTAATTGTGGCGATGTAAACTGAACATATGCATTCCCCGTGCTCTTCCCTGGCCGATCTTGTACTATGGTGATCCCATTTGGTGCAATCTCCAACCCTACCAACCCAGAAAATCAGAACATGTGTACAGTACAAATCAAAGTAACATATACAGATCGACTGCATATGGAGATTAATGGTTATACTTTGAGTTGTACATTGAAATTTTACTGGCTAGCCGCCCGCCCGCCATTTTCACCATAAACATACAACATTTAAAGTAACATGTTCTGCTTCTGAGAATTTCAGTTCTCGTGCTTACAAATATGGAAAAATTGTAGTCATGTAATATAATGAAAATCATAAACAATTCAAGTTCCCATGGGTTTATTTCAATTTGGTTAAAAATGGGCAGATAAAATTTTAAAATGTAAAGTCAGTCCAGAATGTAGCAGGATTAACTGTAACAATATTATGCGTTGTGATATCAATTGATTTTATCAATGCAACCAAGGAAAATCAATTGATATTACGATTTATTCCATGACTTTTTTATTTAAAATTATTTTAAACCTTTTAGTATTCGTTTTATAAATTAATCAGATGTATGGGTATGATATCACTTATAGTTAGTGATTTCACTGACTCAATGAACAGGCTATAGAGAGGTTTCCCACAAAGTCTATAGATCGAGGTATCTAAAATCGTGACGCATTCACCAAAATTATGTGTAGCATTTCAAATGAGATGTCGTTGCAGATGCGTTTTAGCCATAACCTGTTGTGATAAACCTCTCTGTTAATAAACAAATGTGACAATATCGAAAATGATATCATTAATATCAATGCAGTTAAACGACTTGTATCATTGCAATCATGGGACAAAAATGGTATAAAACACTTGAAAAATGAAATACTTGACAATGTGTAAAGCCCTTTAATGTTCACTTATGATCTTTTAAAACTTGCACCAAATAGAATCTTCTTCACATAATACATACCTGAGAAAAAGTGGGCAATTTCTTCCTTGGTACAACCAAATGGTAGTCCCCGGAGTCTTACAACTGCATCACTAGATCCTACATTAGCACCTTGGCCACTTCTTTTGACGACCCACTCCATTTCACTGCGTTTGGAGCGAAATACTTAAATGGAAAATTTTCATTTTAAGTTATATTTTCGAATTGTCACATTATATTATTATCATTTATAATATTATATCATTACGCTAGATATGTCATGACTATTTTAGATAAATTGAGTTTTGTTAGATATATCAGTGTCCTCCCCCAAAATATTTTCAACTGCGTGCAATTTTGCAAGTCTGAAAAAATCAGCGCTTGTACTTCGCTCATTTTGAAAATCAGGAGTTGGAGTGCAGGATGCTAACTGGGCCCTTCGGTAAAAGTGACATGGGGAGATGATTGCATTTACAGCCCTTATTCATATTCAAAGTGTGTACCTTCAATGTATCTTCTGCCCATGTGTTCCTTGTTTTTGGTCAATGCAGTCTTCATGTCTTCTTCACTAGCAAGTTCAATATATGCTTCACCACTTGCTCTGCCATCACGATTTAATGTCAAATGGACCCCATTCTTGCCGTCTGGGATATTGCATTCTGAAAAAAGAATTATAGTGAGTAGATTTCATTAGAAAGTTTTGTGAATTTTAAGTACAGTTTCAACATTGTTTCTGTGACACAGATGAGCAGTATGAATAACTCTGCCACTTTTATATTTTGTAGTTCGCTAACAGGCATTGGATAGATGATTGGGGTTTGATTATTTCAGTTTTGGTATACCTTTCATAAAATTGTACACTTCTTCTGGGGTAGCAGACCATGGCAGACCTCGGATCCGTATAACATGGCCCTCATCCATTTCTGGTGCATCTTTGTTACCGAAGTTATGATTCATTGTGCTATCCTCAGTGTCAGTATTGTCAGTTTGCTGAAATGTATGCAGTTGTAAATGAAAAAAAGCTAGGAGATATTATCTTTTGTATTAAACTGAAGACATTCATGGTCACAGTAACCAGAGAATCTGCTGTATCATATGGAAAAATACAGTCACATCATACACGAATGACATTTGTATCTTTGATTGCTTGTGCTGATATAATATGTGGCATTACAAGCATTACTGTGTGAGGTAGTTTGTACTTTTAAATATTAGGAAGCTGAATTTTTCAACCTGAAATATGAAAACTAAAGGAATGAGTTGTGTGTTCCTAAAAAATAACATGCAACTCCAATGAAGATCACAAAAATGCTATCTGTCCTTTGAGTACAATATGAATATATTTTTCTATATATTACAGCAGAGTAGACTTTTGATTACTTCCTTAGGCTTATCTCTTGGGTTTTGACGAAAATAAAACTAAAACGGACTGAACAAACAGAAAGTCCAGGGCCTCAAAGGAGATTACTTACAGCTGAGTTGAATACGTCAGTAGATAGTAAAGATCTTGAAAATGTGACCAAAGGAGAGACCTCACGCTGTAGCTGGAATGTTTTCTTTGATGCAAATGCGGCACAGATCTTTTGTTGAGCGGAGATTTTAGTGGCAAATCTTCCAGCTAACACAAGTGAAGTTCGTAAATTCATAACCACCTGAAAATACCAGATCTTGCTAAAGTAAGTATCAGAAAAAATTCCAGCGTAGCAAGAAATCCCATGTGTTGAGATAAATTGATGAAATTGAAGGGTAAAAGGTCAAAAATTATTACAAAAATCTTACCCGGCACGCTTCCCTCGAAAAAGACCGAATGTTCAACGGAAATTTACGAAGCCTTAATTGAATTTCTTTATTTTAGTCTAATTGAACAATTTCAATTTTAAAATGATAAGATTAACTTCATGTATATTATTTTGAGGGTTCTAGTATAAATTTAAACGAAATTTGTAGCATAAATTAAAAAAAACGCCATCAGCAATTGACCTTGAACTTTTCTGTAATTTACTTCCGAGTTCATGTTGTTTTTCTGTAACGGGAAATTAGTCATAAAATCGATCAACATCGAAGATATTCTACAGCCGATCTATGATTTGATGTTTCACAAATGTCCGTCTAACATATTTATACAAATAGACTCGGAATAAAGACTTTGAAATCAAGATGAGCTTCCTATTGTGAGTAATTTTTATGCTGGTCTTTAAAAATTTTGGCCAACAGATTTGTAGGCTATAGCCTACTTTTCAGTTTGTTTTGATTTTGGAAATGTCATTGTTTGAACTCGAGTATAATATGTATTTCACTTTTTTCATTTTCCCCAATTGGGTGTATAATTTACTTTATATCAGAGACCTTGTAGGATAAGATGTATTTATAGATTTATGATATATTCATGGAGATAAATACTCTTTTTATTAATTTTATATTATTTCCATGGGCATTCAATAGAAAGCCCATGTTCACGGTGCCAATGTCAAGCTGCGCGCCTACTAAGCGCGCAGTTTGTTTCGATCACAAACTGCGTGCCTAAGAACACTGCATCATTTAAGTTGGAGTCTGTATTTTGAAACGTAATTTAAAGACATTTGTCCTGCATTGTTTTCTTGTTCAATGCGTTCATTCTGTGGCGAATATACGAATCTTGCAAATACTAGCAAAAACTATGTGCAAATGAATCTAAGTTTTAAAACATAAGCAGATTAATGGCATTTTCGTCACTGATTTAACGGGAATTTATACGTAAATCGATCTAGCACTTTAAACATAAATGACAAATACTTTAGACTCGTTTTATATTTAATTCCTTACACATTTATCATGTATAATTCAAAATATTTCGAGATAAAACAGATAATCAGGAGATTAAAAAGAAATAAATCACAAACTGCGCGCCTATTTTAGCCAGAAATTACAAACTGTGCGCATACACTATTAAAACTACATTATCATTGGAATTTCTACAGAGGCACGTGTAGGTGTCTTTCATGTAGCTTTGGAAATTTTGCTTTATCGTCAGATTTTATGAGATTTTCATATTGAAAGTCAAAATGTATAAAAGAAGTGACAAATAAGTTGGGAACGAAAAAAACTTTTATTTTCAGATCACCATCTTGGTGGATGGACTCTCATAGTGTTTCAATTATGGGGTTCTACTATTAAACACATATGTGCCTTGTATGGCGCTTATGTTTTCTAATAATACAAAACAAGCTTGGATAGGCAAGCAGTTTGGAAATATTAGGCACGCAGTTTGGGAAATACATGTGAATATAGGCGCACAGTTTGACAAGAAAAATGTTTAAATCACGTTTATGGCGTATTATCGTTTTGAACACAAATTTTGCTGATTTAATCAGATGGAGTGATCCTATATATTCTAGCATACACAGACACAATGGCTGAATAAACGGCAAATGACGATAAAAAGACATATATATAACTTTACACTGTAAATTTTGAACACAGAAGTTACTTAAGACCCTTATATTGAGATAACTAGGTTTACATCGGGAAAAACATTGAGTACTATGAGTAAATTAAGTTCATCTTCACAGAATGGTACTATCTTTAGAACGAGACTAACCTTGTATTTTTCGTATTTTGGCTCTTTTTGGGAGTCGTGTCCTCCCCGTCTCACATTTTGAAATATGCGCGCAGTTTGTCAGTTTCAAACTGCGTGCCTAGTAGGCACGCTGCTTGACATGGGCATCGTGATGTTATTTCAAATGATATTTACCACACAGTAAGATACAACTAGTGGTTCAAAGTGATTATGTGAGATTTTAATGAAAACTCCCAGAGATTTCATTTTTTGAAATATTCTTGATTTTAGGTTGAGTATGCTTGTATCTTGACCAATTGGTCGAGAACATTGATCACTTCTTTTGTCAACCGAAATGTTTTTTACATCATTAGCATTGATTGGTCTTATTATAGTTCTCAATGCACTGTATTTCTGTTAGTGTCTGAATGACAGTTGGCTGGTGACGGTAGAATTAAAATCTGAGACTGTTGAGAGTAAAATCAACTGTCATTGTCGTGAACGAAATTCCCTGGGAAATAGAACACATTTATAACACTGTTACTTACGGGTTTGTGTAAAACACCGGGTAACTGGGTAACCGGGTGACTGGGTACCTAATGTTCCTAGCAGGGTTACCAACTTACATAACTTACAGGAATGGTCGAATAAAAAACGTCCATAAATAAGAGGAGGGGGAGATTTCTACTAGAAATTAAACAAATGTGAAAGAGTATGCACACACGTATATTGAAACAGTAATAGCCCTTTATCTGTCATTTAACATAAGATGACGTTTGTTGCTATGCTTTATTCTCAGGATGTTGATGATTATTTCCTTTGATGGTGATTTGTACTAGATATTAAACAAATCTGGAAGATATACGCACGCATCTTGAAATGTTAAATAGTTGAATGTATTTTATCTGTCAATTAATGTACGAATACGATGTATGACTTATGACATTGGTTACTTGTTTTATTGTCTGAGTGATTGACAGGGTGATGATTATTTGATTTGTTGGTTGGTTCATGGTGTATTGGTAGTTTGTTGCTTGGTTATTTGGTCGTTTGCTTGATTGCTTGGATGGCTTGTCCGTTGAGTTGGAGGCCAGCTTGGTGGTTGGTTGCTTGGATTTTTCAGTGGCACGTTTTAGGCAATGAAACAAAACAAATTCCCAACCCTGCTAGGATTGTTAGGTACCTGGTCACCCAGGTTTTACACAAACCCGTAACTTACTTTCGTGTGATGTTTCACGCATGTCGCATGGCTTTCAGAAATCAAAGATTCCTTCTTATTATTGTCTTGTTTGTCATCATATATCTAACCTGGGAACAAAATTTTACTTCCGGGCTTTGCTGCGACAGTTTGCTATTGACAACAGAAATGTCACTGTTGTGATCGACAATGAAATCTTACTGTCGTTGAGGCACTAATTTCTGTATTAATGAATTATTGGTGTGACATTGCTAACACACTTGGAAATAAAGGAGAACATATGACAGTATTAGATCATTTGGGACCTAGTCTGATATTTGGGGTCCCATCAAGCTTGATAAGCATTAGATCCTTAGTCCTGAGATACGTTTTTGGTGATTATGTTATCAAGTGATGACACAACGCTTCTTAGAATCCTGAGTCACGCATATAAGTCAATAGTACAGTACTAATGAATTGTTGACATCAATACAAAATTGGATGTTATAAGTTCAAGTATAACATAATAATGTAAGTTATGTTAGAATTACTGAGTGATGTTTTGAGGATGATTATCCTTTGAAATTTCCATGTTATGAATAAGTTTGGATACCTTATTTTTTGTAGAGTCATTAAATCATATCCTTTTCCGAAAGAAAATTAGTACTACATAGCTAAATGGGATGTAACATTTGCAGTTCTGAACCTAGTACAAAAAGTATGTACACAGCATATTATATGATTGATGAACTGCTGTTTAGTTACATGACGTCTATGCAATGTTAAGAACTTAAGATATCATATAACAACCACTTGCATTGTTATTTGTTAGCAAATTGCTGGTTGAGAGAAAACAAAATCATATGTTCCTGTCTATCATCTATAAATATAAAAAATGAAATTTTGGTTAGCTAGTATGCATGAGCTCCCCAGCAATACCTCTGTTGTTTCCTTTAAATAATTGTGTCTAAATGAGTACATGCACAGGGGTTTCACTAGGATTTCTCACAACTAGCTAAATAGATGAAAACAACAGGCAAAAATAATGGAAATCATAAAAATATAGAAAAATTGAAAAGTCTCCTAAAAACAACAGGCGATTTTGGGAAAACAACCGGTGAAAATCGCCTGTTGCCCTGATATATATATATATATATGGTCTGAGCTTTTAGTTTTGCTGTAACAATTTTAATTTGCCTCACCTATTTTAATTTGCCTCATTTATTTTTGTATTCTGGCCATATGGTTGTGCTAAAAATCAGAAAGATTATATGAGCTCCAAGTTATATAAAACCCCAACACAACATACCAGTAGGAATTATAATAGGAAAACAAAACAGAATATGGTTGAGCTCAAAGTTGACTGCCTCATTGCATACATTGGCATAATGTTTGGTCACTGTGACACTGGTAGTGTAAATCAATATGCTTGATATACTAGTGGAAATGTTGAATATCAGCTTTCAAGACAAACACTTATAACAAACATACCATGGCACTTTTTACTTTCATTTAGTATTGATTGTCTAGGATAAATTTTGTCATTATTTGTATATTTTGTACATTTCCTGCACTTGCCATTTCTGCTTACTGTATATTAAAAAGAGGAAATTCACTTGCCATTTCTGCTAACTGTATATTAAAAAGAGGAAATTCACTTGCCATTTCTGCTTACTGTATATTAAAAAGAGGAAATTCACTTGCCATTTCTGCTTTTCTGGTTTTCGTTTAATGACACACTGTAAGTGTTATTTAATTTGTAAATCTAATTTCCAGTTTATCTGAGTTGTCATTTTTGGGCTATTAAAGGGCAACATTTTTACATAAATTCATATTTAGCAAATGAAAGCCTTTAACCAGGGTACATGACCTCATTGAATACATTCAGAAAATCTAGAGATTACATTCAGTGTGTGGGCTTAAATGGTGGAAATGATGTAGAACAAAGGAAAATGAAAAATGTTAGTCATGATTAGATTTTGATAATATTTTAGAGTCCATTTCACTGCTTCATTTCGTCAGTAGAACGGCAAAAATAAGAAATTGGGAGACCATTGTGCAATAATATATGGAAAAGTATATTCATAATGTACATGAATGACATTTGTATATCTTGGATTGCTTCTAGTTTGGCTTATAAAGTGTGTGGTCTCTTATATTTGGATGTTTCTCTGCCATGTTATTTTCAATAAGATTAACATGGCTGAAATTCTTCAAATTACAAGACGGCACAGGCTTATTGCACTAAAAACTAAAAAATCTGAAATATACAAATGTCATTCATGTACATTATGAATATACTTTTCCATATATTATTGCACAATGGTCTCCCAATTTCTTATTTTTGCTGTTCTACTGATGAAATGAAGCTGTGAAATGGACTTTAGAAATGGGTACATGTATCTAGTATTGTTGACCTTAGCTAGGAAACCAGTATTTCAAGAGGAAACTTTCAAAGCAAATGTATGTTCACAGAGATAGCACATCCATTCAACATAAATAATGATAATGACCTCATACTAAAAGTTTGTACTGGAGTTTCCTATTTGTGAAGTATTTCCTCTGAATGAATTAATAATACATGATCATTTATGTTTAGAGCAAACCAGCTTGTAATGAGATTTGTTACTTGGCTTTTTAGGGTAAAGGTAGTTCCAGACATAGTAAGCAACATGGACAGACATTTTCTCTCATGTATATGCTATTGCTCTGTTAGCATGTTGTCATGTATCATTCCTTCTCCATCTGTTTTCTAAAACACAATCTTAAAACCCATACATACTATTTTTGAATTACAGAGGTTTTGACCCCCCCCAAGTTTTAACCATGGTGAACATCAACAAAAAATTGAAGAACTAGCTCTAAAATAAAAGGGCCACTAGTTATCCCGTGCCAGGACTATAGTCCTGTAATGAGCGCATTCTTTTGCCTGTACGATTACAACTACCCAGACAATTGTGGATTCAACTACATGAAAAGAATGCTAAAATACCAAGGAATCTATTGAAATAGGTATGTTAAGTGTAAGAAGCGTAGAAAATTCTCCCCTGTTGTAATCGTACAGGCAAAAGAATAAGACGTTCGCAGGACTATAGTCCTGGCACAGGATAAGCCACTAGCATATCAAGTATTGTTCACAGCTGTGATGGTTTGGTATTAATCTTATTATTTCATTTCAGTCTTGACTGTATCATTCACTAATGGTCATTCTGGTAAACATGTCTAAATAAATATACATCATGTATATGTTTGATCACAACCAGCACTGAAACACCCAGGTATTCTGAAAATTCAGTTTTACCTACTTGAACACATCATGAGAAATCGTGGCCTTCTAACTGTACATTTCTAGACTAGGCCTGGCTAGTTGAGAACAGAAAGATGTAATGAGTATCAGAATGAGTTGAACATTTGGATATCATTTGTTAGTCAAAATAATAACAAGGTTAGACAATTTGAAGATAAATTATCAATGAAATTGGTTCAAACATTCCCTACCTAGGCATTCCATACTTGAAATGCTACTCTCTGTATTTCAGACATTTGAAAGATGTAAACATTACAAGTTAACAGTTGGACCTTGGGATAAAGTTCCCTGGTGATTTATAAAAAGCTGGTGCAAGGAATGGAACATTAGATATTCAGAGCCAAACTTTTAAGAAAGATTTTCTTAGAAGAAAATATTCTTTGGTAATCTTATGTCTGATAAGTCTTGGACATTATTGATTGTGATTGTTGATTATGATAAAAAATTGAGAAAACTGTTTTGGCCTAAAGTTGTTTCAGGTGTCTGGTCAGGTGCAAAAAATAAGTTCTCCATATCTAATGGTTCATCACTATATTTGAGAGTATTGCGTACATTTGCAGATTGTTTTGAACTTATGGTTTGTGGTTTTCTTCAATGTTATGAGGCTCACTTTGCAGCAGCAACTACAATAAATGAGCCATAGCTGTGAAAAAAAACAAAATCAATAGGGATATATTCCTGCAATGCCATTTAAGATTGAAAATACAATGTTTCCTTTCATCATGAAGTGGGGGGGGGGGTTCTGTAGTGAAACATCCATAAGAACTTTGGGCCAAATTATAAATTCTTATTTGCAAAATGAAGTAGGCTGAGTTCCATGAATTCTAGTTCTAAAAATACTCTCAAGTAGGACCAAAATGTAGTTTTGTATATTGACATATATCCAGAAGTGAAGTGTGCCTGTAGCTAATGAAATTATTCCAAGTTAAGTGGTAGCTCTAATTTAGCATCTTACATGTTCTTAAGTGTAACATATGGTACATTGTAAGTGGCACCTTGGAAGATATTTAATAATATATAATTTATATAATATTAATTAATTTGGAATGTTCTTGTACAATGTCACTGGCTGGGTCAACAGTAGGTGAAGATATCAGTTGCTAATTTTATAACCCATCATTGACTTTCCTTAGTTATAGGAACTTGAACACCTGAGTTGGGAAATATAAGAAATACATGTAGACATAAACCAAGATCGGCAACATAATGACAGAAAAATATACACTCTATCATTGTAGGGATGGGGGGGGGGGGGTGGGCGCATTTTGCTACCAATCATTTTTGTTTTTATTTCCTCTTGGGGAATAAATTTAATCTGACGATTTACATTTGACCCACTCTGAAAACATGTAGATTCCACCATCTGACTGTGTTCCAGATGCGTTCATAACTCAGTTTATTCATTAGTTTTCCTGATCTGAATTTTCTATTCTATATCGAGGTGCCGTATTGGCCTTTGGTGACATATTGATCTCCCTTTTCAAGATTATTGATCTGAGACTACCACCCTTAAACAACTTACCTTTCAATAACATTGTACCATTATTAATGTTCTTTTGCATATACTGTACTTATTCATTGTTGAATCTACATTTAACTTAAACCCTTTCTTTCAGTTGTTTTGAAAATAATTGATTTATGTCACAAAGGAGAGAGTAAGGGTTGTTATAACTGAATCTGTGAAATTTTGGGGAACGTTAAATTAAAGTAGATATGTCATTTCTATTTAGCATATCATTTCTATAGCAACTGTTGCCATTATTTTGTTTTTGCCCCTAATACAGTTTTGCATGTTATTGACAGTTACTTGCCCATAGATTAAATACTTGTTCTTTCTACTTATGGATTACTGTTGAACTTACAATATTCTTAATACTTTTGCTACTAAGCTCTCCTTTAATGAAGCAAATCAAATGATTGCTTCTCATGCATTACTTTGTTTAGAAAAATGGCAATTTATGTTCAGACTCTGCAGACTGTTATATTTAACATTTGCACATGTTAAAGAAAGCTGGATGTTTTTCATTTTGGGGACACAATTCAGGCAGAAATAGTTTGAATGGTATACATGATGCTTGAAAAGGAAATGTTTATGTTTACTTTAGAGTTAAGGTATACATAATGCTAATTGTTTGTCCACCTGGGATTTAAAGCAACTGGGAGATTTTTATATTAGATATACCTCAGTGCATCCTGGGGGGGGCTACTCAGGGTATGAACCGTATGCCTTGGGAATTTTAAAACATGATCTTGTATCTAGTTGTTTTAAACTGGTTTAGGTAAAATTTGAATTTTCTACTTAGATTAATAAAAATGGTGCAGAGAACGCAATTACACGTGATTGATTCATTAAACAGATGGTCTTAATAGGTCAAGGAAGCAGCATTTTATCATTAATTAATGTAATATCATGTAAATGTTTGTGTTATATGATCAACACAATTGCATTAATATGTATGTACATAAGCAAATTAACTGTACGAGTCAAAATTGTACTACATAAGCTGTACTTTGTCTTTACACAAATTTTATTATAATTTTATAGAGATCACATTTTCCATGGTATGGTTACAAAAATATACCTGCCTTCAAATAATATTTGTAGTATTCCCAAATAAGTCCCCTTTGTGCTGTATGTTCCAAAAATGTAGACAATATGTTTTCTTCAAGAAATATGTTACAACTAATTTATGGAAAGTTTCACTCCGGGACAACTTGCATTGAGACCTACTTGCCAACACAATTCATTCAACCCTATGACCCTATATGGTCCAAGGCAGACTGTTCATTCCTCTTTTCCTACCTTAATAAACTAACCATTTGTGTATTTCCAGTTCAATATACTTGGCCAAACTTAAAGGCAGAATCAGATCTATAGGGGGTGACAAAATTACAAGCAACTTTTATAATTGAACTACCAATCTATTCCTTACAATATAAAATATAATATCTCCCTAAAGATTCACAATATGTTATAAATTGGTAAAGTTATTAATGATTCAAAGTGCAAAAATGGGTGGAAAATGTTTAAATTCTCCCAAATAATAAGAATGGTGACCATTCTTATAGAAAAGTAATACATTATTGTAAAAATCTTTAGTTTTCTGTGAATAAAGTATGCACTTTTGTGAATATTAAAAAGTAGACATGACAAGGAATCACATGAGCCAAAAATATTCAAAAATTGAGACAATATTTTGTTTAGCCTGCTTGCTATATCTGATTCTCTCTTTAATGAACCAAACATTTGTGTATTTCCAGTGGAAGTCGGAGCAATAAGACATTCAAGCCTAAGAAGAACATTCCAGAAGGGACTCATCAGTATGACTTGATGAAACATGCTGCTGCAACACTAGGGAGTGGAAACCTACGTCTGGCTGTAGTTCTACCAGAGGGGGAGGACCTCAATGAATGGGTGGCAGTTAACAGTAAGATCCAACTCATAATATGTTACAATATTATTCATTGTACTTAATGAAGTCTAGAATATTTTGAATCCCAATAGACCAGTAAGTTAAAGTCATAGCATAATTTGAGGGTCTGAACTGGCAAAGGTTTAGAGTTGCATGATCGCCTAAAATTACATTTGTATGATGCGAGACTCGACATTCACCGGGAAGTTAGAAAAATTTTGCCACCCATGAAGCAAATTAACGTTTTGTTGCTTTATAAATGGTGAATGACAGTCACATTGAGTTCTATAAGTAGCAGGATAGCACAACATCTTGATATTTCAAGGTAACTCGTTTGAATAGTGATGGCAGTTATTGAAATTACGATGTAAAGATAAAACCACAAGGAAATATTTGTAGATTTCTTTGAAAAACTAAGAAATGTACTTCATTAATATTAAGGTCTACAAGTCCGATTCCCCCTGGTAGCATTAACATTGGTCTCGTGTATGTCATACAATTAATATTTGAAACACAACTATTATTCGAACTTATGATCGGACATAAGCTTGATGTGTAATTCAGGGTAATAAAGTTAATTGTGTGAAATATACGAGACCAATGTTAATGCTACCAGGGGGAATCTATCGGACCTGCAGGGCCGTACAATTTATACATGTTTTTTTGTGTTTCGGAAAATTTGATATGTGATGTATATTTTTTAGTTCTTCAAAGAAATCTACCTTTACATCGTTTTTTCAATTTACTGCCATATTTTTTCAAACGATGTTACCTTGAAATATCAAGACATCATGCTATTCTCATACTTATAAAACTTAATTTTGCTGTCATTCACCATTTATTAAGCAGTAAAAAATCAATTTGCTCCATGGGTGACAAATTATTTCAAGTTTCCTGGTGAATGCCTGTACGAATGTAATTTTAGTCGATCTGTCTGCATGGGGTGACATTTGTATATTGAAGTTAAAGCTTATTTGATATGTTTGAAAAAGGGGCAACTTGTACTTGTATTTGATTGTAAAATGTTCACTTTTTTACAAAGATAAATTAGGTGTGGGATCATGTCACTCCTTTCATCTTGTGAAGTATTGTGTCATATATTTCAAGTGTAAGTTGTCAAACATGATTTGGTGCTACTTAGAAAACCAGCATAAAATCAGGACATTTGTTTTATCACAGTGCAGTACTATATGCAATATTTTCAAAACAAATGTATAACATGCCATATGGAATATCAACATTTTAATCAGAAGTATGTATTGATTAGAAACATTTACTGCAATTGTTTTAGCTTATAATTGTAATGAGTCATTCTCACTAAAAACTTATTAGTAAATGAAGCCCCTGTTTCTACTATACTAGAACATTACACATTCACGCCATGTTTTTCAGCTGTAGACTTCTTCAACCAAATCAACATGTTATACGGGACAATCACAGAGTTCTGCACTGAAACCTCATGCCCTGTAATGTCTGCCAGTCCGAAATATGAATATCACTGGGCGGATGGACAAACTGTTAAAAAGCCAATCAAATGTTCGGCACCAAAATATATAGACTATTTAATGACTTGGGTCCAGGATCAGTTGGATGATGAGACATTATTCCCGTCAAAAATAGGTAAGCTTTCTTGAGTAAAACCAAACCATCCAATAATGATGCATTATCCATGGTCTCTCACGAATACACCCATTTCATGTAATGTCTTCACTGAAACGATTTACACGTTTTTGTCTAGTACCTAAAGTCTGGTTGTAATACATTCAATTTCACCTATATATTAAATACCTAGGTAAAGACACTGTTAAGCTATTTGAGTATTGGCTCTTGGGCATAGGTTGATATATTAGCCATGATTTTAAACATTGACAAATATATATTTTCAATTGTATGTTCTATTTTATTACATTATCATACATAATCCAATCTGAAACTCATCAGTCATCACATCTTTCAGTTTCACTAGATCAAATTTTGACTGAAAGAACTGATATGTCTTGGTTTATCACAGAGATCACGGTAGACGTTCGCCATTCGCCAATTGCGAATTTTCGAAAGGGGTGGCGAAAAATATGTAAAGGTATTTCGCAGTTATGGCGAATTAGAGGTGTCACGGTTTCCCGATATTGGACCGAATTTCGGTCCAGATGCTTCGGTTCGGGACATGGGACAGAAAGGGTTAATATCGGAACATAGATTCCTTCCCTAAAATGCATAAAAACGTGTATAAATAGCGAGGAACACCTCCGATTTAGTTCTGAAAAATTCAATATTTTCACTTACCTCGTACCTAGATTACACTTCTTTGCATTGAAAAGTGTTATTAACGGATCGGCGATTTCAGGTAGATGGTAATGCTTGTTCGTAAATTTCTTCATCGTCGTTCGCAAATCGAGTGCATTATCAGTATGCCGGATGTAAGAAAGAAATTGAAAAATCGAGCCGGCATCTAAGTCGAAAAAGTCGGCAGTTTGGAAGTATTTTGGGACTCCGATATCACAAGGTAAACAAATTGGTGATATTACACCGTGCAGACTATGTGAAAATTAGTGAAATGCCGATCACATTCGCGGCAGATGCTTTACATTCAATTTTAATGGACGTTTTTTTATTCCTGAATATGATTTTGAAAAGTGAAACTGAAAGTGAAACTGTCATCATCAGACATTGCATCATTTTTTATGTTCTGTCCCGTCCCGTCCTGAAAGTAACGTGTTGAGGCCATTAGTAACGTTCCGTACCGAAATTTTCTTGGACCGTGACACCTCTATTGCGAATTCCCTTTTTTACGGTTTTTCAAAATGGCTAATTCATATTTGGGTTGGCTAAAAAAATTTTGGAAGATTTAGCCACAATGGCTAACAAGTTTTTTCAACTATCGTGATCTCTGTTTATCATGATGTCTAACCTTTCTATTATCTTTTGTTTTTCAGGTGTCCCCTTTCCAAAGAACTTCCTGACCATTGCCAAAACTATACTCAAAAGACTTTTCCGTGTTTACGCACACATATACCACCAACATTTCAAGGAGGTAATACAGCTCAATGAGGAGGCTCATCTCAACACGTCATTCAAACATTTTATCTTCTTTGTTGAAGAGTTCCACATGATCGAGCGCAAGGAACTAGCGCCTCTTCAGGAACTTATAAGTAAATTCACAAATAATCTGAAATAGCGTTTGTGACTGATGATGTCATAGTACATATGATGATGTCACAATATACATGATATGTTAAAGCTATAATTCTTATCGATGCCATTATCTGATAGTTATAAATGAACTACAGGTTAATCTGTTGTAAAACTACTAAAGGTCCCTCAAGAATAATCTTCTTTAGGGTTTTTGGTCCACCAGGGTTAAAAGTCCCTGAGAAGTATGCCATAAAAATGGCCTGATTCAGTATTTTATAATGATAACATATGTAAGTTGTCATTTTATCATTCTATAGTGGGGTCACGCTTAAATAAAGAGCTAAAAATAGACAGTCTTGGTCATGAGAGGGATATCATATGATCTTTAAAGAATCTAGATCTTTATCCTGGCTAAAAATCTGAGATGGATTTTTGACACTTGTAATTTTTGATTCTTAAAAATATTGTAAAGGTTTAGTTGAATAATGATTTTCCAAATTACAGTTACGTTCAGTTCATAAACTGCACCATTTAGAAGATATAAACAGGTGTGTATTGACAATACATCTACAAAACAATACAATACTATTGTATATATCACTACAATGTTAATGTTCAAATGAACTGTTAGTGTAAAGTTGATGCTTGGGGTGTTCAAAACATTTCTGTAACTTCTCTGTGCTTTATTTTGTCTAACAAAATATTTATTTATATTATTTGTGCTGCATAAATTTGCTGCATAAATTTGCTTAATGTATTTTAAAAATGTATAAACTGAAAATGTTCAGTGTTTCTGTGTGTTCTGTAACCTCACAATGAGGCAGTGAATACTACCTACCAGCTGATTAGCTAGACTTCCATGACACGCCACAAATTAGGATAGATCTAGAAATTGTAAATGTTAGAAATAATGAACCATAAAATTCTAGTGTATAAATGAACTGCTGTATGTGCATTGAGCAACTTGATGGTATCATCCTGTAGATAACGTTCTCATAGTGTTATGTTTTAAAATTCAAAAGTGGAGAAGTTAACTAGAAAAATATCACTATATTAGATGACAATTGATTTACAAAATGTATTACCAGAAACCTGGTTCCTTCAATTGATCTTTTAGTAGAGAATAAATGCATTTATTTATTTGATGTGGATAGACCTATAAATCCTGCCACCTTTTGGTACGAGAAAGAAGCTATGATATATTGGCTAGATTGATGATGTCATAGGTTGATATGACTGTAAAAATGCTTAACAAATCACTCTCACAAAACATGGTGCTTACGTAATTATCCCAACAAAAATGTACAAAACAATAATACTGGGTAGCCGAAATAACACTTAAAAATTGTTTACTAGTATGAATATACATTCATTAATAAGGCTTGAGGTAACTAGTCTTTTTATTATTATTTGTATTTATTTTGTTATTTAGAGGTCTTAAAAATGCTGAGGATAGAATGTAACTTTCTTAATCATAGCTTAATAGACCGTCGTGTAAAGAGTGGACCACTTTTCTTCTACACAGAGATCCATCTTGAGTTTTACTAAATGACCCCGGGTCCAATGTTCATGTTTATGTATGTTGTACTTATTGTAAATTTATTGTACTTGTCTTGTCCTACTATTTTATTAAATTACATGTAATAGACCTGTACATTGTGCATAATATACAGTCCAGCACCAAGTCTGCCCAGCTATGCTAAAAGATGCAATACACGGCTTTGATGCAAGACTGTTTCAATGGAACATTTGTATTTTATAAACAGTATATCTTGTCAGTATCGTGTGCCTCATAGGCAATACAAAACATATGTGAATCTTATTGGTGATTTTTGGCAGGACAGTCCTCTCGGACACAACCATAACTTATGCTTAAGAATTTAATGCTTTGTCATTTTGCCTTTTGCAGTTCTCTGCTGTGTCACTCACTCTTGAATGTGATTCTATTAGGGTATCTCAAATGGAATCCTGGATTTTCAAAGGTTACAATCCCTCTGTTTATTACACACCTGCCTTAATATTAGGACTATGACACATCCAAATGAAAGATTGACACTTGACTTTGTTGATTAAAAACCAGCCTCATTCCTGTTTTTTTTATTCATGTTTGTAAAATCTTAATATTTATCTTTATTGGGTGTGTAATAAATATTAGTTATTTATTGATTATGGGCAATTATAGCCTCATATATTACGAAGAATTTAGTACAATCATTGATCTATTTTAGTATGGCATATAATAATCATTAAATTAGGCAAATTCCCCATGATCATGAAATAACTTGTAAATATATAACCTAACCTCAATACAAGAACACTTGTTTCACATGTTTTGTATAAATGGTCATGGACTACTAAGTATATAAAGAGCAATAAATTGATACAAAAATCCAAAAAACATCTTGTTTATGTTCAGTTTGTTGTCCTTACATAGGTTCAAAGTTGTTTAAGCTACTTTTATGAATTGCTGGTAATTTGGATATATTTGTACAACTTGAACATAATAGTACAGCAAGAATATTTATTTATAAAAAATCACAAGAAACCTCAGATTTTCTGGCTCTGAGGTATGTTCCTGATTTTGAGGTCAAATGTCTCTTTAAAATATTTTCTCTGCCGTTTCAAAATCGACTTTTTTATTTTCCCCAGAAAGAGCCCTTTCAAAATTGGTATCAAACGTATTCAATACAAAAGGTATTTTGAATATCCTCCTTATCAAGTGGTGAGTGGGTCATGAAAGAAAACAATTGGTGTGTATTGAAAATGCCACAGGTACCACGGTGCAGGGTTTGAAAATAAACTCTTTAAGTGGTCGGAGGGTAAAAACCTACCATGGGAATTTTAAATTTAGTATACACTTCCTTCTAAAAAAACATTCTAATGTCTAACCTTTAGTGTTCAGTTTTCATCGCAAGCATTTGATTAAAACAGAGCTTCAAAATGACTTTTAAAATAGTTTTTTTGTCTCCTGTGTTATTTCAATTTGATATCTTTCTTCAAATAATTTTGAGAAACATCAAGTTTTGGCAATTTAAAGTTAACAATTGCAAACTAAATGGGAGAGCGTTGCCAAACATTTGGAGAGGAGGGTTAGTCAAAAAACGCCGACTGATAAGTTCCACTTATTTCATCATTTATTGTTAAAGGTGCTATGCGTTCAGTTTTACTTAATTTTCAGTCACTAAACGTTCGGTTGAATTTTAGTATAAAAAGATAAAAGGAGTCAAGATAAGCTTTCAAAGACACTGGCGGTCTCAAAATTTCAAAATTTGGGTCCACTCTGGGGTGGGTTCTAGGGGCCCAAAAATCTGAAATTTGCCCCCCCCCCTTGTTGGTTCCCAGATCCCAAATGGTTTGCTGATTCCCAAATGGTGTGCTGAATGTGTGACAACTATTTTAAATCATAACGGAAACTGATATTCCTATTCTGTGAAAATATTTTGACGTCTTATTTTTAAAGTTCTGTGCATGCGTCATTTAATCTCCGACGTCTCCGAACATTTGATTTAAGTATTTTCTGACAAGCCCCCTTTTATGACCAGTATGAAATTCTTCTACGTGGCCATTATAGTGAGTGATGCGGCGAGTAATGTTGAAAATGTATTGTATTGGTGTTCAACTCTAGTAGTTCTGCATCAGTAGCCAATCAACAAGTTACGCCACGTATTTTATTCTATTCGGACTGAAAATGATACAAAATAAATAATGCACCGGTGATTTTCACAATTACCCACAACTAAAATGATATGTACCCACCTTCAAATCTGAACATCAAAACAATCCGGTAATGTTGAAGAGCGATCACGTGTACGAACGATCGATGAAAATTGGGAAACTAATTTGATTAACGATACACCATACACTAATTAATGGGATGTACGAAAAAGACCGACCCTAATTAAGTTCCGACCAGCCACCGACTACCGACCACCAACTTAGCACCGATACGGATTCTGGACATGGAGATAGACTGGTCGATGGTGGTGGTCGGTCTTTTCCCGATACACCCCAAAATTGCCAGCATCAAGAACATAAGAAATTGCCCTAGTATCTTTGATTTCCCTAAATGTCTCTGACGAAATGGGAATCTGTGTACATCAGTGATTTCATTTGTGACTTCGTGTTGCGGCCCTCATAACCTTAGCATTTAGGCTTGGTTACTGGAAGCCTTGAAACTGTCTGGTACCCCACTGTGCGCCGAGGATCCCCGTTAAGGTTTAATACGGTGAACCCCGGGTCCCATGTACCCCCTTAGGAAGGAAGTCATTTGTATTGAAATATACTAAGACGATTGTCAGGCTACCGCGTTGACATCGCTCCTCTTTACCAGTAGTGCAGGCTTGTTCAGTACATGCACATGGTTACTCGAGTCTCTAGCCAATACTTACCTTAGAAGAAGGTAAGCACTTGGGACATTCTACACTTACAATACACGAGGGGAAAGAGTACCCGTGTATATACAACCTTCCGCCGAGCAAAGACCCGAAGATGTCTGAAAATGTAGGGGGTGAGTTATAAACTTTTGTTTATATCTTGAATTTCTCAATATGAAAAACATATAAAACACAGAATTGTGTGTAACTGATAAAGTTATTGTTCCAGGCACTAATGTTTGCAAAATAATGAGTACTTAGCGCAATGTTTACTATCCAATCGCTAAATTCAACTTTTAGATATTTGAATGATGATTTACATCTTGAATAAGTAACAACCATGGCTGTCTTTACTTCATTCGATTCAAAGATACAATAGGTGTAAATGTATCATATTTATTTCACTGCCATACGTTGCATATCATTGAAATCACCGGTGAAAGTTGAAAATGAAAGACCCGACTATGTCACGAGTACTATTATATAGGACCCGAAGCTACCACCGAGCTATTCCGACTATACCGTGAGTAGAACCCGATGAGGTAGTGAGTAAGCTTTCGAATGAGCATATAATATCATGACGATATCACAAATATTCCTTTTTATTTATCATATACTCCTGGCACCGGGATATAATATAATATGATATAATTCCCGCAGCACTATACGTCAACGTCTGTTTCCGGCAAAGTTCTTTAAAACATTGAATTCATGCTTACACTTGAATCACCATATTTCCTATGTGTCTATGGTAAGAGTGCAACCCAAAAACATTTAATTCTGCATTGCAAGCGCCATTCTACTCAAAGAACACAACTTGAAGAATCCCAAGCTTGACAAGCTTCATATCGGGTTTTCGTAAAACACCGACCGCCGACCACCGACCACCGACCAGTCACTCTCCACAGTTGGGTACATAAGTTCGGTGGTCGGCTGACGGTCTTTTACATAAGGATGAAAAAATGCAAAATTAGAAGTAAAACTAAAACTGGGAATCCAATGACTATAAACGTATAATAATCATTTCAAATCATGATGAAAACGTTACATCGTCGTGGTGTGTAATGTCATATTTTTAAGTGATGTTTCAGTTCTTAGAAGACCAATTTCATCCTGGTTAGTCATTTTGGAAAAAAACGCACGTAACATTGCATTAAGTTCATTCTTCATTCATATGAAACGCAATTAACAAAAACACACAAACATCGTCGATGTTGACGTCGTAACGTTATGTTTGATTTCTCAGTTGTTAAACGTCAACTGATAAAAACTACATTTGATATGACAAAAAAAGCTTTCTAATGGTGTACTGAAATGGTAAGTCACTTTTAATCCCGATAAGAGAACGCATGTAACATTATATCGTGTTCAGTATTCAGTAGGCTATGACGATAACAAATCATTTTTGTTTCGAAATTGTTAAATTTCAGTAAAAAATTAGGATAGATTCCCGTAGAAACGATAGGTTGGTTAATGATAGGTTAGGACCTAAGGCAGGACAATTAATCGAGAGGAGACGGTCATGACCAATTTGTTTGCTTGCCATTCGTTGCAAGGTACAAAATTGGTAAAAAAACGTTGCCTAGTCCAACGATTGACATTCAAAATCAAATTATTAATATTCTAAGGCTACAAATCTTTTACATGATATGGTCGGTCTTTTACACATTTTCTTCAAACCCTGTTTTGAGGCTACCAGTGGAAAACACCGACCGGTCGGTGGTCGGTGGGGTCGGTCTTTTCCGAAAACCCCTTCATATCCTCGAAACGAAAATTACCGTGATCTTTCTTTGATAATACAATACCATAGTCAAAAACATTGTAAATCCATTTTTGCCATTTAACTCAGGCTTATTCACTTTAATACTCAGTAATGGATGGTGCTGACTGAAGTGGACCACAAACTTTGGTCATCCATCTCGTGTATAACTACAGTGGAAGCATTTGTACCGAGGACCTGAAATACAATGTTTCGATGTGCAGTGGTAACTGGTGATAGCCATATTTTTTCAGTTTCATTTATTGTTCACAACAAAATGATTCACATGAATGATGCAGATTGTATGTTTATTATTTTTTCATCAGCACGTCATAAACTCGACGATAGTAATCGGATCTCAACAGATTTTACTCAAGTAATGTTCGGATTCTGAGATCCTTTACTCAAGATATTTTCGGATCTTTATAATATTACTCGTCGATCACATCGGGTCCGATGTCCGATAACCTCGGATCTTTTAGGACAAAGTTTAAGTGAAGATTTTGCTGTTCAAAAGTGCTATTTTGACCTAATATTTTGACACTTAATATATTATGCATATGCACATCCATTTACCGACCCAAGTATGCCTTATGTATGGCTATTATCAATTAAAGCGAGTATGAATGAGAAAAACAAATCGAAAACCATAATACGTTTACCTTATCTCTTAATTTGGACATAAAAATATATTTCAACTATAATTCTAGGCCAATTGCGCCTGCTAGAACACCTTAGTAACAACTCTAACCATCCAAAGGAATTGTTAGTGACATTATATTACCTTTATTGTCCATTTTCCTACGAGATGACATTATCAAACATTTGCTCGGCGGTATGTGCGTGTCTTGCTCGGCGGTAGGTTGTATATACACGGGTACTCTTTCCCCTCGTGCAATAGATCTACATGTATTGCTAAAATACAAGTGAAAAGTAATATTATCATTGATTTGATCATTGAATTGAAAAATTGCCTGTTTTAAAGATGTCACTCTAGTAATAAGGCGTCACTTCGGCTTGACTTGTCAGCACTTTTGGATCACCCTGTAAATCCAATTGCGCATGCGCATATAAGTTTTCTAACTTGGAAAACATTCTCAAGTTTTCAGTTTCTCGTTACAACAATAAATTCACAATGAGCCAGGCAGCAGATAGGCTAATCATAACACTAAAGAGGACTGATACCAGCGTACCATGGGGATTTCGTCTTCAAGGAGGCCAAGACTTCTCAACGCCACTTTCCGTCCAGAATGTAAGTTCTTAACTTGACCTACTTTTTTTCTGAAGCGAAACGGAAGTAAATTTTCTGTCAAAACTTTGGTTAGTTTACTTTAGTCTTGAATGGATGCTCACAAAACACATAATATTATTGTACATTTTGGAATTATATATGTGTTTAGGGGAGTTTTTTAATTGTCAATATCGTTTTTTCTTTACACTGTACACTCAATTGAATTGACATTCCTTAGATCTACTTCATTTTGTGTTGAATTGTTGACATTGGCAATGGATGAATCATGTACACCAAACAACATGTAAACTCCACTCTGCTTTAAATTCCAGCAAACTGGCAAAGATTAATAAAATGGACCAAAATGAAAGCAAATTTGGCAAAATTTAAGCAAAGGCAAAATTTAATCAAATTAGAGTCTATTTTGTGGCCTGACTGCGTAGTATGTATCCAACAGACTGACTAGAAGTCAGTCTGTTATGATGTACTACTTTCCTGTGGAAATTGCAGTGAAATTTTTTGCACAAAATTATCAATTGGAGGAACCATTTTTTCAATAAAATAAACATTACAAAATTTCAATTAAATAGTAAGGTACAATTAAATGCAATAAAAAGTAACATAGCATATTGTCAAGTGGAAATAAAGCTAGTTGAAGTAACAAATGTGCAAATTAATTTTACCCAATCGGCCATTTTGAATAGCACTTCCTATGCAAGGAGGATTGGCTCCCAGAATCGAAGTCGATATTTTCCAACAATGAAAACGCCGAAATGTCGTTATTTTCTGAAATTATAACCGATTATAAATTCAAAATAAACAGTTCAAAATATTCGAACCAATATCTCGATCATTTCTTGTGAGTTTTGGAATTTTTCGTTGGGAAATAAGACCAAAATTCACGATTCAAATGTTGAAGTGAACAAAATGGCGGTCGTTGGAATTCAAATTTTGTAGCACGACATGCCCATATATGGGGCAGAATATCGATGTTGCACTCTGGGAGCCAATCCTCCTTGTTCCTATGTAAACAAATATATAGAATTGCCAAACTTTAACATAGGTGCCTTATAGTCTGAATATAATTCAGACTAAATAGGATATAGTCTACCTGACTGCGTCGGTAGAACTTAGATTTACCTGAGGTTTACCGTCGGTAGAAAAAAATAAGATTTACCTGAGGATTAGAAGTCTTACTTACCCTCTAGAGGTAAGGACACACATTTCAATGAAACCCTATAACCTGTTAGCACAATATCCAAGAGGTATATATATATATGGACCGTGAAAATGAATGATTTCCTAGTAAGTTCTGGAAGTAAACACAATGAAAATGGTAAAGTCCAAAAGGCATTAACACAAATTTCAATCAAGAACTATGTGCTTATGCTTCATCATGAACAAAACAAAGCTGATATGGTTTCATTAAAATGTGTGTCCTTACCTCTAGGGGGTATGTAAGACTCCTAATCTTCAGGTAAATCTTATATTTCAAGTTCTACCGACGCAGTCAGGCCATGAAATAGACTCTAAGCAGAGATTAACTTTAAATTCACCGTAAGGTGGCTCCAAAAAAAATTTGCTGAAAATATTCGAACCCCCTCCTGTCAAATCCTGGCTATGCCACTGTGGTAGATGCATATATACCTCAGTTTTACACGGGTGTTAAGCCACGATGATACCATGAGCACATGCTTAGAGGATCCGCGTTGTTTGAACCTACCGCCGAGCTCACTTATACATCAAGACCCGTTACACAGCCATGATACCGCCGAGCAAGCTCATTGTATCATCGGGTCTGCTTTACCCCCGTGTTTTAAACACTGTTTAATTGCACAGGTCATTATTTTTGGCAAGCACTTTGGCTAAATATACATGTTGATAATAGACTTTGTATGAACTCATCTTCTATAAATAATTAACATAAAAGGACCTTCAAATGATTAAACATACTGACTTGAATCTGATATCTGATCCCCATCACAATATGTTAAATGAATTGCATATTGATTTCATAGTGAGGATTTTTGATGGCATAACAGATAAGGCAAAACATTCTCATACATGTACTTACTTCACAAGGTAAATACCAGGCTTGGAAGTTTTACCCTGATTTTTCATTAGCTAACTACACTACCCTCTGACAATTACGGAAGATTTCATAATATTGACGCTTGTGTGATCGTGAAGATCTCAGATGCCGACCTTTGAAGAGTTAAGTGTTAAATTGAAGTTAGCTTACCTTAATTACATATTCTGAGTGGATAAAGACTATATCAATGAATTATGTCTTATTTAAGAGAGCAGATGAATCCAAATCTGGCAAAGGGTAGGTGATATTTTACCTGGCAGTTACCTCACTGCATCAGTTTCATATAAGGCCTAGTAGGTTGGTATTTCTGGAGCCCTTCATCTAAAGGTCATTTCAGAACATAAACTAGGTGTTATGTTAGCTTGTGTTGAAGCTGTTTGCTAGATGTACTTAGATTACTGTTAGCACCTATCATTTTTACTAGTTTATTTTTGCAGTTTTTCTGCACAGTTTGGGATATTGGCTGATGTATTGTTGCATACCATGTGTCATGATATATTATATCATATCTTGTATAATATCATATCAAATCAGATATCAATCAAATCATATCATATCACCCATATCGCTAACATTTATAAGATATATCATATCAAATTAGACAGATATGAAATCATATTAGTATCATGTCATATCATATAACATGACATCACACTACCTGTTATCATATCATTAAATCAAAATATAATTATGCATAATACAGAAGGTACAACATCATTCTTAGACATAATAAATCAGACATAATGATAATAGTTTTATTATCCCACCGAACGAAGTTCGAGGGGGATATAGAAAAGCCGTCCGTCCGTCCGTCCGTCCGTCCGTGTGTCCGGGCGATAACTCCAATACAGGTTGACGGATTTTATTATCCCACGGAACGAAGTTCGAGGGGGATATAGAGAAGCCGTCCGTCCGTTTGTCCGTCCGTCCGTCCGTCCGTGTGTCCGGGCGATAACTCCAATACAGGTTGACGGATTAGGTTCAAATTTTATAGGCTTATGCCTTATGAGTGTAGGACCTCTGCTCGAGAACAAATTTTCAATATGGCTGCTCAATTCAAAATGGCCGCCATTTTTCATAAAAAAAGTAATCGTTGATAACTCAAATACAAGTTGACGGATTTGGTCCAAATTTTATATGCTGATGCCTAGGGACAAAGGAGTTTCGCACAAAAAGAGATTTTCAAGATGGCCGCTTAATTTCAAAATGGCAGCCATTTTTTGTAAAAATATGTAATCTTTGATAACTCAAATACCAGTGAACGGATTTGGTTCAAATTGTATATGATGATGCTTAGGGACACAGTAGCTATGTTCGACAAAAATTTTTCAAGATGGCCGCTTAATTTCAAAATGGCGGCAATTTTTCGTAAAAAACATAATATTTGATAACTCAAATACCAGTGAACAGATTCGGTTGAAATTGTATATGATTATGCCTAGGGACATAGTAGCTCTGTTCAAGAAATAATTTTCAAGATGGCGGCTGAATTTCAAGATGGCGGCCAATTTTCGTAAAAAACGTAATCATTGATAACACATATACCAGTGAAGAGATTTGGTTCAAATTTTATATGATGATTCCTAGTTCACAATGGTATAAACTAACTTTGTGCCAAATTTCATGCTTCTATCACAAAGTGCACAAACATTTCAACATTTCCACTAGCTATAATAAGCATAATATGTTTTGTTCGGTGGGATTTGCTACTCCGTGGAGTTGCTGTTTTTCTAGTATACTAGTATATAAATATCTAATATTTTATTATTTTATCATCATGAATTATATATTTTCATATCATCAATGCCTTCTAGATATTAAAAACAAATCCCAGGCCTGTAGCCAGCTTTTGTCAAGAGGGTCCACTTTTTAAAAAAGAAATTCAGAGAGGGGGGTTCCCATTTGACCATTTTGGTGCTCAGAATGGTGAAAACTGCATTGTTTTGAAAGAATTTGCCAATGGGAGGATTCCACTCACACCCCTGAACACCCTGGCTACAGGCCTGAAAGACTACCATCCCTACTCCACTATAAGCTTATTGTTCATGTCTAGTTCCTAACATCTCTCACTAAATGTATTGAGCATGAATCAGGTTTGAAGCTAGGGATGAAGTTATGTTATCATAGGCATATATGGAATTTTTTCTGCATCTTTATTCGATTTTCACACTTTTGTATTTGATTACAACCATTCGATATTCCACTCTATTAAAATTATTCGAAACACGTAATAAATTTGTTTGTTTTTACACATTTATATTTGATTTATGTACCTATATATGCGGTAAATGCACTTGTATATGCGGTTTATGTTATTCAGTGTTTGGTAAAATATCACATATTTAAGTCCATGTACACACACGAACAAAGACAGTTGACACATATATTTAGAACACGCATCAAATACAAATACACTTTAGAACCAAACAATGTTCATTTACCGAACAATCATAGAGTACAAAATAGCACGGACATATAGTGACTTACCCCACATAATTAATGACATGTTTCGCATAAAATTATGTGGGGTAAGTCACGTGACTTACCCCACATAAATGACACATGCTGCATGTAGCATAAAACCATTCGGTAAATCACGTGACCAGTGACGTAGAAATTTCAAAATGGATGAAACAAGCGAGGAAAAAGAATTTAAATACGATTCATATCCACAATTCAGAAAGGAAATTGAGAAGTTATTAGATCATTACAACAGGCATGAGGCTACATAAGCGATCCTTTGTTAATAGAAGATACGTTTTCGCGATTGGAGAATCACACAAGAGCTCTTTGAATATATAGATGGCGCAAGTCACATGGTCGAAGTCACGTGACTTACCCCACATCAAAACAGTGAACAATGGTTTATATAAAATCATTCGGTAAGTCACGTGACTTACCCCACAAATGAATATGTTTAGCACAAATGAATATGTTTACCCAATACGAATGGTACTTGGCATCGCACATATTTAAAATACTTATCAAATTTATATTTGATCGGGTCGAATACACTTTTGAAGCATCTTACATATTTGTTGTGTAAGACAGTCAATTATATGTGGGATAGTAGGTACCATTTGTTGTAACTGGTTTTGTTTATGTTCGGTTTAACTTACTCCGTGGGGTAAAAACCGAAGATATTAATGTTACGAATATTGATGCAATAAATACACTATAGGCATAAACAGACAGTGTTACTATGCTCAGATTAGCACCATCATAAACATGGCAAAATAACTTTTTCAGTGCATCTCTAATCATCCAACATATATAATCTGTCTTGGGGAGATGTCCATGTATGCTGATGAATGGCATAATAAATTATGTGGATATTTTTAAACAGAAATGACATAAATTATACTGACAATTGAAACTTGTGTTTTGATGTATGCTTTGCTATCATATATAGAAGCATTAAACATTGTTTTTTGATTGATTCATTTTTTCAGAGGTGGTTTTAGGATCAGGTAGTCAGTCATTCATGCTCTATGCATTTGATGCAGGTCCATTGATTGTCTGTCAGTGGAACAAGCAACAGAAATGCAAACAAATACTCACATGTCTACCACTCAGTCAATCAACATTATGATTAGTGTAAGCCATAAGAGTCCAAACAAAACTATCTAGGCAGTTCTAATTTGTTTCTTGAAGTGTTATTGATCACACATGATGAAATATGTTATATTTTCTTCAAAGTCACATTCAGTTTATTATGTCAACAACAGAAGTGGTGACATATTGTTAGACAGTCTGCAACTTTTTTGTGGATGGTGTTCGGCATCTGTAACAATTTGCATTTTTACAAGGTGTTTTTTGTTGTGCAATGCCTTCCAAATTAGGCCTTTATGTGAACACTCAGAAGTGAAATATAAACATCTTTGATTGTTCCATTTTGATATCCCATGGACAGTAGACACAAATGTTATCTGAACCTGTCACATTGTAAATTCTTTAAGCTAGTTCAACAGTAGTATCGCTCACTTTTTAGAGGTTGATGACTGTTCTTTATAACCTCTTAAGAATGGCTTTCACTTCCTCGTAAGCACTGCACTCAGGGCTGATACCACTTTCACATTTGGATCTCAAATAGCTCAAGAATGACTCAGACGCCTCTGCGTCATTCAAAAGTTGACGCCCTTCAGGTGATTTCAACTGTTTAACAATCTCATTGACAACTTTCATGTCATCATGTGTGTATATTGAAGGATGTGGATGATAGTTCAACGCATCAAAATCATTGACTGTGGGGTCATATTTTGAGTACATAACATTGTTCTTTGGGAAATGCATGTGCGATAAAACAGCAGCTCCTTGGTGAATGCAATAAAATGAAATTGCTTTGTTCGTCAGCTCCATGGTAAAGCGTCCCATGCATTTTTTGATATGCTGTATTGTTGGGCCATCAGCTTCTGTTTTTAATACAGCAACTATAGTGTCAGTCAGACTCATGAATTGTTCATTAATGTCAACTTCACATAAATCAATCATCAAAGACATTGGTTGTTGTTTCTTAATCGTCCATACTTTTCCTTATTCATGAATTCAGAATCAATCTTTAGTGCGAATGTCACATCTACACTTGAGACACACAGGGGTCCATGTACATTAAACATGATGTTTGGACCATTTTCACTGTTGAATACAGTGATATATCGAGTCTCATTCCCCTTCGTAGCCAAGTAATCTTCTCCGATCTTGTCAATCAAATCTTTGCTGTATTTGTAAAGTATTTGACGTCCCTCTATTGAGTTATGCAGTCTCTTCATCGCCTCTCGGAACAATGAGAAATAAAAGTATGTCCGCATGACATCAGCATTCAAAAGTTCTACCTTTGACGGGTCTGTAACCTTGTATTCTTTATTTATAAGTTTCTCGACACCTTTTACAATAGTGTTCTTGATGTGATGAGCTAGTGAAGGATCAATGGGTCGAACATGGCAGTACCCTTCCTTACAACCTTCCTCTATCTTTAGCTTATTAGAACATGCGAGTTTACCGATATAATCAAATTCATCGGCTTCGAGAATTTTTGTACCATCATGAAAACTGCCACATTCACACTTTTCGTCAACTGCCATAAAAGGATCAATGTCTTTTGCCGTGTCTAAAATACTTTGAACAATGTCAGAAATATATTTACGTTGCTCTTCAATTTCCTCATCAGTTCCTTTGATTTTTGCTTCACTGTGCACATGATTGATAAACTCAGCAATTCTCAAATCTCCTGTATCTTCAAGATTTTGTCCCGATATATTTTCTGAGTCTGCCATTTTTAAGACAATCTTACTGTGTCAACTGAAAATACACCTACATGTGGCTATCACATTTAGCAATTGACCTTTAGATTGAGTCTCAGTCACATTCTTCACTCTTATTCTGAAGTATGTTTGTACTTTATTAAAACATATTAAGTTTTGCTATTTGAACAGTAAAGCTACTTTAATGTTTGAGCCTTTTAAAGTTGAGTATATGACTGTGAACTCTTTAAATGTAAATCTGTAAATGAACACATTCTTATTTTTCCAGGTATCTCCTAATAGTGTTGCAGAGCGGTGTGGCTCGATGGAATGATTCATACTAGAAACAGCAAAAGTTCACATTGTCATTGTCCCTTAATTCTTTTGTTAATGAACACATTCTTATTTTTACAGGTGTCTCCTAATAGTGTTGCTGAGAGGTGTGGCTTGATGTCAGGGGATGCAGTTCTGCAGATAAATGGCAGAAACTGTGATACCATAGAACATGAACAGGCAAAAATGGAGATAGTCAGATCTGGAAATGAAGTTGTCTTCATGGTAGAAAGGTACACATAAAAAGATCAGGAATGTAATATTTGATCTTATTTAGGAAACTAGCATTTCCTTCTGTATACGTACATCTTAAATTTGATAAATAAATGAATAAGATGTATATTTAAGATTGACTTCATACATACAGTAACTGCATGTACATGTACATACATTTGCTTAAAACCCTTTTAGACATGTACCTACACGAAGGTCTATCCTCAACATTTGAATCTTGAGGCCGTATCAATAGAGACCAGAGATTTTGAAAAAGAAACTATTCTAAGTGGTGATACATGAATATTTGAAATTATATGGGGTTTGCATGTTGTATTGCAGGGGTGCAGTTTATGTATGGAAACCAGAAGTTACAAAAATAGAAGATCTGAAACCAGATGAGCTGAAAAAGATAGAGCCTCTGCCTGGTGGCATACCTATGGTCCAGAAAACATCTCTTGCTGTCAAAAAACAGGTACATGTAGAATAACCTCTAGATTGGTCAGGTGGGGGTCTAGTCAGTTTGGGGTCTGGTTGACTGGGGCTATCAAGCCAACATCAGATATCTCAGCTTTGGGCCTCAGGCTAATTTGAGCTGTGACTAAAAGGTTCATTACTAGAGGTTGGTAGTAATATTTTAATTACTGATTCAGTAACGTTATTATTAACCTATAGTTACCAAATTAATGTTCACAGAGTCATTTGCAAGAAACAAACACCTTTTAAAGATCACATTAAGTGAATGTTTGATCCTGTAAGATTATATAGTAATTTGAAGTAGTTTGTTATGTTTAATTTAGGATTTCTCTCATATTGGGTCTGCTCATAACCGCAGTGCCAGAGGTTTTGGTGCTGGGGGTGCTAGTTATTCTACCCCATCCCAGCAGCAGTCACAGCCACCCCCCTTCGTTGCTGCCCCACAGGCGCCCCAGGGTGGTTATGAGGAGGCAGTGCCAGCTGCTCAGTTGGCTGACCAGGGCAATGGGAATGGACCCGCTGTCGTCCATGCACAATTTAACTCTCCAATGGGACTCTATTCAGCTGATAACATCGCAGATACGTACACTGCACAAACCTCCCTAGTAAGGGCTGACATGGCAAGGTATGTACTGAAATTGATATGACGTAAAGAAAATTACCAGGAATTGATTTTCACAATACAGTATATATTTTATAAAAAATAAGGAATTTGCCATCATGGTCAGTTATGTTTGCATAGTCAAAGGGTGAGGACAGGATGTATACAAAAACAAAGATTACAAAAAATTGGAATTATTTTTATTTTATTTGCATGTTCTTTTTTATGAGACTAAATCAATATTTAGTATGCTTTGTCTTGTTAATTTGGTGGTGGTAGACTGGAGTCTAGATTAGACAAAAAGGTAAAAAAATTGTACTGTTAACAATATATGACAGTTGCATATAATATAATTGTATATACAGGATAATTTTAATTGTCTATTGAATATTTCATCCAAGCATCAACCTGAATTTGCTCATTTGATTTGAGGGAAGATGTCCAATTATCAACAGTTGTGGAATAACGAAGTTCCTTAAGGGGAGGGGGGGGGGGGGTCAAACCATTACGAAAGTAAATTCTTTTTTCCAGGACTGTTGATAATTGGACACCTTCCCTTATCATAATACAAAGATAGACCAAATTTAGTGCAAAAAAGGGTGAATATTTGCCAGTTTGTTCACCAAGGAATACACGTTCGTACAAAGGGATATACGTACTGGTACACAAAGGGTGAAATGTTCACTAATTTGGTTTAAAAGGGATCAGATCAAAGTGTCAAACTCTCCTGAAGGACGATATTACAGTAAGTCACTATGGGGACATTGATATTTTGAGATGATCCCTCATGATCTTAATAAGGTATTGATTTCAATAATTCCTTATTTTATGAATAGAAAGAAAATACTAGAAGGGTAAGGTGCTGTAACACTGTGAATGTTGATGCATATTGGCATATCACTATGTGGCACTCAGGAACCCTTTACTGGGGGTGGGCCTATCAAGGAACCTATAAATTCTTAAATCTGAATTTTTAGACCCATATTTTTACATCCAATTTTTGTGAAGTTGATGACTTACCACGTACTATCCTTCCAAAAATATGAGGTTTTTCGGATTTCATACTCAATCTGTATCTTGATAGACCTACCCATGCTGTATAAAGTCTCAGGGAAAACTGCAAAATATAAATCTGCTTTACATACTGTATAGTAGGTATGTCTGCTATTTCTACAAACAAACAAGCAAAGAAACAGGTGCACTCTTTTCTCATTACTTAAGAATTTTTATTGGTTCAACAATAGTAACATTCCCATTGTCCAGGTGCATGATTAAATGTTGCATTTGTTTTTTCACTAAAATCTACATGAACATGAATTTATTCAACTGAAATAGCAGATTGTAGCAGTTCTTCCTTAAGACAAGAACACCATTCCGCACATTTACATAACAGCAGTGCAGACCATTGTAGTGAATTAGGGATTAAATACAGTAAAATCTGTTTGGAACACATTTTCGAAGGAGAAATATATAAAACATTTTTTCAAATGGAGCCAAGTCTTATTGACATGTGTGTTAGCAAAACCTCTGTATAAGGAACATATGTCTTCAAAGAAATCAGGCTAACATGGAAACTATTCCATATACATAGGTTTGACTGCAGATTAGCAATTAGTTCTGTTTGCGCAGTGTTTGGCCTGTCGGAGTAAAATAGGGTTATCTTAACCTATTTAATGGCAAAACTAAAATTACAATGAAATAATTGCAGAACAGATATACTGTATACAGTATTTGGTTGATCATGCAAAACATCATAAGGCAAAAACTAGTGTAATTATACACCAGATATTTCTTGCTAAGCTTCAAACCATTATGAGTCCCACACACATTCACAAGAAAATAATGGGGGGGGGGAGTCACTTTAGAGACTCGATCATTGGTGTCTGCACTGCAGTTTGTAACCTCGCCTAGAAACACTATATTACATCACTTTTGATTCTTTTTCAGCATTTTTGTTTTGTTATTTAGATTTTCAGTTTGTTATGGTTATGCCCATTGGGTGCCTTCAACTAACTGAAATGTCTCAATTATTTACAGACCACACTTTTCTTTGATGATTTTAAAGTTTATTTTAGCTTAGCTTTATATATTGTTCTGTTGAGCGTGCATGATTAAAAGTATACAAAAATGTGTAATAAAGAATAGTATGAATAAATAGACTTTGCTTTGAATTTGCTTACATTTTCAGAATCGCATGGGGATGAAGGCTTATATGAGGGACATTCCAGAAGTTTTTATTTCCATAATTGAATTCCTAAAACTTATGGAACAGTCCCCTTATTGTATATGTTGTGTTTGCATGAGGTTTGCTGTGAGCTGTTGAAAGTAAAAAAGGCACATTGTTAATTTTGAATATTTGTATTGTTGTATATTTTTATGTTTATTATTTAACTTTTACTAATATATTATTTGTATTTAGATGTAGCTGTAGAGAGATATATAATTTATAATAATTCCTAAAGCGTAGTGATTAAAAGGAATAACTATCTAATGTATGATCTATTTGTGAGACGCTATATTAATCTTGGAGTTCAATATTGTTTGACAGTTTGAGCTTAGAGGAAAATGGCAAACAGAAAAATTATAGAAGTTCCCCAACAGCGCAATTGATCCTACAAGAAGAGGCCCCTCCAACTGATAGCGCCCGCTATAAGGAACAAGATCCTGCCAAAGATTATGTTGAATATAAAGGTTTTCAAAATCCAAAAGTTCAATCTCGTTCATTCAGAGCCTTAGAAGAGGCTCTTGATAGAGCTGAATCACCCAATGACAGTCCAGGTATTCATTCACTGCATTTTCATGTTACGTACAATTATCTGCCATTCTTCATCAAATCTCTGATGCCAGGAGATAATTGTGATCTATTAGACATCCTCCTGCTCTGTGGGTTTCAAACTTTATACTGTATCTTGATAGATCCCTCCCCCTAAAGCACCACAAGGCATCAGAGATTTTATGATGAATTAACGATGAAACAGAATTCAATATAAATTGCAGAATTGAAAATATTAACTCTATTTTCCAGTCAAGACAGTCCTTCCCAACCAGGTAGTACATAAGAGTCAATGGTGATCTTAAACAATCAACATTTCATCGAGACAACCATGTTCAAAATGAAGTCATTGCTTCTCCAAATGCAATGATTCTCTCTCAAAATGCACTGATTCTCTCTTAAAAATGCACCCATTCCTTTTCCAAATGCATTGATTCTCTCTCAAAAGTGCTTTGATTCCGTTTCTTTGTTCCTTTCTAGAATCCATTTTAAGAACAATGGTTTCTTCGTTGAGAATGTCTGAGAATGACAAATAATATATTACATGGTGTCTACAAATGCTGGTTGTTGCACAAGGTCCTCCATATATTATTTATAAGCTGACTAGATGTGTTTTGGCAGTTGGATTGGAATGCTTGTTTTAGTGTATATTTATTTTATCATTTAAACTACTGTACTGAAAAAATAAGATTGCATGACAAGTTGAAGAAATTTAAAGCAATTTGAATTTAAAAATTAATTAATATTTAGATTTGAATTTGAAAATCAAACCTTGTGTGAGTTTTCCTTTTGATAAGTACATGTAATTTACCCGGTGGAGAATATTACCTGCACGCTTTAACACTTACAGTAGCTTTGTTCTGTAAATAGTCAAGTAATCTTTGGATGTGTTTTATTTACTAAAGCATGTCTACAATGAATTATTTACAGAACATTTATATCAGTGTTGTAAATTGTAGCTTTTTCATCCATAATTAAATTGGTCCCACCCTGTACTTTTAGCAATAAGAAATAGCATCATCCCCTTGGTTCACTGTGCCATCTATATTTATGAGTGCAGTGTATTTTAGTACAAGCTATATCGTTAATGTCACAATAAGAAGGAATGTTCATCTATCAAAATACATGTACATTTGTCCATTATTTACATTTTACATGAAAGGTCAATCTGAGGTGTTAAATCTTTGCCATGAAAAGGTATTTACTGGTACACATATTATATAAATCCATTGTTTACAGTATACTGTATTACATGTATTCAAGTCCCAACATTTTTTTAAGTTGGTTCAAAGGTGGGTGTACGTCTATCTCAAAATGTCAAGTATCTTGTAAGATATCTTTGATCTAACGCTTGTGAAATCACTGGGAGATTGAGTTGTTAACCCAGTATGTATTCACATTATAGCCTATCAAGCCCCCTCTGGTGCGGCATACCAGCCCCAAGCTCAGGCCTCACCTGCAGCCCCCATGGGTGGTGGCTTCAAATCTGTCTCAGCCCCTATAACAAAACCTCCCGGTGAGAGAACTCAGCAGTCCCTGATGAAGTGTGCAGGATGTGGTGGCCTTTGTGTGTGAGTAGTCATCCATATTACCCTGAACCAAGAGGCGAGTGGTAACTACAATACTCTGCTGTAGATGGTGCTCTCATGTACTGTAGTTACAATATGAAACTTGAAAAGGGTCATTTTGCTTGTTTCTGTTACAAAACAAAGCCAGACTGCAATATTTGAAAACTTTCACAATTTGCTCTTATGTCATAAAACTTGCTTATATATTGTATAATGATCATATGTAAAACATAATATACATGCTTTCATCAAGCTACATGTACTCATCCTCCTAATCAGGTGTCCAGAATCCGTACCTCCTTCTTCCCCCTGCTATAACCAATTTGGAAACGCCTGATTTAACTGAATCACGTGATCTAATTATGCGCAATGACTTATACATGATTTCTGTAGCAGTGTTGCGACAGCCAATCAGATTGTGAGTTCTTAATCGGGAAAATGGTAACTGCTTATCGCAGGGGGTAAAAAGAAAGAATGTATTCTAGATTTTGAAGCCCTGTGATCGGAGGATGCTAGCTAATGTGTAGTCATGGATTCTTTGTCTATTATACAGGGTACTCACAAAGCCTTTAACTCTTTCGCGCGGTATTTAATTATTTTTAAAAGCTACTGAGCGGTAATTAATTTACTAAAAATTAGGATTTTCATGCCTGCCAATTTGAAAGTGCCATAAAGCCTTAACCAACAGAGATAACACCACCAAATTTTTACTCATTATTAGAAACATATGTATAAATCATTTGTTAATGTATGAACTCATCACAATTAGAGGCACTGATGATAAAAAATCCTCAATGCCATATACATGTATTGCAAAAAAAAACATAAGACCCCTACTAAATATTACCTTGGTGTACCCCAGCAGCTTCCCTGGCCTGCCCCTCAGGCACAGAGTTGTCATGTCCATCATCGTACTAAGTTTCATTTTCTGAGGCTTCAAATACTAGGCTTCACTACCCGATTCATTGAATATAGCAGCGATTTGATCATCATTTCCCGTCTAAATCTAGCCCTTTTTTAAATACGACAATGTCTAATCACTTCCAGATTCGTATTTGTTACAAAATAAATCAATAAGTGACCAAAATAATTTTTTTCAGAAACTTTGCATCGCCAAATTAATTTTAAATCACTTCCTGTCAATGTGAGTACCGAACATTGGCACTGCAATACAAGGGTGACATCTTTTCAAGTCTGCTAAAACGTTCCTATAGCTTGTCGACCTCAAGTCGACATACGCCATAGAGCGTATTGGCGATAAAACTCGCCTGACCGCGTAAATGAGTTAAAGGTACAATATAAAGTCCTTATACAGAGACTTTATGGACGCCTTTTACTGTTTGGGTCTTGAGGTACACTGTAGAGGGCAGAGACGACTGAATAGTTCAAGAAAATATAATACAGGGCGACAAAAATGTAAAATGGTTCTTTTTGTCACCACATGTATGAGGTACGAGGTTATTGACAAAGTTAGAAGGTTGCTTTTTGTCATCTTAGGTAATAGCTGATATATATACTATTTTTTGTATTGTTTGTATTACAGAGGTGTGCTTGTAAAGATCAAAGGCAACCCTTACCACCCAGAGTGTTTCAAGTGTGCTGCCTGCAGTGTGAATCTCAAACAAAAAGGTGATCTGATATATGAACATTTATTTATAGTATACAGATGATTCAAGAAATGGATATCTTGTTATGGCAAAATTATTAATTTTCAGCATGTAAAAATAAAAAATCGAACTTGACAATTATTTTATCTAATTCGCGTGTTTGCCTTGCAGGTTATTTTGTCATTGACGAAAAGCTTTACTGTGACATCCATGCCAAGCAAAGAGCTCAGCCCCCAGCCCCAGGGATGAAGGCACAGGCTGTCTATAGATAGACCTTATTAAATACACCCCCAAGTTGACTGAAAAGGTATCACTTATAATTACTCTAACAGCTCTACATCATATACATGTATTTCAATTTTGTTCATATATTGTGCCCTAACCATGATACTCTTTCAAATGTGAACTTTAAAATCCTAAACTGGCAGCACATAAATGTTCTACTGGATGTAAGATAATTTAGAATTCATAGGTTTTAGGCCTATATAAAGTGGTATAGGTTCTAGGCCTATACAAATTGGTTTGTTGATTTATATCTTGTCATCCTATCACTCTAAGTTTTTGGTAATTTTCTTTTATTTTGTCCTCTTAATATAATTGTTTTGTTTATTTTCAGGTATGTCAAACTGCCATGTAGAAGACAATGTGATATTAATCAACTTAGCAATACATTAATATATGCAATGTATATAATGGACAACTACATCTGATAAGAGAACATTTATGGACTCATCCTTAGGACAATAAGACCTGCATGTATTCAACACCATTTTGGCACAATGACGGAAGATACGCCAAAGTGTAAAAGGTGCTGGCCTCTACTATTTTATATACGAGCGTAGATTCATAATTATCATCATGATACACCCTCGTAAAGGACATGCAGAAGTTGAAGTTGGAAAGATAGACTGATTCAGAATGATATGACGGTGTATGGTGCTTTATAAATATGCAAAGGTTGTGTATCCCCTATATGCAGGCCTACATAAACCATTCTAGAAGGAACGAAGTCAGAGATATTACTCAGAGCAATATGTTGGATGGCCTTTAAATATCTTGACACGCCCCATCTACTTTACCTTCTTCTTTGGTAAGTGAGGTGTGTAGAGGGGTTGCTCACAAAGGCTTGAGGAAATACTTTTTTCATAAATGCTCTGAGGAATTTCTTCAGGAGTGCTATAAGAGGTGCTCCAAGTGGTGCCTCAAAGGGGATCTTTGAGAGCGTCTCTAAGGCACCCTTAATGTGCCCAAATAAACTAGGACCATCATGATATATATTTACCAAAAATGCTAAAAACTATTTTTGCTTCGTAGATTTTAAATTTGAGATTACCATTTTTACACTCCTTTAGGAGTCTAAATGGAGTGAGGAATCTTAGTGCCTAAGCAATTATTAATCCATGTTAAAAATATAAAAGTTACATAATATTATTATATACATTTACTTTTGTGATCTGAATACTATTCAATCATAAAGTTTTAGTGCAATTATATGTGCTTTACTAATACAAAGTTATATTTATAGCTAGTGAGGTATTTTGTAATTTACACAGCGTCAACAATGAAAAAATATGAAACTTCTTCAAAACCTGCTCATTGTTTTTAATGAGTAAGTATTTGCTATTGTGTTAGTTTTATATTGCAGTACAATGCTTTGAGAGACATCAGGGAGGTTGAACTGTGAAGACCAAAATTAAACAAAAAACTGAAATGTAACCTATGTATACTGGAATACATTTGTACTTGGTGGGGCAAAAAACATCCAAATTTTTAATTTGCTCCAACTTATTTAATAAGCCATGGATTTCAAAAAATAGTACTTTTTTCTAGAGATGCATCATTCAGACACTAGAAACTGGATATTTTGGCCCACCCTGTATATTATGTTAACAAAGAATTAATACTGTGATTTTAAAATGTTAAAGTGCAATAGTTATAAAGCTAAAATTTTTTGATTGTTTTCAGCTGTGCAAATATGAATTTTGTTTCATGTTCTCTTATAATGTGATACTTCTAAAACAGAAATGTTTAATTGGAGTTGCATGTTCTTTACATGAAGATTGTTGACTCTTGTTGAGGTTTTAAGATCTTTGTTTATGTTATGTACAGAAACATGTTTTGAAGATGTACTGTTTGTATTTTGTAAACTAGTCTTGCTTCAAGCCCCTGTGATCCCTCCCTGAGTGCCTACACACGCAGATGTGAATAAGATATATTGAGGGGGGCCAGCAAATTTCAATGGGGGTATGATTATTTGCGTTTGCATTACAGCAAGTGAAGCGAGGTCCTAAAAGGGGGTACGGGGAAATATTTAAAAATTTACTTTGTGTCTGGTGCAAACTATGATTTGTTTATTGTTTTCAATACATTTTACATAATTGCTTTTTTCCATCACACCCATCAGCTAGTGGCTACACTCATGGGGGGGGGTCCAGAGACTTGGTGCAAGACTTTAATAAACATGACATTTTGGATACAGTGAAGATGATATACTGTACACTACAATGTATTTTGTTTTGCATATTATTGATATGTCAATAGGATTGTTAGAATTACACAAATTAGTGCTTATATGATTTGGGCAATACTTTTCATGGTGCCAACATGAGTGGTGCCATAACTAAGTGTTGGGAGTCTGATGGATTAGGTCGGCGTCTGTAACAAATGGCAGGTAGTGACATTTTGCATGTCAACGCCTTGTTTTATTATTACTAATATTATGAAGGATATATGGTAATTCAGCTTTTATAGAAAACGCAGGCATAGTTTTACACATTGTCTTCAATCTCACCAAGTTTTTCAGATCAACTTATTAAAAGGTCAAGGCCAGGGATTATGGATCATTTTAAAGTTGATAAATTGAAATGAACTTCATAAAGGTTATAGTCATGTAGGTTAGATCATGAATTTTCAATAAAGTTATACAAGTAGTTGTATACTACATTTCTAAAATAATATGTGTCTTTGTTTTAGATATTATTTTTCACACAGTATCATGCTCATATCAAGGGTCCAGATTAAAATAGATGAACTTTATTGAAAAGCAAGGGTGAAACGAGCCTAAATGAGTACTCTTAGGGGGTAATGTAATAAGACCAAAGATCTCAGATCCAGGAATACCTTATAAAATGTTAAAAGTGCCCTAGTGTATTAATTAAGTTGTTTTATGTTAGTGCATAGAAAGGTTATTATGTAACTAAATAATGTACTACCTAGACATGAATAAGGATGGAAATTATGGACGAATGATTGACATAACAGAATACGAAATTCTAGTTTAATACATTTTACTACTGGAATCCATGGCTCAGTTCAGTGTACCAAGGCCAGGAAGGTGAAGGCAAAATGGTGAAGTGCGAAACCTCACAACAATGGCCAAACTAAGGAACATCTACGAAAACACTTTCTAGTTTCCTTCAAAATTTACCTTTATTAAGCCAAAGTTCATACAAAGTTAAATGCTATAAAGAGAAAACACATTGCTCTTGAACATACAGGAAACTTTGAAATACATGTATATTTAGGCATTTATGTACTATCTATATAAGGATATAGAATGTGAGGAAGTAGTAAGCACTGATATATAATTTAAGAGCCATATAAACATACAATAACTGAAAAATATCTAATCTTTACCAACTATTGATCAAATTACATTATAGGTAAGTAAAGTTTTGTTATATATGAAGAAAGCTCCGGAATTTCAATGTTCAGAGTTGTAATCAATTGATATCTGGAAATATATATTTTAAATAGTACTGTTGTTCTTATACAAAACACGTTTTTAATAAGATTTACAGGGATTTGCTATTTTGATTTAGGAAAATATGGATATGTTTTCTTTTAGTTGAGCCATGGGGGTTAGTAAGCCATAGCTGAAAATTAGTCATGTGCAAGAAAGCTAAAGGAATAAACCAAGAGATTGTCTGGTTTTTAGTGCGTAAATAATTATGACTCCTGGGGAACATTTTGTGTTATAATTTAATAACACGCTGGAGCAAAGCTGTAGTCATGGCGTGCAAAAAGGAGTGGTATCGATATGGAGAACACACGTTTCTCTTAAACCAGTCATAAAAAATCTAAAAATTTAACACATCCTCAATTTAATGGTCATCTTTTGAATGGTAACAATATAATTTGAAAAAGTACTTTCATCTATATTGTTTTAGAAAACACATCAAACACTTGTTTTGTTCTTGGTATCATGTTTCCAGAGTGAAATGAAACATCTTCGGAACCTCATTGAAACAAAACGACATAAACACAACATGTTATTGTAATTGTACAAAGGAAATTTGGAGCACGTAAGTTATCGCAAACAATTTCAAACGATTCTAATTAATAATTTGAATTGTGAATATTTTCTGATCATGAACATGAGTGTATCTTTTAGATCCATTCATTATCTTCAAGAAAAGTATATATAATGATAATTTAGATAATCAGACCTAAGCTTCAAGAAAAGTATATATAATGATAATTTAGATAATCAGACCTAAGTGATATTGAAGGGGCAATGGACCAATCAACATACAAAAATGTTGACCTAATTTTCACCAAAAATGCAACCTTTTATTATATTGTTGATTGCATATTTAGAATGTGCTTTGAGCTATGTTCTATTTCCCAAAAGGAAAAGTTGATTGCTCCAGGGACTTTTAAGATACTGAATTTGGATGACGACCAAAATGAACTGAAACCAATGGATAGCATGATATTTTTCAATGGAGAAATAACATGGGGAACACCTATCTTAAAGCAATTAAGTTTTTCTTTCAAGAACTATTTGATACATCAAAATAAAGAATAGTAATTTTGCATTAAACATTGTAAAAATGGGGTCAACATCTTTGAAAACGTGTGTTGATGGGCTGATTGCTAGTTAAATATCTCCGAGTTTGTTTGACTTTATTATTACTGTATATAATTTTCTTTGAGATATTGAATTGATCTAAAAGATAAATCTGTCTTCATTGTCAGAAAATAGTCATAATCCAAGATATAACCTTCTGAAATTGTTTGCGATAACCTATGTGCTCCTTTTGGTTGATTTAAAAAAAGTATCTTGTTAATGAAATAAAAGGTTTATCTTGATTTTTATCTATTTTGGGGGGATTTTTGAATACTTCTTTAAAATCAACCAAAAATTCCTTTGCATTACTATAATATTGAGAGGTCTAAAAACATGTTGTATATGCAATTTTGTTCCAACAAGGTTCGGAAAAACATTTAATTTCATTCTCAAAAATTGGTAGAAAGGAGCAAAAACAATTGCACTAAAAATAATATTAACAAAAACAGTTATATAAAATATTTCTAAATAATTTTCGCATTAAATTTTTGTCAATCAGTCAACATTACATAAAATACCGTGTTTTTTACAGAATGTTTTCAATGATTGGTTTAAGAGAAAAATATTGTTGAATTCAGTTCTCCATATCGATACCACTCCTTTACAATATTTTGGTATCGATGGCCAAAAAGTAAAGTATTTTTTCGCTATACGCAACCCAACGATAATGGATCTTAACGGATTCAGCAGCGTGACCGATGTGGTGCTTCCTATCTACATTTTCATGTCAAATTTCAACCTATGACATCTTAAAATGTTTGGAAGCTCCTCGAATTTTTATAGATTTTTGGACAAAGTTAAACTCGTTAAGTTAAATGTTTTCGCGAATAGGCCCACTGGGGGTTTATTTTGCACAAGGTATATAATATGCATTTTTGTTTTAGTTCATAATGGAAAAGTATGCGGCATCTGGAAATACGAAGGTAAGTTGGTCGCTTAAGGCTTGATAACTAATACGTACCTTGTATTGAACTATGTCACGGTGTATGTGGCGAATTTCAGTGTTTTCAAGGTATCGTCCATAATTTGTATTTTAAGGAAAATCCGGCTGAAGTAGGAAATTGTGTAGATTTTAGTGCTTACTTTTGTCAGGAGAATTTATTGTATCTGTGTTACACGTCAATTGCATTGTTTATGATACTAAATGTGAAATAACATCATCGAGGTACTTCACCTA